CATATATCTTAACTGAAACTTGAATCTTAATTTACTATATGGTGAATAATTGACATTTTTTTATTAAATTCAATGCCTATTGATATAGTACCCTTTTTTATTTCTAAGGACACAACCTGTCCCAAATGTTGAGATGGGTTGTATTGATTATATGACGCTATTGTATTTTATCATTAATCAAATTCTTAATAATCTTGTTAATTAAGAGGACTTGTTCAATAACTCGTGTGAATGTTTTTTTTAATTTTTTTCTATCCCTCTTAGTAAAGCTCAATGACGAATGCAGAAACCTAAGTCAATGAAGATATAAATTATATAAAATGTAAAAATAATTAAAAAAATAAATATTTGCATACTTTGCAAATTTTCTCCTCATGAATTCATGTTTTGAAACAATTAAATGATCAACACATTGTCAAAAAAGGAGAAATTTGGGACTTGGGACCACGCTAAGCAGTGACAAAAATTTCTTGCTTCTCCGTCTCCTTCAACTTGTTTTATGGAGCTCACTCTCAATTTCTCACACTCTCGCTCCATTTACCTTGTCTCTCATCTTAAACTTTATTTTTTAGCAGATGGTTTCTCTATCTTCTTGTCTGTTGATTTTCTTTTGATCTTTGTATACTTTAAAATTTTAAATTTTATTTTTATTAGAGATATTTATTATTTAGTTTGACTTTAGTTTTGTAAAATATTAAAAAAATTATAATTATTATTATAGTTAAAAGTAATTTAAATTTAAATATAATGAATTTTAAATTAAAATCCATTAGGTTTAGATGAGATGTAAAAAACCCAATCAGTTTCGAACTCAAATATGCTTTAGTTTGAGCCTAGTGGGTTTAAAATTATAACGGCAATGGAGCAAATTTTTAAAACTCCTATTTCCTCCTTATAATTTTCCCCAAGTTAGGGGACACTTGTCCATCCTCGAGTATATGTAAGACTGCTTGATATTACTTATTCTACTTTTTTCACACGTGCTTCTCTCGCAATTATTTTTGGTACATATTTAAATCATTTCAAACAATTTTTTTATCAGTTTCTCTTCAACAGATGTCACTTTCAGCTTTTCTCATTATATTTTATCCTTTTGTGTATACTAACACATTCTTATCAATATTATCATCTTAGCTACTTCAATGTTATAGTCCGGTAGTCGTTTTAAATTTGATTTCAACGGAATCAATGCTAAGTGAAAGCATGAGAGTTGGAGAAGATTACTCCATTACTGCATTACATGCCTCAAAAATCCTGTATTTCTTAAATTCTAATGGAAAGAGGTGGCTCTATTTATTGGTGATACTTCACAAAATATTGCTCTTAGAAAAAAATTTCACGTGCCTAAGCTAAAAAAAAAAAAAACCACGCTCCTAAATTTATGCTCTCTTCAATAATCATCAATAATACTATCAATTCGACGATGAAGAGAGAGAATGAATATACATATGTTAAAAATGAAAGAATTATAATCAATTTGATTTGCAAATATAAGATCTAATAATTTATTATTAGGAATTGGAGTGACAATGTCCAATTACAATGAGCCAGCTGCCTACTCCTATCTTGACTTGAATGATCTCCATTAATTTAACGCATAAACAGTGCTAATGAGAAGCTGACACGATGTGACATGACCCTGTGTGGCCACTGGACCGTCAATGAATGAAGAGGATGAGTCATATGTGAATGCAGCCTTTTGTTGACAAGTCATGCAAAGCCCCAAAAAGAGAGAGGAAACAAACTTCCATAACCAACCAAATCCAATTTCTCTTCTTCAGAGCAAAACAAATAGAAACTACGACCACAACCGACCCCTAAAAGCTGCCCCACCCAATTGTCACAACATGGCAATCCAATTTCATTTTACTTTCTCACTGTTCAACTTTTTTATTTAACCACAGAAGCCTGTGCTTAAAAAAAGTGGCAACAACTTAATCAGCAATTTTAAATTTGAGCTTTGAAATGCAGTAATGTTATAACTCAATGATAAAGCCTTCAACTAGAAAAGATTTTACAATGTTTGATTTTAATTAATCTAGATCCCTGTCAAAAAAATTTTCAATTCAATGTAGGGCAAGTTTAGAATATCAAATGCATGAGCAATAAAAAAGTATCTTGTGTGTTTTTTTGTGTCCGTTGAGTACGTGGATTTATAAGAGTCGGGGTTTGAAATCCATGAAGGTAAAAGATGGATCAATTAATCTAAAAAATATTAATAGAATGAGTCGTATTTATTTTCACCCGTGAATTTACCTGCGCTAACCTTCAATCCATCCTTTTGGTGACGGGAACATTTCACTCCATTTTGTGTTAGTTTATCAAAAAATTATTTCTTCAATTAAAAAATATAAAATATTTTCATTTAATTGAATCTCACTTTTTAATAAAATAGTTACCTACTTTCAAACCAACTCTTTTTTTTATATTTACTCTTATTAAACACCTTATAATAAATATAAAGTCACTATTATTAATAGGAGTACTTTTGAAAAAATAATGATTATATTTTAAAAGACTTATATTTTTAAACATTTAATTCTTCAAAAAATATTTTATATTTTTAAATGGGGGGAGTATCATTTGATTTCTGATGCTTAAAAGACCTTTTTGAAATATAATATGTTGAAATAATAAATAATATTTATATTAAAAAACTTTCAAAGCTGTTGCATTTCTCATAGACTGTTAACTGCATAATTCACTTGCTAGACTCTGTGTAACACGAGGCCTGAGAGCGAGATGTGATTGAGCTCAAAGTTCAAGTTACCCTCCCCAGCATCTTCTGATTTTAGATTCACTCAATATATCATTCACTTGAAATAATTTAAACTCGACTAGTGACGGTTGTCCTAAGAGTATCCCCAAAAAAAAAAAAAAGTGGTTGAAAAAATTGTACGTAAAAACCTGTAAAAAATATCATACACAGACAATGGCTAATATAAAATAAAGTTTTGTTTGTTAAAATAAAAATATAAATTTATTTCTTTCTCAAATGATGATTGTTATTAGTTTTTATTTATGAATAATATTCTAAACATGTCCTTAGATGCCATTCCAAAATCATTCACCCATCACTCAATAAATCTTTTCTTTCCAAGTTTTTATTTTAATCAAAGTTTTAAATTGATTGGTTGAAGATACAGTGAGGCGAGGACGAAAGAATTATTAGAGACAGAGAAGAAGGTGTGGATCAATTCCACCTGTCAAACAGCAATAGATTCTGGGAGAACATGTTTGACCCTTGAGGAGTTTGATAAACACCCACTCCACCGACATGTAACGAAACGGGCGTGAGGGATCTCCAGAGTATCTTGTGAGACAAGACATATCGGTCATGCCTGCCCCACATATTTTTTCCTTCATTCTCTGAATTATTGCACTAATCAATACTTCTAAGTTTTAAGTGCTTCAAGCCGGGCCCAATGGGGCGGCTCAATTGCTTCTCCATTTGTTCTCTTGGTTTTTTCACTTTTTTTTTTTTTAAAATGACTTCGCAACATAATGAAATACGATCATACAATTCATACTATCTTAGTTTCTTTGGAATTTTGTTTTCGGGTAAACATAAATATGAAATTTCAATCTTTTACTGAAATGCTTTTAGTTTTTTTTCTCCCTCGAAAATTTACTAAGTGGAAATAAATACTCTTACTAACATTAGTTTTTTATTCAGGGAATTTGGGATCCTAACAGGTATCAAGTCCTTTTTTTACACATTTTTAAAATACAAAATAAAATATCCCACGTAATTTCAGTAAAAAAAATTAATAAATTTATTTAACCTCAATTTTTTTTATTTTTGAGTAGAAGTACTTCGATTTAAATTTTAACTAATTTATACCTCAACATACAAGTTTGAAGAATAAATCATGTTATTTATGACTTATAAAATTTTTATACAAATATATATATTGTTTCAAATCTTCCGGGAAAACCTTTTCCAGTTCTCAAAAACAGTAAAAAGATAAATTTACTCCCTCTATTTAAAAATATAAAGCATTTTTAATTTTTCAAGATGTAATTATTATCTTTTTTTAAAAGTACCCCTATTAATGAATGATTTTATATTTATTTTAGAGTTTTTAATAGAAATAAATATAAAAAGATAAAATCAATTTAAAAGCAGGTAACGACTTTATTGGAGGTGAGATTCAATTAAAAATGCCTTACATTTTTTAATGTGGAAAGTATATTTTATATCCATGGAAGTGTCACCCCTAGAACCTAAAATAAGAGTCAAAATTGGAGGCCCTATTTAAATAAAGATTTGGATTTTGAAAATAATTTTTTTAAAGTAATCGGGCGTCAAGGTCTGACCCTAATAAACTCTGTAAAAAAAAATTCTAGCCTGGAACCAAGGACTTACTTGCTTGAAGTCCTGATCCTTCACATATTATATTATTATTAATTTTAATTTATTTTAAAATTAATTTAATATAATTTAATAAATATTAGTGTACAGTATAAAAATTTTAATTTTTTTTATTTTTTTATAATTATTATATTTGTGTATTTATAAAAAATATTTTTTAACTAAGATTTGAATTTTATTATTAAACTTTTGAATGTGTATTGTTTAATTTTTAAAAGATTATGAAAATTTTAATTTTTAAAATTTTAAAATATTTTAATTAATTTATAGTGTTTAATTTATTTTTAATTTTTTTTATAACAAGATTTGTAGGTTTGGCTTTGAACCTTCTAAATAAAAGTCAGCCTCAAAAAAGAGATGAAAAATTGAAAAGGAAGAGGAGGGGGGAACCCTTCCCATGTTAAACTACTGGAAACGGAAATAAGCTTTTGCACGGGACAACTGTAAGTTGCAAGTCCGGCAGTTATAACAGACTAGAAAACTGATAACTAACACGCTCACTTATTAGTTATTCCCGTCGAACAGCTTGTTGCCACCTAAAGTGCGAGCATTGCTTAACTTTTAGAATAAATAGTTCTTTTTTTTTTTCTTTTAAAAAATTAAGAGGTAAGATGAGGCATGATACTAGACCAGGCAGGAACCAATGCTTTCCCAAATATAAGCATAGCTACAGCAAGGAACCTCACTTTTGAATGTTGGCAAGAATTGGGTACAGATTTGCGCATGATAGGAAAGATCAACAATGATTACTCACTTACTCGATATGACATAATAATCCCTACTATCCTAGGCCTTTAAAAGGCCTGCTCATCTGTAAAACAGGACGACAAAGACGATTTAAAATGAAGTTACCCACTATGTGCTGTGACCTGTGATCCATGCTTGGCTTCTGGAGCCAGGAGGCTCGTCTTCACTGGCCCTTTTCAGACGCCACGTCATCCCATATCATCGTATGCAATTCCGTTCTGATCTGACATAACAGCAACCATTTTGTCGGAAATTAACTTGTCTAACGTTGCCTGTTACAAGGCAGAGGGAACATGATGCTGCACTCCATTATTCTGTCGAGTGCAGATCATTAAACTGGGGATTTCACACTCACCTTGTGATGTAGCTCTATAAACCCGATGCATTTGAACATGGCTAAACTTCTTCATAAGGTAAGGACTGCGAACTAAGAAGTCTTTCAGCCTCATCATTGGCTTCGGCTTGTATTTTCCATCTCTGCATCGCAGTTTTAATTAACAATCAGTGAAGTCGCCGGAAAAAAAAAAAATTAGACAAAGGGTAGAGGCAATGAGAGTATTAGCAAACGGTTTAATCAGAGAAGCATAATATTATTACTATCACAACAACAAACGTCCTCGTTAAGACAGGAATTCATTGTTAAAACCATGGTAGAAATTGTCGAGCTAATTCTTCCTTTATCGTATGAAGTTAACATTGATGAGAAAATACTACGATCACTAAATCAGTTATGCAGTAAGGAGGCAAATCCCGATTGCTATCCTAGACCTGCTGGTGAAGGGGAACCGATGGTTTCATCCTAAATTTCCTTTGCCGGCAAACAAAAGCTCATTGTTTAGGAGGAGAAAAAAGTCAAAAACTATCAGCTCATAAGCGTCAAAAGTGTTAAAGTAGAGGAGATAGCAAAGAGAGCAGAACTAATCTCCAAGGGAGAGAACTCAAAAAAGCTTATTGCTGGCATTCCACTTCTTTTCTTAGTCTAAGTAGCGCAGCACTCTGAGCAAACGCTTTTGTGAATATTTACTATGGAGGCCATATTCTAGTCTACAATGTCAGATAAGAGGCTTCCTTGTGAAAAGAACAAACCTCTTCAAGATTTTCAAGCTCCATGATTTGTTGTATCTGTTCCATGATATTATCCTGCACAGAAGACCTCAGTTGAGCAATTGCACCAGTCATATCAATATATCATCAGTCATCGCCCAAAATAATAAATATGACAAAATGCTTTACCGCGTTGCTCACAGTTTCAGCAGCAGGAACATCAGTGTCCATCTCCACCTCAATTTCAATCATTGAAGAGATCTGTCAAAAAGGTGCTATAACATGCATCTTTTGATGGAACAAATTCAAAAACACAACCAGGAGGGCTATGTTTCCTAACCCTCACAACCATACAAGATTTGAATATTAGTCAGAGAAACCATACTCTGGCATAGCTGTCGATCAATTCAATCCGTCCCCTGAGGGACTTCTGCAAGCTCTCTCGTACCCTCTTGATTCTACTTTTACGAGCTCTAGAAGAAGGAGAAAGGAAAAAATAATAACTCCAATAGAATAGACCAACATAAGTGGTCAACTACATAGAATAAAACAGTTATTTCAGTGATACACTGAGAATTGAGAAGTAGAAGACAAGGGTAATTCACCGATATGAGGGTTCTCCAACAACAGAAATTTTGTTTTCCAGTTGGCACATTCGAGCCAACATCCACACCTGCAGAGAAAGCAAAGCATAATTATATAGCTCAAACTAAGGTGCATGCATGCCTAACAAAAGGAATAAAAGAACATGATTTTTTACTCCATTTCAAAATAACTATTGCTTTTGAGTTTGGTTTTGTTTCAAAATAATTGTTACTCCAGAATTTTAATGAAGCTAACTATTTTTGTGCCATTTTACTCTTCATTAATGAAAATAATGGCAGATAAAGTTTAAGTGCCATAATATTTTAATACAAGGGTATTTTAATCAAATATCTTTAGATCTTGCTCCAATCTAGACAATTTAATAATTTTCTTAATCTATGTGTACAACCTTAAATCATAATTATTTTGAATAAGAGGAGGTATTATCACCAGATAGATTTTTCATATGTCGTCCTTCAGCCTTAGAAGTGAGAAATGAACTTTGCTCAGAACATTTCCAGAGGCTACTAGTGGCATTTATATAAAATTTACTATCATATTGCCCAGGAATAAATTATATGCTTTATTTAAATGATAAATTTCTGCTTTCAAAGTTTAACAACTCGTCCTAGGAAATTAATTGTTTGATTGATTACTAGTGAATCATACGACGCCACCTATATTAAAAGCTTGCCAAAGCTTTATTATGGCAAATGAAATACCTTGAGCCATCATAACTCCAATGATATAGCACTTTCTTGTTTATAGATAGTGAATGGAGTTTTGCGCTGGCGGTGTATTAAATTTATACTCTCCACTTGTGCATCGGATTTCCATACGGAACACATTATGCATACACCCAGACATGCCTGCTGGGTGAGCATGTGCGATGCAAATCAAGAAGACCAATTGCAACACAAAGCTAATATTTGAACATGACGGGAAGTTTAGAGTGAACGTAGAATAAATTAATATCAACTGATGTTAGAAGCCAACTGAAAGACCTTTTTTCAAAAATTCGTTCTTTCATTTCAATCTTGCATGATCTAAACAATATTTCTCATTATTACAATATAATAGAAAAGAATTTAAATTTCACAGACTTCATTGTCATCATCCCATGTCTGAGCACTTTACTTCACATCCTTCCTTGATGACTCGTCAGGTTCCCTAAACAAACCTACCCGTGTTCTAAATATAAAAGGTGTCTAGAGAGTAAATGTGTGCTAACAAACTTTTCTCTACAGGGAAGTTGGAATGGAAGAATAGCTCAAAACTTCAGAAGGAGAAAGACTTAGAAAAGAAGGTAGAATTCAATGTGCTAATGAAAAATAATGCAAGTAGCACACCTCTTTTTCAGAAGCTTCTTTTAGGTCTTTGATGCGAGACTGAAGCACATCATATTGAGATAAAAGTTGTTGTTTGATAGCGATTGCTTCAACTGATCCTTGCGGAAGCTGCCACAATGTAAAAAGTAAATACTCAGAATAAATTGCAGGATACAAGGCCACTGAGCGGTGGGTGCAAGGGAAAATGAAGCCATGCTGATTTCAATATATTACAACGGCATAATAAATTACAAGGGTCACACTAAAAAAATGAAAAATAAACATGCAAAACAAAAAGGAAATTGTAGTACCAGATTCAACTGGGGAAAAACAAAAGAATTCAATGTTGCCCCAACAGCAAGAGATGAAACTGCAACAACTGATATAAACTGGGGCAGGCTGGGGTCAATAAGTCCAGATGCTGCATCACCGGTTGCAAATACAGCAAGAAGAGGAAAAAGGAAATAGGGTTTAAGCAATGATGAATCTCCTTCTTTTCTTGGGGCTCTTAATAGAAGTGATTCTCGGCCATCTTTGTGGTTCGTCAAGCACATAGCCTCACCAGGATAGAAATCAGGGGCCCTGGGACTAAATCTGAAGGGGCCTACCTCTCTATAGACATTTGATGGAGCTGCCACAGCAACAGTTACCCTTTCTCCTACTTGCGCTGGCACATCAACTGTTTCAGTTGCAAATCTATGTGTGCGAGCCATACCTGAAGGGGTCTGCACCTAGATGGTGGGAGAATAAAGGATTAATGAAAATAATTTAAGAAATGACTATTAATATTTAAAAGCTGACTCCATTTAGTAAGACAAAGCTTGTTGTTTTTGTATCAATATTTAGACGAATGGACATAAGCAAAACTTCATAGCCCAGTGCTCAGTTTGATAAGAAACCATAATAGCACAAGCAAATAGGAAGTGAAAGGACAGACAAAAGGGGCCAGTGAAGATCAGAAACGTGCACCACAAAACAAGAATTTGGTGCAGGACATACAAATTTATGGTACCTCTATTTTAAAGACTGCCAAAAAATTTTTTCAGATGAGCCAGAAATAGAACCATTAACCAGCGCAGGTGCCTCCAAACGAGATACTGCTTGGAGTGAAATGGTTGAAATCCTAAGCTTCAACTTTTATAATGAAGCAACCATTATTGATGCTTAAAATTCTCAGTAAAGAGCTACCAATAATAGTAAGATGGCTAGAAGACACGTATATCAAAAATCAGAACCTTTGCAAAGGTCAAAACTTTATTTCACCAAATAGCTACCATTAGAAGGAGGTGCTTGTTTTATTAGGTATCATAAATTAGAAATCTAGAAAAGCTAATGCATCAAAAGATATTAATTGTATAGCTGGATTCTGAACTAAAAATCAACTTAGACATGTCATGTGAAGGTCCTAATGCATGATTATTTAATAAAAGCTAGACCCAATGATAAATGTCTAGAGTTAGTGAAAAGTATATACCACAATGGAATGAACTGCAGCAGGAATGCTTCGCTTCTTCAGTTGAAGGAATTTTAGCCCCCTTTCCCATGGCGTAATATCCATGCTGCGTTCGGCATGAGGAGATCCTTAGGCAAAGTGAGTATTCCTTGATTAACTACGCATACATGTTGTTCAATCAACAAAAATAAATAAAGAATGGGAAAACTCAATTGTGCCGCTTCCTACTAAAACTATTGGACCTGTGGACTAGTAGAAACTCGGATCTGAAAATGGAAGTTATATATCCTCCGTATTCTTGATAAAATAAGAATAAATAAGAAAGTTTAGGCAAAAAAACATACAAGACATGTCCACCAAACTTAATTTTAGGGGAACTACTTTTAGTTTACCAGACAAAAGAAAATAATAGACAGAATGGTATGATTAACTAACCTGATTTCTTCAGATTGAATACTGATTATGTCACCAGAAACAAGTTCATATTCGTAGCGACACTTCGCACAGGATACCAACTGCATAAGAAATATCATTTTATGTCCACCTTAAAAGTTTCATATGATTATGAGTAGGTAATACCAAAGATATCATCTAAATAACCCTATCTAGAGTTTTATGCGCATATAAATGCCTCAAAGAATCAACCGAAAAATAGTAATGCTTTCTATGTCAACCACGGCTCACAAACATTCCATATTTCCTTCATGTAAGAATTATGCTGCTGAGACAACGACTATAAATGATCCGAGTTACTCAAATATATTTAATCGGTACCAAACGAACCTGAACAGAAGTGAAAGAGACTAATCTATGGATGAAACCTCTACACAAGCTCATAGTTCAGATTTCTTTCTTTTTTTTTCTTTTCTTTTCTTTTGTTTTTTTGTTTTTTGTTTTTTTTGCCTTCTAAGACGCTTCATAGTATGATTGAGCATGTAACCATACCAGGATTAAAAGTTTGGCAAGGTTTAGGATTAATGAATTATCATTGTCTTTGGGGAAGAGGGGACAGAGGATGTACTGGATGGATGCTGAACCTAAGGTTGCCCTTATTCTCAATTTATTATCCTCATGATCTGTACTTGTGCTTCTTTACAAAAATTACAATTACCAAAATCCTCACCGAGATAGGAATCAGTACATTTAAAAAAATATGTCAAAGAATTAATAAAAATGACCTAGTTTCCTTATCCTGGAGGCTATCATCATGGACTTCCTAATCAAGTGCAGCTGCATCAAATTTGTGACACAGGGATCTAACATGCACCAAACACACTGAAATACCTGAATACCTTGCTGTGGCTGCGCAACAGCAACAGCTATCCTACAACTAGGACATCTCACTATCTTTCCAAAAGGCACCTGCAACAATATCTACAGAATTGTGATAACAGTGATGCTAAAAAGCATTGATAATAAAGCCATAAAAAAATATAATTTTGGTAACATCAATGAAGTGGGATATTTTTTTTAAGTTCAATTCGCTAAGGAGGCTAGCACTGTATATGAGGCACAAAAGCAGGACATAGAAATGTTTTAATCATACCTCCTCACCAGGAGATACTGCCACTTCACAAATATATTTAATGACCCGAAGAGCATCTGAAACCCTTAATGATGATGCAAGACCCTGAATTAACAACGTGTAAGCATGCGCATTTGGCCTGGACCACTTCCATCTCTCAACCAAAGGGCCCTTCTCAGCAACTGATCATGGCACATCAGCATTGTCAAATTGAAAAGCAAAAGAACAAAGTGAATTCACAATGTTAGTATCACATAAGTTCTCAGGAAATCAGCTTTCAGCTGACAGAGAATAACATCTCAAACCAATAGGACAGTTAAAGAAATCTTAAACCAGACGCAATTTACACCTATAGAGTTTCAAGTTTGTATTTGATAATCTAGATCAATAACTTGTGGTCCAAATATTAAAACCCGTAAATAACAAAGATAAGAAGGCAAATCTTCCAGAACAGTTACATCATGCTCTTGATTTCTAGTTGTGACTCCGGCGCGGTTAAGCTGGACTGTATATATATGTTGTGAGAAATATGTACAACTGCTCCATACGTCCTCTGATAAGTGATAACAGCTAGATTGGGAGCTACGTAGTCCTTTTTTTTTTTTTGTCCATTTTGTCTGGTTGGTTTAAATTTAATTTTTGGTTTCCTTGGGAAGTTTGCTTCCATTGGGGCCAAGAAAGAATTATTCATAGAGCAAAAAATATCGAATATAGAAGGTAAAGTTGGCAACTGTGCTCGTGATAATCAAGCATTATAATAACCTTGATTAAAACTAGAGCTCATGGCGAAGAATACCGACAAAGCCAGCTCCGCATTGTTCCGATTAAGTGCAGCCACTATAATGGAGCAACAATCAGTCGTGCAAACAACACCTTCATCTCTTCTAGACTTTTCAGCGATTATCTGCAATGCCTCGTCGGCGTCTTTGGCAGCGGCAACGCTGACCAGTAACTCCTGGTCCAATAACTCCGAAACGTTATTTGCTGAAATCTCATGATCGCTCTCACTCACAGAAGCTTTAGCCTTGATGAATTTCGATATATTGAACGAAACTGAGGAGCACCCCAGGAGGTGAGGCAGGAAAGAAGTGTTGCCACAGTGAAGTGCGCATGTTTCGCATAGTTGCGGAAGACTTGAAGGAGAACGAGGAGGAGGAGGAAGCCGAGAGAAGCGAGGAGTGCACGTGGTCAAAGTCATAGCAGGAATGGAGAAGATTGGAAGGAGATAACGGAAGTTTCACTGAATTAAACTTTCGCGCTGGTGATCCATCCTGCTTGTAGCCGGAGATCAGAAACGAGTGGTGGGAAGACAAACCAAGGAACGAATATAATGAGCTTCCAGAATCATGAAAGGATAACGGAGCCGTAAAATTTTCAGCCGCCCAATATACCTCCTCTTGCCACAGGCATTTCACCTGTCAATTATTTTCACGCATATGACTCTTTTTCCAAAAATATATATATATATATTAAAAAAAAAAGTCCGCGGCACTAATATGAAATTTTAGTGTGTATTTAATTTTCAGTTTGAAAAAAGTCAGTTTGATAAAAGTTCATTTGATAAAAATTAGTTTGATGAAAATCAGTTGTTGTAACGAAATTTGTATTTGAATATATTTTTCCAAAAGTCAGTTTGATAAATAAAAAGTTGTTTGGATTAATAAAATTTTATTCTTTTAAAATGTACTTTTTAATGTGTAATGATCAAAAAGGACATTAAGAAATGATAGTTTATAATTTTAATTATACAAGTATAATATATTAGTAATGTTTGAAAAATGTGAAAGAAATTTTAAAATAACATAAAATTTAAAATGTTAAATAATAAGAAAAAAAATATAAAATTTAATTTTGGACAAATTTATGTAATAAATAGTTAAACATTGACTAATATTGAATAGTTACATGATTAATGGTTCGATCTATAATATACAATCTGATCTCTAATAGAATCTCGAACCATATTCATCTCTCTATCAGAAGCCACGCTTGAAATTGCACTTGAAATTATTGATGAAAATACATGCTCATCATTATCATCGTTAGTATTAACCATATTTTCATCCTCAAAACGCCTAAAGTCAGAATTAGTTGCAGATTTTCTTCTAATAAAATTATGTATAGCCATTGTTGCACCAACGATACGAACTTGCGTCACAAATGGATAGCTAGGCATGTGTCGTAAGATTGCGAATATGTTCTTCCAAACCCCAAAAGTCCTTTCAATCGTGGTCCTTAAGCTTGAATGATAATAATTAAAAACCTCATTATTATTTGCAAATCCAGATGAATGCCTGAAATCTGGGAGGTGGTACCTATGAGATCTATAAGGACCTAAATATCCACTGGCGTTGGATAGCCGGCATCTAATAAATAATATTTACCTACCAATAAAAAAATTATAAGATCCCAAAGAATATTGAGTAAATTATTTTAAATTAAATAAATATAAAATATACCTTGGGGTGGATGTGGAAATTTCATGTCCGGCCTTGTGAGTGCATAGTCAAACAAACGAGCATCATGGGCAGTCCCTTCCCATCCAGCCATGACATAAGTGAAGCATATATCCCAATCACATGCGGCCATTATATTTTGTGTTGGAATACCTTTCCTTCCAATATATTTCCCTCGTTCTTCAACACTAACCACACATGGGATATGTGTTCTATCGATTGCTCCTATAGCATCTTTAAAGAATGGCCAATATCGCGGATCACCTAAAAATTTTGGATGAATATCTTGAAAAGTGCGATCTTTTGGTTGGATATATTCCTTTGCTAGCTTCTCACAAGCATGCAATACATTTTTGAAATGTCGGTGAATAGTCTCTGCTGAATGTTGAAATCGTTCTTGTGCCATCACCCCATGTCCAACAATATTTAAGAACATACCGACCATTTCATGAATCCCTGTTCTTCTAGTTGGAGACAAACCATGTTGCACCAGTTCATCACAAAGTTGGAAAAAAACATCTTTTTCCATGCGAAACATGTCACAACAACGCTGAGGATGCCCTTGCAAAATTTCTTGCACCCATGCATGACTTGATTGTGAACTGGTTTTACAAGGCTCTTTCAATAAAGTTGTTGAGTAATTAGATTATTGCAGTAATAGCCTCAATCTCATCGTCTTCCGCAGGTATAAGTAATTGTAATAAGTGAGATTACGTATTGTCATCCATAAAAACTGCATAGCATAAGTAAACAACCATTACACTATTGTTCATGACTTAACATAAGAAACACATAACACAAGAGTCAAATAACATAGTCAGTTTCAAAATAAAGTTAACAACATAAACGGCACTAGCTAAATTTAAAACATTGAGAAGGCAAGCTAAGATTGATCTAATCTGCTTTTTTTTCCCAAGCACCTCAAATAGGCCACTAATGCTCTTCTGTTGTCCCTAAGCCCAATATACATGTCCCTTGCAGTCTTATCTAACAAAGCCACAGCACACTGTCCAAGAAGCGACTCATCATAAGCAATCTCCTCGATTCCATAAAGTTCCTTTGCAACATCCACCACATTTTGATCAACTAGTTTTGTGCCACCCTCTATGGAATTAAGAATTGACTTCAATGTTGAAACCCTATCCTCTTGTGTGAACACTAAGCGACTCATTGAATCAACCATCACAGTTGCAAGATGTTTTCCCTTGTTGTTTTGACCACTTTCACCAATCTTTCTCTTACTCCTCGAATTAGAACCACCACTGTATGCATTGTTCAAGTTGACCTGCCCAATTTCCGGGAGAGCTCCTCCACTAATATTTCTCACATCATCACTGTCTCCTAATCCTTCGGTCAAATCCAATTGAGGCCTATACACATCTTGTGCGTCATCAGCCACAGGTGTCCACAGGTAAGTACCTCGAGCTACAACTAGCTGGAACAACTGTGTCAATTCTTGTACATATGGAAGTGGTCTATGTCTGAATTTTCTATACTCAGGATTCTCCTACACATTACAAGAATTGAGTTCAATATATTTACAAAATAAAGTATCAAATATATGGCATGCCGTATATAACTATATACCTTAATCTTTTGACTCCACCACTCATCCGGTGCTGAAATAGTATTCTTTAAACCATCCCATCCCAAGCCGGTCTCTTTGTTCAGCAATTTGTCCCATATATTCCAATCTTTTCTCAAATTATCCCATTTATTTTTTAACTGCTTCTTATCATAGCTTCTAGAGTTCAAAGCATTGAATTGTTGCATTAACGCTTCCCAACCTTCCTTTGATAAGGTAGAGCCCTTGCGCTTATTTTTTTTAACTTGTTGAAGAGCTAATTTGAGGAACAGTTTGGTCTCTTCGGTAGTCCCCAATGCCTTCTCCTTACTCATATTTACTATTGAAATATTACATTCTCAATAACTAATTAACATAAATTAGACCTATTTGTCAATCCACATTTAACAGGAAACAAAGCAACTAATAATTAATTAAGTAAAATCATCCAATATTCATTTATGAAACCATACCAAAACCCATAATTTAACATTAGTTTGAACAAAAAAATAACTTGAAAATACACACATAAATATACATAAATTCAGAATAATTCATCAGCAATTGAGTACAAAAAATTTTTAGCACACACACATTCTCAAGAAAAGAAATCAAAACCCAGGAACTAATCATTGATTATAAAAAATTTTACACATTTATACAAAGAGCAAAACTAATTTTGAACTTAAATAATTCAAGATCTAAAAACAGAACCAAGCATTTCCACCATTTCAGTTCCTATTCATTCAGCATAACAAAACTTTGACCCATACACACAGAGCACAACTACATTCAGATTCACAATATTCCTATTCAATAAGTATGAGAAAAGTTTGAACCTGCCCTTCTTCTTCAAGGTTCAGATTCCCAACGTCCAGAAGCTTTCAAGTTTTGGAATGCAAGTAGAAGAAACGGTTAAACAGATCAGAAGAACCTTCAACCGGAAAAAAAACAGAGCATAAGCAACTGGAAAATGGTGACTGAAATGGAAGAAACGTCCAGAAGCTCTCAAGTTTTGGAATGCAAGTGGAAGAAACGGTTAACAGATCAGAAGAACCTTCAACCGAAAAAAAAAACAAAGCATAAGCAACCTTCAACCGGAAAGAAGCTCTAACCGTCCGAGTTCAGTTCAAGCCTCAAGTATTTTTACTTCTATCAGCTTCACAATGCTGTCCCAGACCTAAAAGAAGCTCGATCCGTGAGCTACCACCGGAAAATGGTGACTGAAATGGCGAGGAAGGATGACAAAACTAGGCCACGAGCTCAGCGAAAGAAGAAAAGTCAGATCTGTGACTAGAGATGGCGGGGGAGAGACGGAGGAGAGAAGGACGAAAGTCACCGGAGATCTGACAGCGGATGAGGCGGACGAACACAGCACAGAGAAAAGAGAATGAAGAAGTTAGATCTGTGACCCAGTGTGGTGGGGGAAGACGAACGCGAGAATGATGAGAAGACTCACCGGAATGATGAGACGAATGCGAGAACGCGAGAAGACTCACCAGAATATGACAGAGGTGCACTAACAGTGGATGACGCGGAAGAGGCGGAGGAGAGCAGACCACAGACACGACAGAACTGGAGGAAGCAGGCGAGATCTGAAACATGAAAGAAGACAAGCTCGGTAGGAAAAAAGAACAGATATGAGCAGGGGTATCATGGTCATTTTAAATAATAAGTATTTTATCTCTCCTCAACTGACTTTTTAAAAGCTCTAAATACTAGCTTTCAGTTTTTTACGTTGCAACCAGGTCTGAAAACACTTTCAAAAAGTTAATTTTAAACCTTAAATGATCCCCAAACACCATTTAACTTTCCCAAAGTAAAAACTAACTTTTTGGATGTAAAAAGCTAGATTCCCAAACGTACCCTTAATCCTTTTCAACTTAGTTTAGTTTAGTTTTGTTTTTTTTAATGAATGATGCTGAAACCTAATAATTAGAATAATAATAATTAGAATCAGGGATCCCTCATCATTCCTCAATTATTGTAAAAGTGTTGGGTGATCACAAAGATACAATACTTAGAATCAAAAGTATAAAAAATCTAGCCAAAAAATCAACATAAACATTTTTCCTTCAAGGAGATGGTAGGCACCCATTATCTTTCCATCAAGAGTTTGGGATGTTTATAAAATGCATCCCTAGCTACCTAATTATATTGTGGATTGTATTACTAACATGCTAGCCCTGTGTGAGAAGAGAGGAGAGAACAAGCACTTTTGAATCCATTCACCTAATGGAAATTTTTTTATAAAATCTAGTCATTTTTTTTTCTTGTAGGTATCAGGGGTAATCGTGAATCCATATGGCAGTGGATTTTAAGATGGAACATCCCAGAGAAGTTGAAGAACATTTTTTGGCAGCCTAAACACGACATAGTCCATACAATAGCACTCCAAATTTATAGAGGACTTGCTGTTTTAAGCCTATGCCCTTTCAGATGTGAGGAAGTGGAAGATATTATGCATTTATTTTGTGACTGTAAGCATGCTAGGAATTGGCGGTCTGAGTTTGTGCACCCTAACTTATTTAGAAAGTTTTTTAATTTAAAAGGATGTGACTAGCTAGAATGGAACATGAAGGAGAAAGTGGGTTTATCCAACACTCATTGTTTGCCTTGACATTTCCTTTTTGCAAATATATGCTGAAATATTTGGAAGAATGGATGTAGAGTTCTTTTTCACGGAAATGATAATGAAGTCATTGAAGAGCCCTACTTTTTTTTATTTAAGGTAGTTGTTGATTATAGGTTGTCAAGTGAGATTTCTATGTTGCACAATTTAAAGTTAGGTTCAAATAGAAATCCCTTATTATGAGAATATGATATTATTAGATATTGATGGCTCTACCTTAGCTAATGGTCGAAGCTCCTGTGGAGGCATCATGAGAGATGCAAGTGGAAACTAGATTCAAGGTTTTAATTGTAAGCTGAAAGGTGCTCCAACTATCATTGCTAAAATTTATGGTATTTTTACAGATTTTGAAATTTGTTAGAAGAAGGACTTTGGGATCGTGGAAGTCTTTTATGATAGTGCACATGTCACCTCACTAATCACAAGGGACAATCATAGTTTACACTCTTTCATGGATATCATTAGTCAATAGAGAGATTAATGTTTAGAAATTGGAGCATCAACTTCAATTTTATGTATCGAGAAAAGAATAATATGATCAATTATCTGGTAAAATTAACTCATAATTTTCCTTGTGATTTTAACCTTTTTGACCCACCACGTACTTTTTAGATTTTGGGTTGTTGCCATATTCTTTTTGGCAGTTTTAATTAGTTTAGTTCCCGTATTTTTTGTTTATCATGTACCCTTTGTTTGTTCATTTTTGAATGAAGGTTCCTGTTTATATTTAAAAAAAAAACAACAATGATATCTCTAAATGGATGGCCCTCGTCATATCTTTTGGGGATCAAATTAATTGCTTCAATGCAATGAGAGTAAACTTCAACATTCACACACCTATATTCCCGACAAGGGTCAAGTCACAAAAAGATAGCAAGGACTTCTGTCAAAATGTCGTGTGCTTTTTTCATTATATAGAACACACAGAACTTTTTCCTTAAAGATATTACTTCTATACTAGAGTTTTCTTAGGGGGAAATTTGAAAAAACATCAATCCAAATTGCTGTCAAAAAAGATAACATATTCATTATCTGATTATATGTATAATATGATTGTTGCTAATAAAAAAATAGATGTATACAAGAAAAAAGAAAAAAAGAAAATCATCTACACATAAACTATGGTATATTTCGTGTGGTATATATTACAAATAGTAACATGCTTGCGTGTATCTCAAATCTCAATGGGGGAGAACATGAATTTATCTAGTGTGAAGAGGATAAGGAAGAAGAAGGAGACATAGATGATGAAGTTGAGATAGAAGAAGGTGTGTGCGTGGGAGAATTCCGGCAAACGGGACACGTGGCATTCATCTTGAGCCATTCATCTATACAGTGTGCATGGAAATAATGGTTGCAATCGGGTATGGTTCTCAAGGTCTCCTTGGGCTCATACTCCGACAGGCATATGGAGCAAATATTATCGCTGGGCTTGGGTAGCCGCCTGCTCTCGCCAAGAAGAGTCATGGGATACTTTTCTATTGTGGACCCATCCAGGCCCGTTCCAAATGGGCTCGACTGGACCATAAATGATGAGATGGGAAGGTCTATGCTGGGCCTGGGATTGCGACGACGTCGTATCTTGCCACACATGAAACAACCTAGCCCAATCAAACACAAGAATCCAGGTATTCCCACTCCTATTGTTAGCCCATACTTGACACCCCTTGGAAGACCTGTTTCAAATTTCAAATGCAGCCTTAATCTGTGCCTCACTTTCTGTGTGCCGGAAAAAAAAATAAAATTCAAGACTAATTTAAAAAAAATAAAATTCCAATACTTCTTTATATATATATATATATATATATAATTCAATACTCCAATTTTCAATTTATTCACAGGTAATCCAAAACTTTTTGACGGATATTAAGTGAGAACTATTGCCGGTTGTCTCCCGAAGAATCAGCATTTAAATGCCTCATAAATTTAAATCATACTCCTAATGCGTAACCGTTGAATAAATTATTCTGTCTTCTCATGAGAAAATTCTAAACTATGGGATATTTTCTTCTTCTTAAATATACTCATCCGTCCTACAGTCAAAATTCAAAATATGTACTATCCTACATTCCTCACAGTGACAATGTATGTATACAAGGTTAATAAGTAAAATAGACTCGGATTGTTGCACAAAAAATTGACCTAAATTTTTAAATTTATAGCAAATTAAACCCCACTGTTAACTTATCATTAATATCATTACTATTCACTCAATGGACGTAATCAAAATGATGATGTGTCAATTTTAATAAGTATCACAAACCCTAAACTAGCGCGTGAATAGTATCCTGAATTTTGAAATTCAAAACAAATTATCTCATTATTTATGTGTAGAATGTTGATTATTGTATGGATCAAATTAGCCTTAGCATGGTCCACTGTGGTGAATGCATTGTTAGCCACAACAAACGACCCATAATTTTATGCAATGACTTTTTGTCTCCCTTTTTTGCAATGTTTTTTAAATAATTGATATCTCATGCTTTCATATACTTTACAATTTTAATTTAGTCTTATTTTAAATAATGTTTATTTATTTAATGGTGAAAGCTTGATATCTCATTTGAAAAAAAGTTTAAGTACCAAAAGATTTTATAGATGATAGATGCGAAAGCTGACAATTTTATTAATAGATTTCAAATCCAAATTAATCAACTAATTAAAATCTTAAACTTCTTTTTAAATGGGATCCTAAATGTTCACCATTAAATAATAAACATTATTTAAAATTTAAAACAAGACTATATCAAAGTTATAGAATATATGAATGCATGATAAAATATATGAATGCATAAGATACTAATCGTTTGAAAAAAAATATAAAAAAAGAGGAAAAAAAGTCATTTTACAAAATTATGAATCATTCACCGCGACTAATAATATATTCATCGTGACGGACTACGTTGAAATTAATTTGATTTATACAATAATCAGTGTTCTACACATAAACAGGGATAATTTGCTCTAAATTTTAAGGAGATAATCTGTTTTAAATTTTAAAATTTAAGGTCTAAAAATGCTACTCGTACAATAATTTAAGGTTTGCAATGCTAATTAAAAAATAATATATTAGCAAAAGACTGTCACTTCAATATTTTGACTTGATCCCGTTAAGTGAACAGTAATAATATTAATGATAAGTTAACGATGAGATTTAATTTATTATAAATTTAAAAGTTTAGGCTTATGGTGTTTTTCACGTAAGATTTCAAAATTCATTTTATTCGTTAACTCACACATATATATATATATATATATATGTATATATATATACATATATATATATATTCACAAAATATGAAAATACTCTATCACGCGCACCCATGATTACGCTTATTTCTAATCAAAATACGCCCACGTTCGTTACAACCAATGGCCAGTACAACATAATAAAAAAATTCAATTGAAAAAATTATGAGAAATGAGGTATATCAGTATATGTACATTAAACATATTTGTAATTGTTATATTTTAAATTAATAAAATATGTGATTTAAAAACTCTTCTGTACAACCAATAGCCGACGGTAATAAGACGTGCGTGGAACTGTGGGTCGATTGTTTTATATTCATACATCAAGTGACGGCTGAGAATTTTCTTAGGGTCAACAACTTGTCGGAAGGCAAGACTGATATATTTTTTTTATTGCCAATATATGTTTTTTTTTTTTATAATAAAAAGGCAGGTATGCAAATTGATGACCACATTCAAACAAACCAAACGTTCTCAATTTTCAACCTCAAAAATAGTTCTAAATTTCCATGGAACCGACTGGCTCTCGCAAGCATACATCTTACGGCAAACCTTGACTTTAATGAGGATTCACACCTCTTCTTTTCCTTTTTTTTTTCTCATCCTCTTTTTAATTTCTAACTATTAGATTAAGATTATAATAATTCAGATTTGATTCCCTATATAATATTCTTTTTTTTATTTTTATTGTATTTTTTAATTTATCATATTAAATTTTAGCAACTCTGAATTTTAATATTTTGTATTTTTTATATCTTAACATTTTAATAATAATTTTATAAGAGATTAAATTTAAACCATATTGATTTAGTGGTTAAAAAGGGAAAAGAAAGCAAGAACATGAAAAAGGAAGAGGAGAGAATTTCCCCCCTTTAATTATACCCTCCTTCCTTTATGAAACAAAAGCAGGATTAGTAATGGACCGACATGTTTAATTTTGTGATTATTCATGTAAATATGGATTGAATTTTAATGAGTAATTTTAATTTATCTCTACTAATATATTAGTTTTAAACCCACTAATGAAAAGAGAAACAAAAGAAGAAGAAGAAAGAAGGAGATAAAGGTGACAATCACTTATGTATGGATGATGAGTTAGGTGTAGAGTTTGTGAGAAAAAGGAGAAACTCTGGTTGAGTCTATAATTTTTTATTTAAGATATTAGGAAAAATGAAATTGAAGATCGTCAAATTTCGGAACAGTTGGTAACAAGGGAGGACTGAGATTTTGAAATAATTTGTGTTACAAATGATTATTTTTAATTGAAACTTTTATTTCTAACTATTGGAATTATTATTACAAATGTTTTACTGGAATTATTATTTTATTTTTTAAAATTTGTTCTAGATTTTTTCTAAAATCATTTAGGTAACATTTGGGTGGGTGAATTATGATTTGAATTTTAAATTTAAAATTCAACATTTAAAATATACTTCCTCAGTTCAAAAATTTAAAATATTTTTAATTAAATCTCACCTCTCAATAAAATAACTATCTTTTTTCAAACTAACCCTATTTTTTTATATCACCTTTATTAAACACTCTAAAATAATATAAAGTCATTTATCAATGAAAACACTTTTGATAAAAAAAAAAAGAAAAGCATTACATCTCAGAAGACTAAAAATATCATATATTTTTTAACATTCAACTTCTCAAAAAATATCTTATATTTTTTAATCGAGAGAGTATGTATTTAAAATAATTTATTTGGATAATTTAAAAAAAAGTGAAGAAAAAAGATGAATTGAAATTAGAAATGAAAACAAAAAATTAAATATGAGGATTTACCTCCATTTTTAAATTTTTAATTGATAGAAGATTTAGTTCAAATTCAAATCTAAATTTTCATTAATCAGAATATACCATTATATAATTTTAAATAATGTTGACCTTTATATTCATTTAATTTTTTATTTAAATTTTTTAGCAAATTATCAAAAATGGTATTCGTAATAAAGATCTTATTATTATTATTATTATTATTTAAATTTAAATTTAAATTTAAATTTAAACAAGTTATTTTTGGCCAAAACCAGAGAAGTGCTTCCTATCATTAAATTCAACAAGTAGTTAGTGTTTGATATCAACTCTTACACATGCAAAAAACCTAATTCACATGGGTCTATTTTCATTACAAGGGCAAATTAAATTTTGCCGTTGGTGAATTAAAATTTAATGTATCATTTGCGTTTCATTAAAAAAAAAAAAAATCTAACCTACTAGCCGGGCCATAGGTCCACCAGGGGGCGAGAGTCACGACCACATAACCTAAATCCCCAACCACCTAAAGAATATTCAAAGGATTCAACATTCTGTCACTTGGATCAGTTTGGTCTCTACTTACGCTAATTACTAAACTATACAGATTAAAAATAAAGTTGCTCAAAACTTTGGCATATCACGAATTAAACCCAACATTTAAGCGCTTATTTTTGTTAAAACGAACGAACTCGTGTGTTTCTTGGGAGAGTTTCATGCTCACGGATTAGAGTTGCCATGCCGAGTCAGACTAATCAAACAACCTTAGGAATTCACAACTATAATCTTAGGAACTAACAAGTAACACGCACCACAAACAGAGAGACAGAGAGAGCGTGCTACGTACCTGAGCTTTCCTGGGAACGAGAGAAGCATCCTGTTTGTAGACCCGTGTCTTTTGAGAACCCACAATCTTGTCCTTGAGCTTCACAGCCACCACAACTCGGCCTGCCCCACGTCAACTGTATATCATCGCCGATGTCGACCCAGAAAGGCCACGGGTCGATGTTCGAAATCGGATAGGGGACAGAAGAATTAATGACCTCGCACGATTCATTCAAGAGCGAAGGAATGGATCGCATCCACAAATACGTAACAGCGAAGGAGGAATTGGCAAGATCGTTAAGACAACGAACCGGAGTGAGTGGGGAAGTCTCTGTTAAGTTGGAAGGGCAGCGAAGGAAAGTGAGGTTGATGCGATTGTAAAGACCAGGATCGAACTGGAAAGGCGAGCTAGAAAGAGTGAGACCCTTCAAGAACCGTCTGGGAAGGCATTGATTGGGATCGTTAACCCAGAGGATTTGGGAAGCGTAATCGATTCCTTTGATCACTAAGTCTCCTGATTCTGGTAGCGTGAAGATGGTCTGGCTCTGATTGTTGCAGGAAACGAGGAACCTGGGGTAGCTACATCGACGACTCTGATTGTGTCCCTTTAAACCGAAAGGGAACTTGATCTCGATTCCACCACAAGACATGCTAGTGCAAGCCTCCACTTCATGAGCCCCACTAACGCACTGGATTATCAGCAATAATAATAATGACAGAGATGAGGCTAATAAGGTAGTCATTTGAGAGAGATGAAGTAGTCGATGATGTTGCCTATTGCTCTAGTTCTCGCCTGGTTTTGCGTCTGAGACAAACAAGGGGAAGAGAGTGATGTTGAATTTGAAGCTGAGCTAATCTGTAGGTCTTAAAAAATCATTCTATTCTCCGACGTCAGTGTCACCATGAATAGGTTAGTAAATGAAAAACATAATTTTGGATCTCACTTTTATTTAAGTTTTGTTCCACTTTTATAAAATTTAAATTTTTTTTAAAGAGTTAAATGTTTAAAAATATAAAGTCTTTTTAATTTTTAAGCTATAATCATTATTATTTTTAAAGTGCCCCTATTAATAATAACTTTATATTTATTATAGGATGTTTAATAGAGATAAATATAAAAAGTTAGGGTTAGTTAAAAAAATAGATAATTATTTTATTGAAGGGTGAGATTCAATTAAAAATATTTTATATTTTTTAACGAAGGGAGTACATCTTTACATTTATTTTTGAGTATTTTGAATTTTTATTTTTTATATTTTAAGTCTTTATAATACTGTTCATGAAATAACTTATAATATAAAAAAATGCAGGGAGCTGAAATACCTAAAAACTGTGTAAGACTCATAGTAAAAATTAAATAAAATGTAGGGACATAAAATTGTATTTCCTTTGTTTTAATGCAACAGTGAGAGTTCCCCTGTAACTGTCCGACACGTCAAATACAACATGGACTGGTTAAAATGATTCATCAACTTCTGACTAATTAATAAATTTAACTCGGTTGCTTGTTGGGGAATCTGACCCCACCAACTCGCCCTTTGGATTAAATTCTTCAGCAAGCAGCTCTCCGAACCTAACCCTGCTGGTCAGTTTAGGTGGAGGCCGTTTTTATTTTGGGGCAGTTCCTGCTATCTGAATCTGAAGTCAAAACATGTTTTTGAAGGGTTAAAGTTAACTCGCACCTAGAAGGTCAATTATGCTTTGGAGTTTGGAGTTCAATCCAGACACGTCACTACCTTTTCGTTTTCACATTATCAACAACTCTATTTAGAAGTGCAAATCTTATACTATAGTCATCGTCCCTTGCTTTTATTACTCGTTATCTCTGAATAGTCAAATTAAATATTCTTAATTATCTATTTAAAAATATTCACAATTTTATTAATCATATATAATTTTTTTCATGAATAATATATAGAATATATAATGAATTCTGTCAATTTTCGAAGAAGAAGTGATTAATGGGAACATAATAGTTTTGTCCTTTTTTTTGGCCAGACAAAATAGCTTTGTCAGCATGTCTTTTAATTATACTAGTATAATTCGCTTCTGCCATTGATTAAATGGTCGAGTTTGCCATCAATGGAGCAAATGACAATTGGATCAACATCTGCCCGCATGCTAATTAATTACAAAGGTTTGTATTTCTTAATCACGCATATATTTTATTCAAATATATGTTTGACTGATGAGCTGAGCATGACCAATTCAATTTTATTTTGATCAGCAGCCACACTGGTCGTGTCCAAATTTATTTCTTAATAAACGATGTAATTAAAAGGCATTGACAATCAATAGTTCAGTGATGGTGACTCTACAGGCCGTCTGAATTTCCGATGCAGAACAGTTCTGCATCAGATGCTTTTCACTTTCACTCTCGAGTCTTGAGCTTATAAGCTGTTGAAGATGCAATTGATATCCCAAGCCCAAAAAGACAACCTCGTAGTCCTTGTTACTTCCAACGATATGTAAATATATATATGTGTGTGTGTGTGTGTGTGTGTGTGTCCTCCGCTACGAGCTTACAAATTAAATACATGAATGAACCATATATAAGGAACTGTATGAATGCATGTGATTGATTGCATTAAGAGTGGGGTAATTTTCGACACAAGGGACAAGTAGCATTCATGCGGAGCCATCCATCTATGCATTGGGCGTGAAAGTAGTGATTGCAATCTGGGATAGTCCTTAACGTGTCCTCGGGTTGGTAGTCACTGAGACATATAGAGCACACGTTGTTGTTCGGGTCGGGCAGTCTTCCACTATCACCAATGCGGGTCATCGGATACTTCTCTATGGTTGCTCCATCAAGCCCCATAACTACTACAGAGGACCTGCCAGCAATATTTAGTTCCATATTTCTCCCCTGCCTTCGCTCTTCGTTCTCTCTTCTCTTCCCTCTACACATCAACACGATCCCAATCACGCAGAGCAGTCCAGGTATTCCCACGCCAAAGCTTAACCGTACTTGGCAAACTTTGAAAGACCACCTTCACAATCAGTATCTTTATGTGAGACAATAGAGCAGCCATTAAAAGACGTGTGTATATTTATTTGTATGAATATATATATATATATATATACCTTGGTGTGGTAAATAGCAAGCTATTTCAAGACCTGTACCCCTCAAGAACTCGCACCGTCCTTTCTTCGCCATACAGTCTCCACAGTTTGGCGTGTTCCATTGCAAGACTATATCATCGTTCAGGTTCATCCAGTACAGTCCACTGGTAAAGGAATAAGGAATCGAAGCTGAGGAAATAACCTCGCACTGTTCCTCCGACAGCGTAGAAAAGCGAGGATCCGACAACACGGCGACCACCGAATGGTTTTGGTCGAGGTCGGAGCTTAAGCATGAGATGGGTCGGAGTGGGTACTGCTGGGTGACGTTGGAGGAGCATTTGAAAAAGGTGAAATTGAGAAGACTATAATCATTGGTGAGTTGGAAGCGGGAATCTGTGAGGTTGAAGTCGTTGTTCAGGAATCGTCTGGGGAGGCAATCATCAGGGTCTCTGATCCAAAGCTTTTGATCTTCATAAGAGATCGAGTCCACCAGGAAGTCTCCAGAGTGTGGGAGATGAAGCATCGTTCGGCTCTTGTTGCAGGAAAGTTCAAAACCAGGGTATCCACAACGACTGCTTTGATTCGCTTCGTCTCTGACCAACTGGAAAGGGAACTGAATTGGAGTTTCGTTCACGGCGCAATAGGTCTCGCAGACGTGAAAGCTTGTTGCTGTGGGATAATGAACGAAGAGGAAGAGGAACACGAACCATGACAAATCAGCCATGAGAGAAGCCTATTTAGATATGTCAGCTTAAAGGAGGAGTTACAGGGAACTGAGAAGCAGAGGATTAGATATACGGTGTTTGATTGGAACCCTGCCCCCGAGATGTTGACTAGCTGACTAATTCACATTCTCGTGCAAATATATGCAACCTTCTGGTTGTGAAAAGACCAATTTTTGAGCATTTTTCTGAGAACAGAAGGCAGCAGAAGGAAAGCGGTAAATAATACACGGGGGAAGTGTGCAAGCTCTGATATTGGAATCGGAAGTATTAGTCAATAATATAATATAGTAATATAGATTGGCTTTTATTATATTCTGAAAGTAAATAATAATGGACCTGTGGTAAGATTACGACATTGACCAGCCAATGAATGGGGCAAATGGAAACTGCTATGTATATAATCCGAAATGATCATTTGCAATGGCGTGAGAGTCCTCTCACGTACGGGTGGGCATCCACTCATCCGGCAGATCCTTTACGAAGTCCCCTTGTATGTTCTGGGAGGGTGTCAATTATCAAACACGTATAGGTTTGCCCGTCTCCCCCCCCCCCCCCCCCCCAAAACCCCTCTTTTTGGGCCAACATCAAACACGTACAAAAACATCGAAAGACAAGTTTGGAGCGAGTTCGGTTTCCGTGGCCATCAAGTGACCTTCTGCAAAAATCCGAACACTCCAAATTTTATAAAATTTATTTTTTTAATTTTATTTTATATTTATTATAAAAAATTATAAAAATTTTAATAAATTTATTTTATCATCAATTTAGACAATATAAATTTAATTTTAATAATTTAATTTAATATTATTTTTTAAAAAAAAATTAAATTGACTATTCAGATATACTTTAGATAATCTGTCTAGAATACATATGGATAGTCAATTTATAAATTTTTTTAAAAAATTAATATTAAATTAAATCACTCAAATTAAATTTGTATTGTCTAAGTTAATAATAAAATAAATTTATTAAAATTTTATAATTTATAATTTAATAGATATATATATATATATATATAATTGATAAATCTGGAGTGTCTAAATTAAAAATTTGGACGGTCAAAATTGCTCATCAAAACCGAATGCGTTTGGAGCTAATTGAATGCAATGAGCAATTGCGAGCATGCAACGTCAATCATTGTTCTCTGCGTGTGTCATATAGCACACTATTAGCTTATTATATTATTATTATGAATTTATCATTATGGTTTTGTTCGATAAAAAATGGAAGGAAAAATGTCAAAAGAAACGGTGGATGAGATGAGAATGTTTCAAAGTTCGACTAGCACAAACAGATAGAGGAATTTGAAAAAAATAAAAAATGAAGCAAATTAAAAGCAATAAAAGCGGCTTGGACAGCATACTCAGTTTGCTTTTCTGTGCATAGTTTGTTTTCTCTGACCTTTATTAACTAGAAGAAGGCGAAGCCAACGAAACATTTTGACCTTTACTTTTTTTGGACGAAACCCAGGCAAGATTAGCCCATATCCCTATTACAATTCACAGATCCATGATGGATAGAAGCCCGTTAGGAGCCTGTGAAATAAAACTGAAACCTGGCAGCAAACTGAGGCCAAGTTTTGCGAGAATAGTCAGCAGCACAGTTCCAACTTCCACTAACATGGCTTAACCGCACTTCCCAGCACCTCTTCAACATAGTTTTCAACTCTATAATAAACCCATTATCTCTATAGCCCTCATTGGATCTGTTCGAGACCATATCTATAACTTTGGTAGAGTCTGTTTCCAGGATGGATCCGTATAAGCTCATATATTCTTGTCGACACTATCGGAATTTATTTATCCATCTGTATCACCCAACCACACAAACATTGTTGAATCCGTTTGAATTTTAAGTAAGTATAATTGATTATAAAAATAATTAATTAATATAATTAATTTTAATTATAATTGATTATGTTAAAAGCAATTTGTTTTGATATTATTTTTTTTAAGATTGATTTTAACGTAATTGAAGATATTCGCATGATTTAGTCAGAATTAATTTTAACTATTTAAATTTTTTTAGGCATTCACAACTTTATCACTATTTTTCTTTACTTTTTTTAAATTAAGGGATATTTTTCTCATTTCATTAAAAACTTTGATGACAATTAAATTTTTTAGAACTTCAAAAATATTATCTTATTTTGTGAGACCAAATTATTATTTTTTATTTTAAAAAGATTTATTTGTTATTCTTCCAAAAAATAATCCATCATGTTCATATGTGGAGGTTTTAATATTTAACATATCCTCACAACGTGAGGTGCATTATTTTATTACTTTTTCTCGCGGTTTACTGTTTCTTGCCAATTCTCCCCAAAATTGATGAACAAAAGCATCCAGGAGAAGCTTACTAAAAAACGCGATTCTAGCCCAAATAATCAATTAAGTACAAGATGAGCTGATTGGATAATTATCTTTAAAATTGATTATTTTGCCTAAAAGATCAATTATTCCTCCAATCCAAACACACACGTTGAGTCATACAGACATTTGTTTTTGAAAAAAATCTAAATCAAAATATATGTTTGTGAGTCACAGCTGATCATCTTATCTCATGTATTCTCTCCCAACGTCTTCTTTTATCAATGAAATCAAATAAAAGAAAGGAGTAACAACTTCTTTCCCCCTTATGCTGTACCAAAACTTTCTCTTGTAGTTAATAGCGCGCAAGACACTTACAAGGCTAATAAAACATGCATGTACATAATTTATGTCGGGATCAACGACGGATGAGAAGTTGAAGATAGGGACTAAGAAGACCCATGGGGAAGATGACGACACAAGGGACACGTGCCCTTCTTCTTGAGCCAGCCATCTATACAATGGGCATGAAAATAATGATTACAGTGAGGAATGGTTCTTAATGTTTCCAGAGGCTCGTATTCACTCAGACATATCGAACAAACATTATCGCTTGGATTCGGCAATTTTCCACTGTGACCAACCTGGGTTTTCGGATACTGTTCGATGGTTGACTCGTCCAGCCCCATTGCCACATCAACGGATTCCGCCGTGTTTCTCTCTAACTCCACGTTCATCCTCCGCCGTGGCAAACCGTTCGGCTCCACCTCAGCGCATAATAAACGGGCAAGTCCAGCCACACAAAAGCATACCGCTCCAGTTACTCCGACCACTAATATTTTGTATATTTTGTAATGTGGAGGATCTCCATCTGCATATAAAACGATTCTTTTCATCAGTATACCAGTCAAGCAGAGCTCGAAAAAAAAAGATGACATGACATGCGCGCGGGCGCGCGCGTCGGACATTTATGTGCAGCCTTGTATTAATTATTTTGTTAATTTGTTAAAACGGGTTATTAGCAGCTAAAGTGTAAGCCATAAACTTAACAAAGCTTCTAGCTATTGGGTAGGCTAGTAAGAATTGTTAAATAGACTAGGTTCCTCTCTAACCCTAACTCGTTGTTTACTTCCCTACTAAAAACTGTTTAACTCTAAAAGAGTATATGGAGAGGAAAACTTGGTTTTCAGTCGAATCAAATGCACGATTCTATGTATATTTTACGTTTATATTGTTGAACATATATGCACTATTTCCTTATCTAACACTATGTATGTTAACTAGATTTCACAATATACGGCGCATGCATGGTGATATAGTATTACTATAAGGTTCCTCTATAATCTAACTCTACAAGAACAGTATTCGGATTGTTCTATTCCATTCGTGTGTACCTGGGTTTAGAAGATTGTTCTCATAGCAAGCATTGTGTTGATTATCAGGATCCAGATTCGCGGGGAGTATGCAGTTAGGCTGGTTATTCCATTTCAGCCGCATGTCGGAGTAAAGGTTCTTCCACAATTGCTCCGGTCCAAAACTATCAACAGGAACTAAAGAGGAGGAAATGAACCCACATCCGGGGAACGACATCGATGTTGTTGGAAAGGCAGGATCCGACAAAACAGCGATGACGGATAAATTGTCGCTGTCGGAACTGCTGAGGCAAGGTATTTTGTGAGCGAACTGAGCGGAGTCCGGCACTGGGGTAGTACAGTTGAGAAAGTCGACGTTCACGACAGTAGAGTAATCGGTGCTCCACCGGAAAGGCGAACTTTGAAGTTGAAGGTCCAAGTCGTGGATGAAGCGCGAGGGAAGGCAATGATTTGGGTCATTCATCCAAGCTTGATGGTCCTCCAAAGAGATCTCTTTGACGACAAAATCTCCGGCATTTCCGAGTGTGATCAATGTCTGGTTTCGGTCGTCGCAGAAAACTCCGAAGTTTGGGTACCCACAATCATCGCTTTCAACTTCTTTCAAATAAAAAGGATACTGAATTGAGGGTCCAAGTTCTGGGTCTCCGCAGTATCTTGTTTCACATGTTTGTACAGTGCTTGTTATTGTGTGAAGGTACACAAGCATTGAAAATAAGAAGAAACCTGGGATGCGAGCCATTAGCTAGCTAGGCAAGGTACGTATAATAAGATTGTACTGATGAAATCTCACACTTAGGATGTGGCGTACAGGAATTCATTCTTAGAGTTCAGATCCTAATTTTGTTGTATTGAATCTAGTTTTAATCGTCCAACACATCTTCTTGTCATCATCACTAGGTAAATTTGGATTATTTGAGCTTAAATGCCTTTCCTACCACTCATAACAAGAATTAATTTAGATGATTTCAAAGCATCTTCAATCATGGTAATGTTTCCAAATAAATTATATAAAGGAAAAGTTACAGATTAATTTATGGTACCTGCAGACAAAAATTTATGATCTTAACGAAAAAATTGTGATAACTAATGTAAGTGAAATGATCTCTAATTACATTTGATAATGAAAGATTCCCCCCCCCCCCTTCTTCTTACTCGTTTTTTGAGTTTAGTGCGTCGATGTTGAATTTGAGAACTTCATTCTTTCACTGATTGTGGCTTCGTAAAGCTGAGTGCTTGTTTTCTGGTGAGACACCGAAACCAATCGAGGTCGATATGAACTTCAATAAGACATGGATACTAAGGATTTGAGTAATGACAATGCATTTCAATCCGTTCACAATCAAACAGACACTTCATATTGTTTAAATCAACCACGAAACGCATCATTTCATTAAATACATAAGAAGTAAGACTGTGAGAACCACTTTCTATAAACTGATTAATAAAAAGCTAAGGAACACCAGATTTAAACCTTGTATGTTTCAAAGCCTGGGGATAAAATAAAACAGGGCGTCTTTTGGGCCTTAATAATAATTGTGTAAAAATTTACTTGTTCATTGACATTGTACAGCTTATATGGCCCAAAAGGCGAAATGAAAAATAAAATCAGGCTCCCTTTTTTATCGGCGTTTGCATCTATTAATGGTCTGGGCTTTCTTCTGGAGCTTGTAACATGCTAAGCTTATCTGTAGGGAGGGACATGTCATTTTGGGCGATTCACAAGCCACTCTATTCAGGTCAAAAAAGAAGCCTCAATAACCCATTTGATATTTTTGGCTGGGTACTGGGCCCAGGATTTATTGCTGATGACGTAGTTATTCTTGATTCGCAGGTGATGACATGCCTATGGTCGTCAAGTTTTTCGTTTCTAAATGCCTTGTTTTGGAAGAAACTTGGATTTTCTCCTTTTTTGAGAGATCTAACTTCAATAAATTAGTCAATTTTATGGCAAAAAATAATAATGATAAGTAGTAAATTTGGCGGATTGTTTATGTTTTCTTTGTTACATGTGCATGCATGTGATCTTGTTGATTTGCCATATAAGATGCTAATTAATTTCGATTGCCAAGTCAATGCAGTTGCCAATTGCCATATATGTCAGTAATAATTAAGCAGCAACGCATGGGCGCGAGCTAGACTATATAATTGTAACTTCAAACATAGACTCCTAAGCTATATATAACAAGGTGTGGTTAGTTTTGATCTCTATAGAACTGATCATTCACAAATCAGCAAAAAAAAAGGGGGGGGGGGCGTACGTTTTTGTCTCACTATATAGGAGAGAGAAAAAGTGATATTTAAATTTTAAAGGTATATATAACAAAAAAAGTGAATCTTAACAAAAGGAACTAATTTTTTATAATATGATGAATCAATATTCAAATCTCTTTTCAAAAAGGTGCCCATGTTGTATCTAATTATATCTTGAACAAAATCACCTCCAATAAATACATACATACGAGCAATAAAAAAATAAATATTTTATAGTGACATCTATAAATAACAAGTCGGATACTTTGACTTGCTTTACCTCTTTGTCGTAGCTGCATATTCTACGTATATGCAAAGAGTTTAATTAATACTCTGTTTTCAAATATAAAAAAATAATTAATTCACACAATTTAAGAAAATTGATTAAATATAATAATTATATCTAAAATTAAGAATTTTGGATTAAATTACTTTTGTAATTAATGAAATAAATTTATCTAATAAAAATAAACATTGATTTTATTAGGGACAATTTAAAAAAAAGTCATAAATGCTTTTTTGAATTTATAATTTTGTTTATAAATAAAAACAGTAAAACACATTATAGTTTTTCTTATATTCAAAAGCATAAAGAATAAGGTTTTTTAATTGAAAAAATATATTAAAACCAATATAAACATAGAAAAAACGGGTTGTTTTAAAAGACACTAACTAACTTATTAAAATGTATGAATTAGTTAAAAATGTCTTATAATATTGATATTAAAGGAGAATAATTGGTAGGTTTTAAAATATTAAATTAATACCAGATAAATCTCCAAATTTTTTTAAAATAAGTTAAAAATATCAATCTAAATTATTATAAATTTAAAAATTTTAACTATAAATAAGTATTTAAATATCAAATGAAATTTTTACATTATAACAAAATTTTTTTATTTGTAACTGTTTGAATTTATATTTATAATTCATCTTATAAAAAATTTTGATCCACAATCTAACTGTTATTAATTTATTCAGTTGAGACTTAATGGTCATTCTTTTGATATTAAATGAAATAATTACTATTAGCATTCACTAGGACGTATATAAAAAAAGTGAAATACTTTTCACCGCTCACCAGCGGGCGTGGTGAGATGATTGACAACTTAATATGGCTTTCGCGTTACATGTGTATAAATTTCGGTCATTATTGTAACTGTAAATCATTGAAGACATATATATTGAGGTGGGGCACCCTAATTCTGTGGTGTTGATCTGTGCCCTGACTCGCTCACTGTACTCAACATGGAGGGAACGAGTTAGTCAACCGATTTAAACAGACAAGGACAAGAGTAGGGTTTGTGTGGATCCACCCTCGTATACATGCATGTGGATCAACAGTTAGATTATTAGAACTCTCGCGCTGTGTTCTTGATATTTAATTTAATCCAGTCTTTATCTCACCTAAACAGCTCCATACATACATGTCGTCGTCCAAGCAATATTCATTTCTTTTTATTTATGCGTCAATAGATGACAACACGGTAATGCATATTTTATATATTAACCCTTAAAATTAATCTAATGCTGATTAATTATTCTCCTTATACGTGCAGAAACAGTTCGATCGCTTGGTAAACTATTTGTATTGAACTTGTAATGAATAATATTATGCTTTGTCCGATCTGTCACATGGGGTTTTGGCGTCAATATGATATCATCGTGACTCTTTTTTTTTTTGGGGGGGGTGTCATCAGGTCATTGTGACTGTATTTATACGCAACACATGTTCTAAACGAATTGAATGATGAAATGAGGATTTTTATTTATTTATTCATCGTCTTGTGCTTAGAGAAAGGAACATTTTTGGCATTTCCAATCAATCAAGAGGTGGGAGGTACATAGTGCAATTTGCAAGAGGATTGAATTACGAAAAAGGGTCGGGTCAGTGAACGTAAATCATGCCTCATTTTCATGAGGAGCCAAACAGTGACAAAACGGATAATGACGTGAAAAAAGCAATGTCAATCAAAAAGGTTGTTGAAATTAGGCAAAAGCGAAAAGCGCTTACGATTATAATTATAAGCATAATCATAAACTAAGCTGAGTTAATCAGCTTAGCTTATTGACTGGCGACGCTTCTTCCCCCCAACCGCCTAATTTTTTTCTCTCGTCAGATGATTAATAATTAGTAGCAAACAATTAGTGTTTCTGTCAGTTAATTCTATTGCCTTCTTTTCTCGCGTATACCTAATTACGCTGCTCAGCCTGTGACTTTGTCGTGAAAAATAAATACGACGCCGATTTTATATTTATCGGAATGAAAAGGGCGAATTTGCTGCGTCCAGTTCATTCCAAAAATTATTTTTAAATAGGAAGAGTATATATAATTATATATAATTAAAATTCATGTGAAAGTGTGCTTATATATCTGCAAATTCTGGGCATTTTTCTCACTATTTTAATTGATGTATCTCACATTATGCACATGCATCTCAACAGGTTTTTTTTCCCAATTCACAAAGGCTGTTTCTCCCGACAAACAATGGGTTAATTCTCACAATCATTAGCTAACAAATTATATCCCCCCACATTATTGCGCGTTGCCTTTCAGATATTTGCAATCTACCCCTTTTTTTCTTTTTAATTTAATTTTTCAACCATCACAAAAATAATACCACATGATATAATAAAATAAAAACAAAAAAAGAGCAAGTATTAAAAAATTCGAAATAAATAATCGTGTTCTTTAATATCATTTCAACATGCATGATTAAATAATAAGAGAGAAGATTTAATTTGGTTTTTCCTCTAATACACTTGCCCCATTTCTCCATTATTTAGCTCATGTCCCTTAGGTACACTATTCAGGCCCTAAAATAGAACAAAAAAACAAGCAAATACAGATGGCAGGGGCAATAGAATATGAAGAAACAATTAATTAATACAATTTAAAAAGATACGAAATACGTCACGTCATGGAGGAGGAGAAAGATACATAACGTTAAAACAAATCTCCGTGAACCCTCATCGTCTTTTTATTGACTATCCGTGACCTTGAGCCACATGTTCTTATTTATATAAGAGGACCCATAAATACACCCATCTCCCTCCATACCGTCCTCCTCATACTCTGTAACCTTGTAGAATCTTCAAAGCGCGTCTCCCATCTGGGTTCTTAATTTCTGAATCAGAATCCAGTGCAAGGGCATTTTCCTGGGAAAAGTTATAAGAAAGGTCAAGTTCATCAAGAGTTTTAGTGATGGGCAATTGCATGGAGAGATCCAGCGAGACTGATCGGTGGCAAGCAGAAGAAAAGGAAGAGGTGAAGCAGCATCAGGTAGAGAAAGATGAAGGAAAGAAGCGAGTGAGGGTTAAAGTCGTGCTGACGAAAGAGGAGCTACAATGGCTGATACTTCAACTCAACCAGAAGCAAGGGATGGGACTGGACCAAGTTCTGGAAGAGATAAAGAGAAGCAGAGACAAACTAGTCCAACCATGGAAGCCTTCTTTAGAGAGCATCCTCGAAATTCCTGAAGTGCCGCCTCAGATGGACAGATGATTCTCTGTCTCTCTGGTTTTTCTTCTCTTTGCAGCCTGTAATTCTAGGTTTTTGTAATAACTGATGTAAGAAGTGATAATGACCACATTTGTAAATCTCACTTGAAGATGACGATCTTGTGCCTAGAGTACTACAATCTTGCTCTCTTCCTTTACTTTTCCCTGCTTTAATTAACTAACCCTGTTTTCTGAAGTATACGCACACATATCAGTTCCGTGTCTATGGTTTTGTTTTCAGTTGTTCATCCAGCACTCCCACTATATTTTTCTCAAGGGCAAGTAGATTGCATGGAATTCAATAGAAGCTTTTAAGAATGGGAGTGGCCGTCTCGGAAACAGGGAAGATGACAAATAGACAAAATTAAATATAGAAGTTTTGAATTAAGATATTGTATATTTTTGCTAATGTTCGTCCATCTATTCTCTCTTTCATTTGTGGGCAGCCATTACCCATTTCTGACAAAGTAATGGATAGAAAAAAGAGGCATGTAACGTAGTGAGGGAAAAGAGGACGTTTGTTGGGCATGAAAAGCTCATTACTGTATGCCAAATACGAATCCAAAGTCGAACACTCGTTATCGAAAAAGTGGTCAATTATGTATTTTGATGTGAAGCAATTAAAAAAGCGTCCCCAGGATGGGAATCCAAAGTTGTTGTTGTAGTCCAGCAGGGCTGTATAAAATCTGACACTAGTGGCGTTCTTTTATTTTATTTTTTTTCCTTTTAAAATTTCAACTGGGAAGATTTTCAAGACAAGAACAGTGAACGCTGAAGAGCACAGGTCGTGAATTGAAATGATTGGCCCATAGATGGAGTTTACTATAACGCAAATACAGAGTGTTGAGAAGTTTCTACGACGGTGCCATTTTTTTCTTTCTAACGAGAAATTCCAGACAGGCTGGCAGATCCTAAATTCTAAGTACAGCAAATAAGATTCGTCATATATATTATATGTAGGAAGTAACCTCACTTCTGCATTGTCTTTGTTATGCTAGTCGCAGAAAAGAAGGAAGAAAGGCTCACAGCGAGGGAGGGGAAAAAATAATAATGATAAAGATCATATGGAAACAAGCGTAATATATATTTATAATCGAATTAATTTTATGAGCAAGACTTTGAACCATATATAATATAGCCGGTGTAATTGTTGCTTCCTATTCTGAAATGTCATGCTTCATCATTATTTTGGCTGGAGAAGCAGGTGGCTTGGAAGGAAATTTGTGGTTGATATCAGAGTTCGGTTTCGGTGCCATCATTACCTTATTAGCTTATGAGCAATTTGGATTGACCAGATTTTTAACCTGAGTCATCTATTATCGGTTTTATTTTATATTTTATTATATATTTATTAAAATATAAAATTGTAATGAATTTATTTTTATTATCAATTTGAATCAATAATGTATATTTAATCTCGATGATCTAATTTAATATTAAATATTTTAAATTTTTATAAATTAAATATTTAGATGTACTCTAAATCTAATTTGTTTATAATACATTTAGATAGTTAATTTATAAAAATTTAAAAAAATAATACTAAATTGTATCATCTAGATTAAATCTGTATTGCCCAGATTAATGATGAAATATATTTATTAAAATTTTATAATAAAAAAATAAATTGTATAAAATCTGAACGATTCAGATGCTGATCAAGTCATAAGCACAATCTACGAAAACTGAACACGGTGATATCACATGTGGAGTTTTGTACTTGAGGCTTATTTATATGATACCAAGATAATTTAATTAAATAATGATTTATACCAAGTTATATACCCTCATTTTTCTCATTAGTTTCACAACTTCTTTCTTATCAGGCTCCTCCTTTCCCAATTTATAAGACAATTTAAAAAAAATTATATATATATATATATAAATAAAGCTCTTTAAACACACTTTATAACATACTTTTTTTTCAAAATAAAAATATAAATTTATAAAAATACCATTCATTTATTAATATTAAAGAAAGAATATAATAATGAGATAAGGGTAATACTGAAAAAGTATATTTAATGAAGCCTTATTTTATAAAATTGCCTTATTTTTTTAATACAAAATTATCTCTAAAATAATCTTATAAATTAGGATGGATAGGGTACTTTAATTCAATTTTTTTTTCTTTTGGGTTACCCACAGATGTCTTTTTATTGAAAGCTATTATGTTTAAGTTAATATTTAATATTTAATATCAACACCTTTTTTAATAAAAATTTAAATCTTCATTTATTGTATTGTAAATGACTAATTCCTCTTGCCAGACATAATTCTGTGTGTCACTTTAATTAAATTTAATACTACTGCATCTCTATTCGATCAAGACCAAACCGCCATGGGAGTGACAACTAGGACCATGGAAGTCATGGTCCCTCTTCTTTATTTGTCTTCTTTTTTTGGGTTTGTCACCCAGGCCCATCTTATGCGCTATTTGGGGACCAAAGCGGGTGCTCTAAGAATAAAGATATTTATGGACAAAAAAATGGCAAAGATAAATAGATGACTGTCTGAAACAATAACGTTGAAAGTAAGCCCCAGATCATGCCAAATTTGGGCTAAATAGGGCCTGGGCCTATGTTTTTTACTTAAATCTGGAGCCATCAATTAAGATTAACCTTTTTAAGTCTGAAAAAATTTATTATCAGACTGCTACTTTAAAATATAAAATAATAATTTAGGCTTAAAAGGGCAAGGGCCGACCCTTATATAGTTTTTTTTTTAAATGTTAATATTAAAAAAAATTAAATGATACGCTAATTTTAAAACCCTAACCTTATTTCACGTGGATGAAGAAGCAATATATAAAAAATTTAATATTTTTGCCGTTGTTAAGGCTCTATAAAGAAAAGGATAAAATTATATTGATCTTGATGACAATAAAAATTATTAAAATTTTGCTGATGATGGTAGTAAAGTCTTATTATCATCGGCGTTAATTTTGTGATGTTGTTTTTATTAGACTTAAATTTGTTTTTATAAATTTAATTAATGTGTAATAATTTTTTGGAATTTTCAATATGTTTTTTATATTTTAAATTAAAAAGTAAAAAATATATAAGGCTGTGGCCATGAGGGCCAGACTGATCAAAATGGAATCCTGAAATATAATCAAGCTTTATATAATTTACTCGTTTAGGTCATAACCTTTTAGGGACTGACCCTAATTAACACATTTACTTAAACTAATGTGTAAATCATCATGAAATTTGTGTCGACTCAATCAGTTGAATATGTGAATTATTAAGACCTTGTTTGGTATTCAAGAATTTAGAGTAGATAAATGAAAACGTGGAATTTAACAAATTTAGGGTTCTTAAGAATCATAATTATGCCACAATTCTTAAAATTTGATTCCTTTCTCACCCTTAAGGATTTGGATTCTTCTCCTTGGAATTTCATTTTGCCCTCTCAAACCATTTCATTGTAAAGCTTCAGCCATTATTGCCACCATTGATGGTCACTACTTTGGTTTCAATTTTTGTTGACTGCATCTTAAAGTCCTTTAGATTTGAACTTCTCTACCTCTATTCCAGCAAAAACTTGAGCACAATGTCCATGACAATGACAATCCAAGGGTCAAGATTGGCTAGATGATCCAGAGGCGAAGATCATAGTTCGAGATAGGGGCATTGCTAGAACTGATGTCGAGGCATAAGGTGTTGGCAGTGATGGTGCCATCGTGGTTGGTTTCATCTTTGGCAAAGAATTTGATGGTACCTTGTTTGATATGTGCGTGTTGGACTTAGCCATTGATTTTTATTCAATATGCACTTGGGATTGCTTGAATTTATATGGTTTTCTGCTTATTTGTTTTGAATTATTAGGTGATTGTGATTTATTTTTTCGATGCGTCCGTGTGTTATTGTCGAAGAAGAGGAAAGAAAGCATGTGATAGAAAAGGTCTTTAATATAAAGAAAAATGATATTTTGATTTTTTCTTATTTTAAATACAAATACTTATTAAAATTAAATTAGAATTCCATTATCTTATCACACACACTTTTAAAATTCATTTATATTTAGATTCCAATGCCATCAAAAACTATCCCATTATATCAAATATGGTATAAATTAACAATTTGATTGGTTTGATCCCAATTTTAACCATGAATTCTTGAATCAAGGCATTGACTTTAATAATAAGCCCATTAATACTTTGGTTTTTATAGATGATAATATATTTTAAATTTGTGGCCATATAAATATTAATTTTTTCGAACAGTAACAAGATCAGATTACCCGTACGGGATAAAAGCATAAACTTCGAAGAAACGAAACATAATGACAACATGCCCCACAATGCCACGTACGATTAAGAAAACTAGGAACTCGGTCAATAAAACACTCAACTGTCGCATTTCACTCAGGAATGAAACCTGCAGGCTACGGCGCTCACCAGTGGGACGATGGGGGCAAAAGGCAAAAAGTTATGTATAGATTAGGCACTTTGTTGCCAATTAATATAAAGATCCGGTGACGATATGGCTGAATATCTGATAAAAACACCAATTGCCTTTCAATTCGATGTTCAATTATCTTGACTAATTAATGTTTAAAAAAAGCATGCACCGAAGAAGTATGAAATACAATAAGCTGACTTTATTGACCGGCAGTGTTGCCCGAAATAAAAGAAAAAAAAAAAAATTACTGACTGGCTAGAGTGGCAACAGTGAGACTTTTAATTTGGGCAACGTAAGTAATATGCTCTGTCTTATTTTTATAGTATAGACAATCCCGATGCATACCACATTAAAATTCAGTTGCAATTTTTCCTCACGCAAAATATGGTAAAATTTTAATACAATTCATATTTTAGAAGAAATTCATAACTTTCAATATCGATTATGATGCATGAGTTTTTAAGGATCCAATATTTTCTTTTTAGAAATGCCCTTATTGCAAATTCTAATGAGTATATAAAGAGGGTGTTTTGTTTATTTTAGATTGATGGTGTTAATTTGGAGTTAAAAAAAATTGAAAACTTGCTCAATTTAAGACTATTTTAAATTAGGTCACTTTCAATAATTTTCAATAGAGAATTCTTTTTTTTTATCATTTGAATTAATATTTGGAGTTATCTTTCACAATTGTTTTTTAAATTTAAGATCTCATTTGTCTGCAGAAAAGGAATGGAATGGATTAACAAATAAAGATAAAAAAAATGATAATCAAAATGTGAAGAATTGATAAATCAATGTTTATGAGAAGATATGAGTAATTTAATTCATGGGATTAAGTGTCATAATTCCTAAAGTTTGTGGTTAGTGTAGTGAATCCCACATTCAAGGCATATGGCATTGAGTTTTTTTTTTTTTTTTTTTCATGTTTGCTATAACGGATTGGATAATTCAGCTTATTTTTATTCTTATTTTTTAATATATCCCATTCTTTTTCAATAAGTAAACTGATCATGATTTGCATTGAACTAAACTTCTGAGATCTAACTAATGTAATGCCTTAATAAAAGACTCATTGACATTGCTTCTGAGGCACTATCTCCCAATTTAAATGCGTGCAGCCAACTCTCATATGAGAATGTAGACCATGAATTTAGTATAAATAAGCAATTACGTGCTTTCATTGAAAAATATGATTTTGGTATTTTTGAAGGTGAAGCCATAAAAAAATTATTGTATGGACTAGCGCACAACATTATTTATGTTTTATTCAATAAATTACACAATTTCAATCAAATAAAATTTTATATATAATTATTTTTAATAATTTCATTTTTAAAATAGCGCACTTCTTTAAATTATTATCTTTTTTTCTTTCTACTATCATCAAATATTTACAGCAATCTGATACATATTTTTTTTGGATGTGCATGAAGAAATGCAGCTAAATCTTATCCAAACTCTCCTCTCTAATCACATGAGACAATCCGCGTTCGGTGCAAAAGTTAACTAATGAACGAATTAGATGGAAGCGTGCACTGTGGGCTATTAGAAATTAAAGAAACATTAATGTCAAGGTCGTTGTTGATGCTGCGTGTTGTGCGTGGAATTGAGATTTCCCATCACCTGGAACAGGTCAAAACGCTCTGTTTGGTTGGACAATATTATTTTCATAAGAAAATTAAATTTAAGGATAATTTTTCCCTAGGCTATGGAGCCTAGCATTTTTTTTTGCAAGTGCGGAAAATTATACAGTTTTTAAATCAAAAACAATATTTTTCCCTGGATAAAAATGTTTCTCAAATTTATTAAAAAAAGTAAAATTAAATTAATTCAATATTTAAATCCCATAAGATGATTTTTTTTTTTATTGAGTAGAAAAGCTAAGGGTATATATGTTTAATTGGCCATTAAAAGTACAAGTTCCGGAATACATTTACAAAGTTCATCTAATAGAAGTAACCAAATAGCTTTTAGCCTTTTATCTGGAGCTATACCTTCAAACCAACTCGATTCAACTGCTTCTTGGACCACCTGTGGAACTGCGCAGCCTGTTTGATAGAGATGCCAGGGTTGTTCCCATAGATACCCTGTTTAGTTTCTGTTTGATTTTTCTTTATATGGGTCTTGTGCGGACCCGTTTGTTTACCCAAAAAAAGAGAGAGTATATTCAGCTTTACATTGACCTTTTCAAATAGATTTTTTTTTTTAAAAAAATTATAATAATAACCAAATAACATTTAACAAAACCTATCAACAATAAATTAAAAAAAGACTTTGAAAATATTAGAAGTCCAAAACAAACAGGCGTTGAGAGTACTACTCCTCCATCCAAGAGTACATGTTAACGTGAATTTGGGGGTTAATTATAGGAGATCAAGCTGCACAGCACTTCATGATACTGATAACATTTGGTTGGAAAGGGAAGATATTGTACACTTTACCAAAAAATATATATACATACACGCCAAGTCCCTAGGCCATCTGAGGCTGGCAATACATCCCACCGAGTTCAAAAAATTTATCCAAGTCTTGATCCCACAATATGATGCCTGCCAATCCATCGACACTATCTTTGATCATTTCAATCAGAGATCATGAAGATGAAAAATTGAGGGCTATGAGCATGCACATGCTTAGCGGAAACTTCATATTTATACATCACATATATAATACAGTAGGTCAAGTAGTATCGTCCCAAAAAAATAGTAAGTTCGGCACTCCAGCAGAGAGCATAGTCCTATAGAATACTACAGTTTTCTGCTGCATCATATTAGAGCTATAAACTACTAATTTATAGTATAAAAACTATTCAGGGATGTCAGCAAGAGTGGCTTCTTCGATGTTGCGCGTGGAAGTGGGCACGGCGCTGACACGGCTTGCTGGGATCAATACAAGCTCACGAGCAACGTCCCTGAACTCAAGAAATCCTCCTTCTTTGCACTTCGATAGCAGTCTAGCTGCTTCTTCCTTCGTCATCTTCACCTTCACTATAATCCCCTCTCTCTCAGTACTCCGGTTTATTCTTCTCTTCTCACTTCCCTTTTCCTTCTCCGACTCGTCATGATCTCCAGCAATCACTGTGGGCTCTGAATCCGCAAACCTCACACTTTTCTTCACCACTGCCTTTCTGGGTGCTTGCTTTTTCGTCAACTCGTCTCTGTACACAGCCGTTTTTTCTTGAGGTTGCTCCACCACTCCTACTTTAACATCTGAGACTTGCCTATTCAAGCAAGCAAAAATGGTGTGCATCATTTTCTTTGTTTGAACTGAGAGTGAGAAAAGGTATGGGTATAGTGTTTCAAGAGAGGTATGAGGCAAAGGGGAGAGAAAAGCAGAGTGAATTTATGGCACTTTATGAGATGAGAGCAGAAGCATGAAGTAGAGGGGGGGTCATTTACATAAGCAGCCTAATGGTGGTGGGCCTATGTATGTCAACGTAGAAGAGTTATGGTAATGCATCAACAAGTCAAGAGAGCAAGTGATTTGACAGTCAAAGGAAGTGGTCCCTCCAATGTTGTTTTTTTCGTAGGAAAAGGGGGGAAATTATGACTGTAATCTGCCGGGTTGGAAGGGTCCAGCCAATTACCCTTTGAGTTGAGGGAATCACGAGTATTGAAGACCAATTCTCCAGTTTGGCCAGTTCAATATAGTGATGTGTGTTTCTTAATTGATGAGAAGCCTCTGATTTGAGCCACACAATTGATGGAGGCTTATCTTATCTTCTAAATGCATAATACTGGATTGATTGATTAATATATAAGCTGTTCCTTCGCTGTCACCGTGTGCAGGATTAACGTGAAAGACTGGCTCATATAATGGCATAGCGCAGTACAGAGCCTGAAGTCTCTCCCTCTCTCTCTCTCTCTCTCTGCGTATATATATCTTCATTTGAAATTTGAAGGTATATATGAATTGGATTAGTGTATTTTCCACTTTGGTAGAAGACTCAAGAATTAAGAGACTACTTGATGGTTAAGACCAGATCGAGTTTGCACCCTCTTTGGAAGCGTTCCAAGGTGCTATGTACAAAAGGGGAAAAAAAATGAATGCGAAGCCTTGGCTAATTACATTGGTGAAGCTCGAGCAATAAATTAATAATGGAGAAAGTTGACAAGGCCGAGGCATTAGTTAAGCACGGTTATGACTTAAATATATGATCCAACAATTTCAACGCAGCGCGTGTGTTGAAAAATGGAACGAATTACAACAAAATCTATGGCGTGAAAGTCTGTTTATTACTTTAATATACAGTGTCAGCATTAAGTATTGACTGGTTTTTTTTTTTTTTTTCCCGTTCAATAATTCCTAAGTCCACTTCTTCTTCTCGTGTCTTCCGTGGACAGACAAAAAGCACGTCTTGTGGGAGAGTAGCACAAGGAATTAGTCGTAAAAGGAGCCAAATAACACGGTTTTTGAGTTGAATTAAGGATGTGCAGACAAAGTCAAATTTGATTTTTAAGTGCTGAAAATTATCCTTCTACAGTTTGAATTCTATCTTATGTTGAATTGAGATTGTCTAAATTAGAGAATTGAAAAAAAGATGGTGTATAAATACCATTTTAAACTTCAAAAAATAAATACATGTTTTATCTCGTTTAAGTGAGACAAATGGGAAACGGATTTTTTACCCTAGAGTTTACATGACGTAGTCTAATCAAAATAAAATATTTGTTCACGATAAATTATTTTCTGCAACCAAAATAAAACAAGAAGCATTTGCTAATTTTTTTAAGGAGGAATGATAGTGGAGATAGAAGAAGAATTTAATTTCAATTTGAGACCAAAAAATTTGAAAAATTTCAGTAAAAAACACAAAAGATCATTAAGTATTTCAGCACTAATATACAACAATTTGATACTTATATTCCAAATTTTGGCATTGGTATTATGAACCTTAACACTAATGTTTTAAAATTTGAGGGTAACGCAGATTTAAAACATCAGTATCAAATTTTGGAATCTTACTATCAAATTTTTAAATATTTTAAACTTTTGGTCTGTCACTAAAAGTTTAAAATATTTTGATTGTAAATTTGAAATTAAATTTATGTTTTTGTTTCAAACTGCTATGCTCCAAATTTTTTAATATAATGGCTAGGATTACTTCATCCGCTGGTGACGTGAATGTGATGCTTTTCACCTATGTTAGCTGGCCAAAACCCATGCGTGGGGCACTTTATGGGGTCACTAAATTCATTATCATGGTATGACCTAATGCCTTGGGACGGTCTACATTGCCTGAGAACATAGTTAGCTCAGCGTGCCCCAGTCATTGGATCAGGCACAGGGGCCAGGGTCAAATCCCGCCAAACCAGAACATATGTTCTTATGTTTGAAAATATAAAATATTTTTAATTAAATTTTATTTTTTAATAAAATAATTATTTACTTTTTAATTATTTTTATTTTTTTATATTTATTTCTATTAAATACTCTATAATAAATATAAAGTCATTATCAATAGACGTATTTAAAAAAAATAATGATTATATCTCAACAAATTACAAATACCTTACATTTTTAAATATCAAACTCCTTCAAAAATGTCTTATATTTTTGAATGGAGGGAGTATCATTTTTGTATGAATAATACTTATCTTATAATATTATCATAAATTTATTATTTTTATGATATTTTTGGATATTTCTTATCATTATAATTTTTTTAATCTCTTTCAAAATTTAATTTTTTTAATTAATATTAAGTAAAAATAATTTCCCGCTGTTGATTATATGTAGTTTTAAAAGAATCACTTTTGATACTATAAAAAAAAAGAATTACTTTTGATTATAACATTAGTCTTATAAAGCTTATATTTTAAATGATAATAATGGTATTTTTCAAAAAAAAATATTTGCTAGATTTCTCCAGGCCTAACGCAGTTGAACACTTGGGATTCGAGTTGGCCTAAACAGCATATCAGGCTGGGCACTGATTAGAGGTGATACCGGATCCGATCTTGCCCATATGTAAGCATACTAATATGCCCATAGGTTTTTTTTTTTTTTTTAATTTCCTCATTTTTGGTTTACAAAAATTGAATTTTAATTTGGGATCCGATCTTGCCCATATGTAAGCATACTAATATGCCCATAGGTTTTTTTTCTATTTCCTCATTTTTGGTTTACAAAAATTGAATTTTAATTGGCCCTGTATAGGCCATTCAGACCAAAAGAAATTAACTTTTTTTTTTATACAGAAAAGAAAATAACGTTGGACATTTAATTGGAGTCTCTGAATAAAGAGTAGGCCGAAGCCCAAATGTCCAGTTCTAATAACCCAAAACGTTGATCGGTCATTACAAGTGAATACGCAGTGCTTTCGCACGGCTCGCGAGATTATGCTTCAAATTTCGACAATCTTCGCGAGACGAGTTCAGAATTTCACTGTCAAAATCCAAATCGCTGGCGTCGACGACGCAAAGATAAACCGAACGGGAAGACTCATTGGAAGAGAGAGGGAGCCATGGGTGCTTCTCAGGCCATGAAGAGAATCCCTCGCATCAAGTTCCCTCAGAGACATCCCAAGCCCTCAGGTCTCTCATTCTTTATTCGCCTTCATCTTTTGGTTTCCTTTTTTTTTTTTTTTGGGCCGCCCTTTTCTTTTCAAGCTTTTATTTTTAACGTGTTTAGACAACTTGATGCTGCCGGTAACGAGCTATATTAATTCGCGAATCTCATATTGACATAATAAAGCAATTTAGCTTCTCAAATATTGAATTTGGCCGGATGGGATTCCTCTATGCGTCATAATTTTGCGTTACTTTCCTTTTCGTGCGCTTGTTGGGTCTTACTTGTATGATTTAATATTTACTTCATATCTTCTAGTACTCCCCTCAGGATGAATGAGTGAAACGTAATCTAGCCTCATCGTTGATTTATAATGTGAATTTGTTGCTTCTCTTGAGATAGGCCGTTTCTTATACGGATGGAATTTTAATTTTGAGACCTAGTGATGCATCCCTAAGTATCCGTGAATCTTGATAGCTTGGGAGAAGTTGGCTTTATTATTCTGTTGCATCCACTGATTTTATTATAGCAAAATGGTTGATATTTGGCGGTTACTTTCGTCTGGCTTTAGCTTTGTTCCATATGTTTTCAATTCGCCATGCTACGCTATGTTTTGCATTTATGCTGACTTTATTCAATACCTCTGGGGACAATCCAGTATCTACTCATCGAATGCTGTTACTTGATTCTGCAAGCTTTATAGATTTCAGTTTCATTGGAGATCCTTTCACTCTAGATTTTTCGTATATTTGATAACTCCGTATGGTTGGACGCGCGAACTCTATAAAATTTTCTTTGGTAGCAACATTGTATTTAATATCTTTCAGTTTTTCAACAAATAAGTGATGTCCATATGCATTCTGGTTTTAAATTTAATAGTAAACAGAGGCTGACGATGATAATGTATGTGACATTTCATAAACTAACGCTCTTGCAAAGAGTTTCAACTCTCGAATCCTTGAACAAACAATTGAAGAAGTTTACTACTTTTGTCAGGACCAATTTTATGATAATCATATGTCAGATCTATTATGTGATTTACAATTTCTTTCATAGTTTTGGATCTTTGTCCCAATGAACAAATTTCATTCTGATGCTTCATGCTTGGTAATAAGTAAATCTTCCAATTTTGATGGAAAGCAGGGTCTGCATATGAGACGCAGGCTCCAGTCTCAGAAAATGATGCTTTACCATTCTTTTCAAGCTCAAAAGCTCCATCAACTGTGGGAGGGAAAGCCTCACTTCAGCCCAAAAGAACTCCTGTGTCCAGTGAGGAGATTGAGGCAATTATGGTAGGCAACATCTCCTTGCGAGTTCATTCCAATGATATTGACATTTGCCTATGGGATTATTTTTTATGCCTGCTAATTGCATGACTACCTGTTATGCTTCTTCACTTGGTTTCTTTCTATGTCACCCCCTCTTTATCGAGTTTTCTTTCAAGTTCTTATATTGTTTCAATTGCTAATATGATTTTTTTGGCCCTTTGACACAGTTGGGTGGGTGCTTCTAAGCGTGTCCTAACGTTGCGAGGATGACAGCTCTAATCTGTCTTAATGTACTAGCTGATGGTTCCGATTTAGTAATTCCCTGTAATTTAAGAACAATATACTATTCCTGTTTGTCAATAATGGTTTAGGCACAGAAGTGGAATGGAAATCCGTGATTGATATTTCTACGTTGTTGTAGTAATTGATGTAATTGAATAATTGATTTTGGAATATAGGGACCGACAACGATCCTGGTTGATGTTTCAATTGCAGAATGGATCTTGTACTATATAAATAACTAATAAACATGCTTTACAACGGAGAACTAAGACCCTGCCTACTTTGATTTCTTTTCAAGAAATGGTTCGAGCACAGCAGACTTGGGGTTTTTCATTGGAGGACCTTTTTCCCTGCGTTCCAGTTCTTCCAGCCGAAAAGTAATCAACCTGTCCCAGTTTCCTCCTTCAAACAGAACCCCTGCCTTGCCATCTGTGATCCGCTGTACAATACCACAGTACATGTAATACGGGTTATTCTCGTTTTTGACTATTGCAATCATCCCTGGCAACAAGAGCGGTAATTCCGGTGCTTTTGGCTTGTTGGAGAGTTTAAGGTCAGTTATTTTACCTGATGATGACTGTTTGGGAGGTGGAGGATTTTCCTGGATAAATTTTTCCAAACCCTTTTCTCCTCCTGGAAATCCTCCTGTTAACCCCATCATTTCTTTCTCGAAGGCATCCTCTGGAACAGTCGTTGCTTGGGCCGGCCCACCTGAGTTTGCTTCTTGCTCTGTTCCGCTTGCTGGTGGTGCCTGCTCTTCCACTTTCTTCTTCAGCTCTTGTTCAATACCTTTTTCTCCGTTGCATAGCCCTCTGCCTCCCAAGATTTCTGCCATGTTGAATTTAGCCCTTGTTTGTGCTGTGGATGGTGTTGCCTTTCTGTGAAACGTGAATTGCTTTTTGTGGTCTTGGCCCAGGAACTGGGATCGAAGAAGAGAGCCATGTAGACTGTGAAGAGTAAGAAAAGCAGCCATGGTTAACTGTTTAATAAACACCGAACAGACGCTGGCATGAGTGGAGAGGATAGAGGAAAGTATGGGAAAGTCTCATCATCTAATATTGACCACTGGTGATTTCCTATTCTATTATATCCCTTATCTTCACGAGAACTATCTGGTCGCAAATCCTACTGTAAAACTTTCTCGATTAATTTCGGCCACAAACTGCCACGACCAAGTTTTCCAGGGCTTGAGAGGGACTTCTTCATTGTTCGATTCTGTATATTTTTATGCTTCCGCCTATCATTTATCAAATTGGTTTTCCGGTCCCAAAAAAAAAAAAAAATAATTGGTTCAATGATTTTCTTTTTTCTTTTTTCTTTAACATATCAGATTTCCCTATTTTTAATTTTATAACCTAAATAAAAAATAAATTAAAATATTATTATCATATTAAAACGTAAAAGGTCTGACCAAACCATAATTTTACCCAGTTTATCTATCTATCTATTTATTTTGAGCCGCATGTCCGTGTAAATCTATTTGCGCGAAGTAAAATGTCCTTCGTTAGCTAGCTGGCTTTCTTTAAGGTCTCTGCCACTACCACGAGTATGAGCTATGGGCTTTTCTCGTTTGTTCGTTGGTTATGTGTTCATACCATACCAGGACTTCTCATGGCAAAAGTGAAGCTTTTGCATGATATATATATATATATATATATATTTTTTTTTTTTCAGTCGATGAATATGCGGTTATTTGATTAGTTCATTCCTGTTTTTTTTTTTTTTGGCCCTTGATCAGTTCATTGCTGTTAGAGAATTGGAAATCTGGAATTCGTAAATTAATGGATTTATCTAGTTCCATTACGGTGACGTTGAGATGCTTTCGCTTTTCACTGTTCATTAATTATGAATTAAATTATAAGCGACGTTTTATTTATAGCATTCTCGTCAAGCAACAGTATTCTTTCTCCTTAGTTCTTATCTTGAGGCAACCTATTTTAGGTGGAAGTGGAAAATTAGTCTTTTTTTTTTTTTTTTGATAACATGGAAAATTAGTCTTTAGTGTAACTAATTCTGGTGCCATCCGTGTTTTTCCGATAATCAGATTTTGCTGTATGCTGGTTTCTGTGGAGTAGCGACTAAGCTGATCATTTTCTTGCTTGGTGAGATTAGAAGCTGGTATAGTGTCCTAATGTGCTTCATTTGATCGTTAGGAAAGAGAGGCTTCTGTTATATTTGAGAGGAAAAAGATAAAAAATTATATGTAAAATAGTTTCCATGACTGCTAAATTAATAACAAGCAACAGGTATAATGATTTGTAGCTCTTTCTTCACTTCAATAATTTGACAGAAAGGAAGCCAGGGTCTGTCACTTGTAGCTTTTAGATGGATGAACAGTTTTCTTGTCTTGCCAGGTTGTACTAATGTGGATCCATGTTCAAATGACTTAGGTCCCGTTTGGTTATTAGAAAGGAATAAAATGAAATTAATTGAAAAAATAAAGGTAAAAATGAGATGATTAAAGGAGAAGGTGAATCACATTCACAACCATTCCATTCAAATTTTTTTTAGTAACCAAACGGGATCTTAAAGGAACCTGGATTGCAAATTGAACGAATTTGGTCAGCATTGTATGGCACTATGGCTGATGACTCTGTCACCTGGGGAACAACTGCATATATGGTTTTTTGGCAAGTGGTAACTTTATGGAATGAACTATACATAAACAGTTTTTCTTTTCTCAGATGCAGGTTTTTCCTTTGTCAAAAAAGGTCGATGATGGTCATGGAACAGATGTCATCCTGATCAGTTCCACGCCCCATCATTAACTGTAAAATCTCTCGAAATCAGAACACCATATATTCAGAGCCTAGAAGGCTAGAATTGATAAATTCTTCGAGGTAATGTTTCCTGGTGGAAAAAGAAAAGTTGAAAACAACCCAAAAGTAATCATTAAGAAAGTGAGCTTATTTGAAATCAGTAACTCATCATAGTATAGTTTTGCTCCAGTTTTGAGTAGGCTGTCTTCATGTTGAACTTGTTTTCTCTGAGGAACCTGTCTTGGGGTTCCCGTACTGCTGGCCAGGAAAAGGTTTTCCTACAACTTTTGTGTACTATGGGTTTTATGATGACAATGACTATAATCTCTTACCAACAAAAGTTCATATTTTGCAGGTCGAGGTAACTGCTGCGGAAGTAGAATCACTTCAATCAGAACTTGCTGATGCAGAAGAGAGGGAAGCTCACTTAAAAGCTCAGTGAGTGATGAACTATTTTGGACTATCATGGTCCTTTTATCTTTCGTGCTGTGCTTTAAATTTGGATTAGTGCAAGCGAGTTTATCATATTGATTATTTGATATCATAGTATTAAATTATTGAATATCTTTCTATTTCACACAGATTGGATCATATTGATGAGATTCTTCGGTCAGCTCGTCTATCTGGCTACATGTACATCAGAACGGTACAGATTGCCCATATCCCATTGCTTTACCTTGCACTAGTTTGTACGCTAGTATTTCATTCTCCTGACAAATTTAGTACTAATTTACCTTCAATTTTTTTGCTATAGAGATGGACGGCGCTGCCAGGAGATCCTCCACCTATAGATGATTCTGATGTAGATGATTGGGTTCCTCGTTTTGTTGTTCTCCAGGGAGAATGCATTTTCACGTATTTGTTGTGTTCAGGTATTTTAAATGATTGCTTTCCTTCTCTCTCCCTACTCTTGTACCATGCCCTATGTTAACTGCAAAGTGTCATATAGCCCCTATTAACACTTGCACCATCAGATCTGTTTTTTACTTTTTATGATAACACTCAAGTGCTTGATCCTTGATGAGCACCCTATTTTTCAGAACTATTTTTTTTCTAGATCAGCCTACTTAAGTAGTATTGGCAATCAATGTTCTTTATTCCTCTTAGTCTTCCTTCAAACCTCTATGCTATTCAAATTTATGCTGGCACGTTACTATCTTCCTGAAGATTTATTGTGTGACCATATTGCATGTAAAAAATTTCAATGACAAAATGGCAAAATAAGGCAAAGAAGTGCTTATCAATATCTACTTTATCTTATGTTATTGCTTCAATTTTTTATTGTACTTCATTAAAACAGCGTGCAGTTTCCTATTTTGCCAAGCATGCAACTGTAGAACTATTATCAGTCAATTGAATTCTCAGGAAATGAACTATTTCTTGATGTCTGTACATTGCGTACAATAACCACAGTCTGCAGTTAGGATCATAGTTCTCGCCTCTTTGTTACCTTTTCCTGATACTAGTTACGTACAGCATGCTTGTTTGTGGGCAGAAAGGTGTTGTTGGTTGATTCATGATTCACTTTCTAGCCAAATACATTAGATATTACTGAAAATGTTATCTTTATTTTCTCGGCTGGATTCTCTACACATTTAGTTTGATACCATTAATACTTTGTCACTTTTGGGTTTCTGATAGCCATACTTCTACACTTCTTCTCGTTGTAAAACATGTTTTTTGCCTATTATTATTTTAATGTCTTCCTTGCAGTTATTGAACAATTCTGGTTCTCTGTTCGTCTAGTTAATTTTTCAAGATTATCTATAAGGGCGTGGCTTTGTTATTGGATATCCCTCACATATTATAGGAATATCCACTGCGATATTGGAGTATCCAAGGGATTAGCTGCATGGCAAATTCCTTGCTTTATTAAACTTAGGCATCCTTATGTGTCAACTACACGTCAAAAGCTTGTTACCTTCGGTAACATATACAGGATTGAAATTTCACAAGCTTTTTACTGCCAACTCATCTTATATTGAATCATCATCACTATTAAAAATTCTGATAAAGGTAACAAAATGCAGATCTAAGTCCTCAAGACACCACTCCTCTATCTGATATTGTTGAAGTGGGGCTGCTACCAAGTTTTAAACGGGAGGATGATGAGAGACAACATGCCTTTTTTATCTTATCTCGTCTAGGATTTCGATACGAGTGTTCAAGTAGTTCCAAAATACAGGTGTGTCTAATTTAAAGTAATTTGTTTATTGGAAGTTGTAGTTATTTTTCTTCGGCCTGGATTGCTGCAAAATAGTTACTTCCTTTATTCAATGATATTAACTTTTGCAGATGTGTTTTATTACATATGTTCAACTTCATTGGATTTAGATGTTGTTACATGAAGTCTTTCCATTCAGTTTCCCTCCATTCTTCTTTTTGGCAGGTGGACTCTTGGTTGTCGGCTTTACGAACTGACTGCAACTTGGAGTTTGACACATCAACTCCCAACAGTTCAATCAAGGCGTGATAGAATTTAGTCAACATTCTGTCAGTTTAACATGGTTGAAATCTAAAAAACTTGTGTAAGTATGACAATGGTGTCAATTTACCAACATTTATTTAATTCTGGTACCAGACATTGCATGCATTATAGTGACACTTGGGGAGAGGGGGCTGGATTTTGTACCATAAAAGAAGTACGTAAACACTTGCTAGAAATCAAGAGCAAACTAGAAGGAAGATGGAAATGTTTTATGCATTGTGTAAGTTGTTGAGTGGCTTCGTTTTGTTCTTGGCTAGAAAAATCGGTAGTTCATATCTGACCGTTTTGTCTTTGATGTGCATAATGAGATACCAGTATGTTAGTACTTGGCAGAATTTTTATTGGAGTAGAAATTTAGTTCACGTCTGATCGTTTGTCTTTGACGTTGAATAACCAGAAGAGGCAGGGGGCTTCATAAATCATAATCATTAAGGCTGCACAAATTGGAGATGATTGGTGTGATTGTTAATGATGAAGAATCACTATGACGAATGAATGGAAACAAAAAGGTCCACCTATGTGCAGTGGGATCCAGATTTGATGAGCACGAGTGTTCCAAGATCTCTCACTCGTTAGTGTTCCGCGTCGCATTATAAAATATCGATTCAATTGAACAGTTTCCAAAAATATTGCCACAAGATACAAAGATAACATTAAATCGCAATTTTACCTTTTGCTACGTACACAAACTTTCAAACCTTGATGAAATCCTACAACTGCAAAGTAGACACTCACTGGATGAGATGATTTTAAACAATCAATCGAGATAACTCCAAAGTAGACACTCACTAGATGAGATGATTTTAAACACTCAATCGAGATCCCTGTGCAGTGAGGAAGCTTTTGGCCATTATTTTGCAAGTAAACTTCAAGAAACTCTGGCCAAGGAAAAAAGGGCTACTCCAAGGAACATGAATTTTTAAGCTCCCAGCTTTAGAGGGAAAACTGGTGGTTCTATTTCCATTTGCCTATCCTTTTCGTTGGGCCAATACCTTTCAATTTATATATTTGTGGGGGGTTAATTCATAAAGTAGGCCAACATGTGAACCTCAGCATCTTTTCACTCTGATTGCATCCATGTTCAATAAATTGTTGTAGGTCCCTCCGAACGACCTTTGTCCTCCTCCATTAGCATTTCTGATCTCTTTTCTTCTCCACTCCCCCCTTTCCTTTATTTGTTGTTAATTGAGAAAGGCTTTTCCATCACCAAAGGAAATGGAATTGGTTCCTCCTGTCCAATTTATACTCTGCAAGTAAAGTATTGACAACAACACCAGAAGCTTCACTATCACCTTCCTCTGTATACCAACCGCACGTACTATTCCCTCATCTCTCTCAAACACCAATCCCTCATCACATCTCGACTGTAACAGGCTTGATGATTTATCATGTTGAGTGTATTCTAGCACACCCACCGACTAAATTAAAGAAGAAACAAAACCAATCAGAAAGGCCGATTTTTTACAAGATAGCGTGATCAGAGAGATATCAACTTCCGCCTGGTTGATTCGAGATTTTTACAAGGGCCTTTTTAGGCATCCAGGAGGAGAAGGGACTATAATTGATTCCCCACATCATGAACCATCCTTTTTTTTTTTTGGGCCTGAACATGAACCATCCTGATAAAGACAGAAAGATGGCCAATTATTAATTAGATTATATTAAACCATGAAGTCAAGAAACGAACAAACCGCAGAGATAATCACTTGAGACGATCGCTGTGGTGCTGTTAACTGAGCTAAATCAGATTCGACTATTGTGTAATATCACGTGGACGCGTCCCATGCAGCTATGCCTGCTTCGGGATTTGACTGACCTAACCGGTAAAGTCAGTCATAACTAACTGCAATGGGCCACAAAGAGGGGCACATTTACCAAAAATGAGAATGAGAATAATTATACAATAAATAATAATAAAATAGGAGCAAAATGAAAACGGAATAACGCGAGCCGCACGGGACCAATCAGAATGTTACTTATGTCATGTTATATGCACCATCATCACAGTCCACAGACGAAATTGTCACACGTCCCTCGTAGCCTCCACTATCTCTGTTCCTCTTCCTTCTATCAGTGCCACTAGCTCAATCCCTCCAACATGAGCTCGCAAGTTTGCAGATCTGCTTCTAGAGCCGTGAGATCTTTTCTCTCTGCTTCCAGGGGCTCTCGCTTTTACTCCGGTACTTTCTTCTCACTCATCATGGTTCTTCTTTTTTCCTAATCATTGCCCTGCTATTTTGGATTCATTTGTCTGCTTAATAATGAACTCTGATCTTTTCTGTTCCTTTTGTAAATTTGAATAGTATCCTAAATTCGGGGCTGTAGTGCCTGTCTCTGGATTGAGTTTTTGTTTCTTTGGTTAGAAACTTTTTTCCGATGGTAATTCTTCAACTCCTATGACTTTTTCTTCAGTACGGACTCCGGAGAAATAAAAGACGGCATTTTCCCGTGTATAACGCTATTTTTTTCTTGTATATGTTATAGGATCCAATCTCATTTTGCTATTGGTTTGTTGAATAAATGATTCTGTGCTTTGATGTTAGAAACCTGTTGTAGGTTGCCTCTTGACGCGATGAATCTTGTTGATACATATATCGGGTTTGGCGATATCTTGTTTTTCTCTTCGACATTTTTTAATATTCTTTGTTTTGCACTCTATTGTGTATTTAATTATTTTATGGAGTCACTATTCCCTTCTTGACTAATCAATTTGATATTGTGGATTGAAGAATAAATAAATAATATTGAAGCTCTTGTTAGAATGTCAGGAAAGGGAAAATTGTCACACTGATAATCTGGACAAAACTAAATTGCTATATTTCTCTCCTCCCCTCCTTCTTTTTGGGCAGGGGGGGACGGGTTGGAGTATACTCCATCTGCGTTTTCTGATGCTATTGAGAATCAGCAATGCATTGAGCGATGCATCATGTCCAGATTCATTGGAAATTTTCATTCCTTTCACTTTATTTCCCAAACAAAAGATAATGATTGTGGACCATCTGCAGTATGCAGTATATATGTTGGAGTTTTGAGTTCTTTAATTTCTTTAGAGATAACCGAATTTATCCTCTTCACAGAAGGGCGCAATGTAGCTGCTGCTGTTTCAATCACAAGGAAAGTGCCTCTTTTTGCCACAAATTTTGGGAAGTCTGAATCCGGAAGTGGACCCAGATCATGGCTTTCAGGGGTTCTCGCTCTTCCTGCTGCAGGTCTGAACATGAACTACACTTATCTCAAACATTTGTCTTGCCTTTTTTTTTTTTTTTGGGCCCGTGGTGGTTTTCGTGCTCCCCCACCCCCGGCCAATTTTTTTTTTTTTTTTGTGCTTTGATTGAAAAGAATGCTACTATACAAGGATTACGTGTCTGTGGATGTGTTTGTTGAGTTCTAGTGTCTTTTACCCTGCGCACCAGTTTATCGAATCGAATAGCATGTATAAGTCATATATTTCAGTCTAATATACAATAAGAATTTTGTGACAATTATCAGCTTGTTCTTAAAGCTGCATAAATTTAGAGTCCGCACGTTTTGTTAGATATTCAATCCCTAATTTCTTTTTTCTGTAAATTTTCTTGTCCCGTGTCTTGTAGTTTACTTGCTCCAAGATCAAGAGGCACATGCTGCAGAGGTTCGTCTTGCTTTTCTTCGACTATATATTCTTTTTTTCGTTTGATTCTTATCTTTTTTCCTTCTTTATTATGCCAGTTATGCTAATCGTGCTAACGCGTAAATAATTTGCTTTTGTTTTCCCTGCGCAGCTGGAGCGCACTTTCATTGCCATTAAGCCCGATGGAGTCCAAAGAGGACTGGTAAAGTAAAATTATAATTGTGATTTTTGTTTATCAGGCAATTTGTTACAACAATACAGCCTTTTAAATCATGATGTTTCTCCTCACTATATCAATGTGAATGTTACATTTATTCACGATATATTATATTTCAGATTTCAGAGATTATATCTCGTTTTGAGCGGAAGGGGTACAAACTCGTGGGAATTAAAGTGGTGATTCCTTCAAAAGATTTTGCACAGAAGCATTATCATGACCTGAAGGAAAGACCCTTCTTCAATGGCCTATGTGAATTCCTAAGCTCTGGCCCTGTTGTTGCAATGGTTAGAACTGACTCTATCTCAGGATTTACGGATTGCTACATCAAACTGATGCACCCAACCTAACCATCTTTCTTTCTCCGCCAAATTGATGTCATAGGTCTGGGAAGGACAGGGAGTCATTTCCTATGGCCGAAAACTAATAGGAGCCACTGATCCACAGAAGTCTGAGCCTGGCACCATCAGAGGTGACCTGGCTGTCGTAGTTGGAAGGTAGTACTGTTTCATAAAAAGCTCCACTGGCTTGTTTCTTCACATTTGATTCACTAACTTACGAATTCTACAATACGCGCAGAAATATCATCCACGGGAGTGATGGGCCGGAGACTGCTAGGGACGAAATTAAGTTGTGGTTTGAGCCAGAAGAGTTGGTAAATTACACGAGCAATGCAGAAAAGTGGATTTATGGTGTAAACTGATTCTTTTTTTCTCAGCCATCCGGTTTTTCCATGACAGGATAGAAGCATACGTGAGTTCTGGAATAAGCTAGTGCTCGTCTCAGATGAGTGGCTAGTGGTAACATTGACTCTTGAATCCATAAGCGGAATTTAGAATAATATTGTTACCAGATGATATATTATACTGCATTCTGAATTCACACTATTTAATCAAGCCAGGTGCTGTCAATCCATGATTAGTTCTTCGTTAGTTATTTCCATCTTCGAGAAGAAATTAGGATCACCCACCATGCATTTATCCTATAAACAGTTGAATGGAAAAGAAGCTGGTTCTCTGAACATGTTTGGTTGAAGCATGCATTTGTCATGTGTTGATTCATATGTTTTTCTGAATGTTGTATTAAAGCTTTGTATGAACTGCAAGGCTGCCATGCCGCATCACATTCTCTGATCAGTTCCCAGGCAACATTATTTCTCTTCATCCGACACTAAATTTATTCAAGAGAATATGTTCTTGCTGTTATCGTTAATCATGTTTATTTCTTCTTTCAACGTGTTTAGTTTAGATTCATGTTTTATTCAGCAACTAAAAAGAGGAAATGAGATTAAGACAAGGCTTCGTTACATCTTGTTTGGTACAGAAATAGTTTTTTGTTTTTAAGAATAAAAAAAAAACTTATTTAAATGTGTTTTGATTTTAATTGTTTCAAAAACCATTCTTTTTTATTTTTAAACAGAATAAAATTGTTTTCATTTTATTTTTCTTGTTGAAGTTATGTTACGTTTATTTATTAAAAACTATAATTACTTTAACCAACCATTATCATAAACCACCATTATTAACCGTCAACAACTATTATTATCAGTTAATTTTTTAAATTCTAAAGCTATTTTTAAGCTAACATAATCAAACATATTTTCTTTTTATTTTATTTTAAAAACAATTTTAAAAATTACATTGCAAAAACAATTTTTAAAACAAAAAAAAAATGAAACACAAGCAAAGGCTCTTAATGTAACCTGTTGTGATCAATCAAAGAATTATATATTTATTTAATGCAATTATATATATATATATATATATATCAAAAGTCAAACTTAGAACCTTGAAATAAGCTAATTTAATTTTCTTGATTTGTTAAACCAAATGCCCTTAATTTCTCTTGTATCTATTGCTATTAAAAATTTATGTCAATCAAGAAATTGAGAAAATAGATGTAGCCAAACAAACTAACTTGTTTGCTTCCCAAAACTTACAAAGTCCAACTAGTAAATTAAAATATGTTAAGTTGTTTGTCTTATAAAAATTCAAAATAAACAAACTAACCCATAGGTTAACCGGGCTAGCCTATTTTTAAGATGAACTTTTATTATATAGGATTGTTATTATTAATAATAGCTTTACAAGCATCTTAAAAATGTCTTTGACATAATTATTTAAGATGAGTATATATCATGAGGCTCAAACTCAAGAACCTCTTACGGACATGTACAACATTGGAAGCAGATAACTTGTCCTCTCACTTAGTTTAGAGAGAAAGAGAGAGAGGAAACCCCTATGGTTTTGTAGCTTTATTTTTTAAATAAATAGTGGAAGCAGCAATCTAATTGATTTTTCAGTTTTTAATCAATTTTACAGATCTCCAATTTAGCAGAAATTTTATAGGATTAAGTTCATCAAGCTTTCATTTAACCCATTAAATCTCATCAAACAATAGGGCTTTGAATTTGATGAGTAATCTAAATTTATTTTTTCAACAAGTGTCTGAAGTAACATGATAATAATTATTTAATTTAATTAAAGAGTTATAAAAAATTTTGTCATGTTATATTAAAAAAGTATTAAATATCAAATTTTTTAAAAGAAGCGACATATGTGATGAATGTTTTAATTATAAAAATTATTTTAAATTTATCAAAAAATTGTGTTTTGATAATTTTTAAATATTAATAAAATTCAATGACTATAATTAAGATACTTATTAAACGAGTGCATTTAAATTACTCATTAAATTCAAATCTAGATTCAAATAACAGTAGAATTGGGATGACTTCGTAACAATGAAAAGCCTAATTAGGGGCTCATATTCACATGAAATGTAAAGTAAGATGTATGCAATTAATATTAAAAATATTACTACAATTTATAGCCTATTTGATATTGTCTGCGGAGATCTGCAGGATATATATTAGTAGGATAGGATTATTTATGAAATCGGAACTCATGTAGTTTACTGGTATTATTATTATTATTTTTGGTAACATATTAAAATCTGTATCTATTAGATGGGGGTTTTTTTTTTTTTAATGATGTATATTGAATAAAATAAATAAATAACAAAAAAATTGACACCCCCTCGCGTCTTCGACGCAAGTCCAACGAAGTAGACTCAAGAAAAGAGGTTAATTCATAGGAAAGCGACGCGAAAAATAGGAGAAATTTGCTCACTCGGGGTCCATCAAAGAGATCCGCATCCGCCGACTCGCTGGGCAACGGGCATCCCCGCCATCTATTAATACCTTACCCGTATCTATTGCTTCAAATTCCACAATTTTATTTCTTCTTTTTGTGCCTGTGCGTGTTGCGCAAAACCCTAGCTTTTTGCAACTCGAACAAAGCATCGTTGAATTTCAGCTTCGCTTTAGAGTAAGCCCTTTTTCCTTTCTATTTTTTCTTTCTCTCCTTGTATGATTTTCTATATCGCGTTATCCGTATGTGGTGTTTGAAACTCTGGTTTGATTTGTGAGTTTTGACTATCTTATAGATCTATATTGCACCCAAGTTTATTTGGTTACGGCATTTATTTGGGGTAATTTTTTCAAGCGGATATTTGTTCGTAGCTTTTTCAGTTCGTTTTGAAGTTTTCGATGAGGAAAAGGGATCGTAGGATTGGAATTGGAAGCGTGTCTTTTCTTAGTTGGTTTTGATGCTGTGGTTGCAAAGTTATCGATTTATTCTATGAACGCTCTATATTTTCTATTTATGATTGAATTATCTGATCAAGATATTTCTGAAGACTCTGGAGGGAAGCAGCGGCTCTTTTGTGTTATTCTTCAACATTTTCCACCTGCAATGGTTGCTCTCTACATGCTAATATTTCTTTGTCATTATTCCGAGTTTCTTAGCTGTAATTTACAAATCGACCGGGGGCCGTGTCTTCCCTGGTGGGGGATCATATTTCTCTTTAGTACAATTGTTGGTAGATGGGTTAAGTGCTAGTCCTAGTTTCTCAGAATATATGTAGTTTTTCTGATTTCTATTTTGCATTATCAGATGGCGGCTAAACCACTCTCAACTGAGGCGATTGCACTTACAGAGAAGAAAATGGACATGACCCTAGGTTTGCTTCGTGTAACTATTGTGTTTTTAAGCCTTTCTTCTTCCTTCTATTCCTACTCTATCTGATTTTCCGTTAAAATGAACAGATGATATAATCAGAATGTCTAAAACTACTTCCAAGACTAAGAGGCAAAGAAGAGTTCCGGTAAGTATTTTTTGGATAATCATTTTCTAGTGTTCTTATCATGTGCTGTTGCATTTAATACTGATGGTCCTTATCATTTTTATATGATTCCCATGCCTCTACAGAATAAAAGCCAGAAATTTTCAAATGGTCTCGCCCAGGATAAATCTTCAAAGCTGCGACGCTTTATGGAGTCAAGATCATCTGTTAGACAGGTGTGTCCACTTATGAAGTGTACTCAGTTCTAAGTTTCTAACTCACATTCTTTTTATGCTGCTATTCTTAATGACGTTTTAAATTATTCTAATGCGCTGAATTTGTGGTTCAGGGAGTTCTTGCTAAGAGAAGATCAAATTTCCAGGAAAACCAATTTCCTGTTGCAGCTGAGATTGCACAAAAAGCTGCAGTTGCTCCTTTACGCAATAGAGCTTCAAATCGTAGTAGGGTGGCTAACCGGAATAAAGCAAGGTATTAATTTTTATTAATTTTTCATGTCTTTCCCTCTGATTGTTAGAATGGGAGAAGAACTAGGTGTAAGTAATGTAACTTATAGAAGATATTGTGTTATTGATGTCAATAATTGCAAAAAATTTTATTGCAGGTAAAACTGGGCCCATCTGTTATAGTGATGACATCATAGGTGTGCCTTCCATTTATGTGATTTTTTTTCTCCGCAAAAGGAGCCAGTTTGACATGATAAATGGGAACCAGCCACTTGTTAATGAGATTTCTGAATTGAATGGTTGCATTATAACCTCACATCACAATCTGCAAACTGCCTTCACGGTTCAAGTGGATTTATATCTATTGTCACTATGGATATTCATGCTAGAGAATTGAAGTTAAGTCATTCGAGTTTGCTGGTGATAAGATTTGAGTATTTGTTAAATGGATTCAGTTCGCTGGAATCTAGATGCTAGAAATGATATATTAAGATAATTTGTTGAAGTATATTTCCCCAAGGTTGAAGAGGGTACCATCAGATCAGAAGTCCCAACATATGCGATGTGCTTATTTAGTGGCTGGTTCCCATGGAAAAACAGCTCTGTTGTTTAGAAGCAGTAGAAATGATTGTGGCATTAAACTATATAAGGCTTTTTGCTAGTCATTTTGAAAGGATGATCCCGTGATATTACTGTATATATGGTTACTTCCTGTTGATTCCTGCCTTCATTTTGGGTGAGGGTTGTTACTTTTTCTTTGGCTGTTGGAATTCCTTGCTCTTGGGTTGTGATTCTTGCTGGCGAATCCATTCACATTAGATGTACACTGCTCTGAAACAAAATTGGTTCCAAGTTGTGAGATAATGCTAAAGGATGCATGCACTTCCCATGGGATCATTTATTTAATCAGACCCTTTCTTAAATTGCAACTTGCCACTTTTGTATTTCATGTTGATTGATTCTTCGTTTGTTGATATTGTCAACTACTGGCCGGAAAAAATGAATGGTTTTTTGTTCATTATTGAATAAGAAACTCTTTTACGGCCAAGAATCAGGAGGTCTTTTGTTGGGGCTTCTCTCTATGAAGTAAAGTTTTATGGTTCACAATCAAGTAAATCAATGGGAATATTTCTGGGATTGATAAGTATTGTGGGGGACGATGTTGCTCTCTATACATGATTGAGTTCAAGTTTTCTTAGTATTCAGCAAATGTGACTTTCAATGTTTTCTGGTGACGAAAATTGTGACCTGGTCACCGTGAAAATAAATTTGAGGCTACTTCTTGAAAGGGATTTGATCTTTGAGGTGAAGACCGGTTTGGTAGCTGGGGGGTCTTTGTCGATGGTCTACTGCACAATAGATATCCTTCCTGGTAGTACACAGTTCTGTACTGTGAAGTTTCACGCTAATGATAGCCTCCATGAGAGTTCCCAGTGCTGAACTGTGAAGTGTCACACAACAAACTTTTGGGTGCTAACCCAAATCCAAATCATTTTCCAACATGGAGGATTTTATGGAAATTGTTTAATTTTGTTCTGAGGTGGTGTTGGAATTTGTATCCAGGGTACCATTATCCTTACGCTTTCTCTTTCTTAGTTGGATATAGATAGAATCTGAGGTGAGTGGCTACACTTCCAACTAAGTGAGAGATTTATTGAGTAATGTTCCTGTTATTACTAATAATGGCTTATGATGCTGGACAGTTTGGGTTCTGCTCGGAGCTCTTGATGAAGTATCTTCAATGTGTTGTGCTTCTACTCTTCAATAATCTCTTTTTCTTTTTGAGTGCAGGTTTGGAGTAGCAGCGGGTCAGAGAAGGGCTGCTAGTGGAAATTTCGCAGTAAAGGTATGACAATGTTAACTTTTTCTTGTTTCTAGTTATACATGTCACACTCAGAGGTTAGCATTCTGAACATTTTCAAGGAGAGAACACATACAATAAATGTCGTTGCTGATTAGCTGAAACTCCTTTATAGTGAATAGACCGATAACCAGATGTGATGACAAGAACAAATATTATGTATCCTATGATGCAATTAGGAAATGGACTTGGCAGGGCTTTAAAAACGGAGGTGCAAAGATTCTTGTATAGTTAGTTGTCAGTAGCCAATCACCTAATGATAATGAGGCTAGGGTTCTCATTCAAAGTTCTAGGTTTTCTTCTTTCCATCAGTTTGTTTACATTGATAGACCATGGTGTCATCAGATGCTATACCGTTTGAGGTTTTCTAGTTCACTTAGAAGATCAATGCTCTATGAAGCTGAGACTGTTGTTGAATTTGTTTTTGTACACAGCAGCCCCGGCCTTCTCAGCAGCAGCAGCAGCAGCAGCAGGAATTGAATGTGATGCCTAAGCAGAGACAACAAACGTTGGATTCACTGTTTGCAAACATGAAGGAGCAAAGAATGAGAGTTCAATCAAGGCAGAATCATAACGTGCAGCGCAATGGAGGAGGTGGTGGGCACAGGATTCCCCCATGGGGAAGGAGTCGCTTTGGCAACTAATGTGTTGGCTTGGATGGAAATTTCGTGGTGTCAATTCTGAAGCCCCTGAATTGATGCATGTTGGAATTTAAAGTGTGCAAATGCAGACCTAGTTCTTTCTCTCTCTTTTTTTTAATATTTTTTTTTCCTTTTTTGGATGTTCACTGTTTTTTCACTTGCATGCTCTTTTGGCAGTCGCTTGCACGCCCATTGTATAGTTTTTTAATCCCAGTAGCATAGCGAGTGACTATGAGATACATATTTGTGGTTAAGAACGAATAGTTAACATGCAATTTCCAGCTTCTTTATTTTTATATTTTCAATCCAATGTGGTCGCTTCTCGCCTTCTCGCTGGCCAAAAAAGAAAGAAGAAAAAAAAGATGCGGATGCATCTCGTGGCAGCAAGTTGTTACTTCTCTTGTATTCAAGGTTTGGGTGATACGGTTGATGATGGTCTATCATGCGTGAATGTTGAATAGTTTTATAAATTTAATTCTTGTATTTCCATTCATTTTCAAGTAGGTATTTATGCTGTTTAGTGTTTGTAAAGAACTTCCTATAATTTTCAATGTTATTAAATTTAGTTCTTAAAATGTACTTGCGGCTGTTTTGTTTTTCGGCCTTGTAATTTTGTTTGTTTGTTTCTGTTAATATATAGCTCAGGTTTTCATTAATTAATTTTTTTCCCCATGCGACATTGGTTTCATGCCCCTGCTTTATCCCAACCGTTCAATATCCTTCTTAGACCTCACCGGTCTTACTCTTTTCGCACTCTCTCGTCTGCCCAACCATTCCTTTCTCCTTCGTTTTCTCTCTAGTATCTCTTTGAATCTTACATTGGATGATGCCTGTTTAAGATACTTGGTCCCAACATTGACTTTATCATCCTTCTTGTACATCAAATTTTTTGATTACATCCGGATTACGTTTAGAGTATAAAATAAGGAGGATTGCATTTTTACATATTTATCAATCGCTGAGTTGTAATGTCATGAATTATAATAAATTATACGCATCATCTTGTTTTTTGTACGAATTTAAACTGTTATAGTTATATACTTATTACGTTATAAATATATGCATGTGATATTGGATACTTTTTCCAATAGTTACGCCATTGCTATCTTATGTAGTGCTGACTTTTCTGATGGTGACTGCCAAGGAATTTCAACACTCCCATCTCTCTTCCTAGCCGTATTGCACAAGACAAAAGACATGGGATTTTTTATTTTTACAGGATAAGTATTGTAATCAATTAATTATAACAATGATTTAGATATTTGAATAATTCAAACATTTATATTGGAGAGAGTCCTCCACCCCGGGAACAAAAAATGTAAAAAAAAAGCTTGTTGACCCAAGAAATTTAATTCCTAATAAGCAACTGAGATACGTGTATAGACATTTACCAGATCGGACAAGTCTTTTGCCAAAACTATAGTAACAGTAATAGAAGAAGAGGATATTATTGGAGTAAGGTACTTGCTATCTCTGTTCTTTCGTCTTTAATTTGGCGGTAAACCAATTTATTAATATTATTTTCATTCAAAATGAAATGAAATCACCGAGACAGCTACTAAAGCATTGACATTATTCATCGTGAACGAACTAACCGATGCTATTTCATCTAACTAACTAATAAGGAAACAGATAGTTTCTGTTTTAGTGTTTCGTTTGCGAATATAAAGCTTCTTCAATTGATATATTCCGAAGCAGCAATACGGCCAACCTCAACCACTTCCTTCTTTCGTCTCTCTGTGTTTCTGTTTTCATTTACCAGTAGCAGAAGCAAAGAGCAGAGAGATTGAGATCTCGTAATCTTGTGGTATGGCGCAGAAGAGATACATCGTAGATGTGGAGAAAGCCAAAGAAGAGACGGAGGGGAGGCCATCCGTCGGGCCGGTGTACCGTAGCGTCTTTGCTAAGGATGGATTTCCGCCTCCGATCGAAGGTCTTGATAGTTGCTGGGATGTTTTCCGGTGAGGTTATTTGCTTATTCTTATAATTATTCTTCTGGCAAATGTGAAACATATACAAGAGAGAGTTTTACTATTAGGAGAGTGTGGAGTAGCAACAACACGGCTTTAACAGTCCCTAATGTTTTGAAGAGTAATATTAACTCAGAAAAATACTTTTAGGTCTCATGTAAACAATCTAAATCTAAAAAAATTACTTTGAATGAAGTCTGTATCTTTTACTAAAATTATCAATTTGCTATATCCAAGTTGTCAGTAACAGCAAAATAATTATAAGAGGAGTTGTTCAAACAAAGGTAACTATATAGTTAACTATTCAGCCATAAGCCCATAATTGATAATTTTAGTAAAAAATATGAAATTTCAGAATAATTTTTATACATTTAAATTATTTGTACAGGAGATGAGAGTCTCATATATATATATATATATATATTAAGCGAGAAAGGAAACTGTGCTCGTTCTCGTATAGTATTTTGTTATTTCTGAAACTACACACGGGTATATTTATGTGTTTGTCTACATGATTAAAAACATAGTCATATCTTAGTTTTTATTGTCTTGTCATTTGACAGCACGTCTGTTGAGAAATATCCTAAACAACCAATGCTTGGTCGCCGGGACATCATAGATGGCAAGGTAATTGATAAACTCTCTTTAACTGACCATACTAATGGAAAATTTCAAATAGCTAGTTCGTGAGTAAGAAAATTAATATAACAATAATCTTCTATATTTAGTTTATGGGTGGAGGAAAAAGGAGAGAGACGAGACGGAGGAGAGGCAACAAAATAAAAAAGGAGACGAGATAAGAAAGTCTTTATTCAGTTCATCATTAAGAAAATTTGTGAATGAAATTGTCTGTGCGTGTGTTTTTACAGCTTCTTTAGACACGTGCAGTGGGAAGTTTAAATAATTTTTTTTTTCGTTTAAAAACAACATTTTCTTACCAATCAATTTACAACTTTTCATACTATACTTTTACAAGATAATAATACTTCAATCCTGGGGTGGGGGGGACAGGCTGAGCGGTAGATTCCACAATTTGACTCAAAATTTTCGCAGAAGAACTTGTAAATAATCTAATGGAACTTAATTATTTTTATTTTTTTTTACTTGGGATTTGTTGTAATACTCCCGATATTAATTTTTGTTCTGCATAATGTTTCATTGCCATGCCATCATTTGATCCCTTCTGCCGTCTTTCTCGTTGGCTTTTTTGTAGCCTGGCAAGTACAAGTGGCAAAGTTATGAGGAAGTATATGACTTGGCGATGAAGCTTGGAAATTCCATTCGCAGTTGTGGTTATGGGCAAGTACGCCATCTCTGTCCTTTTTACCACGAACCAGAAAACATGATTTACTTTTGGTAGTTCTAACAGTTTTACCTTCTTTAACCTGAAATTATCCTGTCCTTGAATTCTCAGTATATGCTCGGAGTATTGTATTATGACAACATTCTGAATGTGCTTTCAAATCGAAGACAATATCAGACTCTAGGTCAAATCTTTTTTTGGAAAGTTTGTCTTGACTTGAAAAAGCGGATGAGGCACTCATAGGAGAGTGTTTTGGTAATTATAATTAATAATGTAATTTTAGTTATTGGCCAGTCACTTAGTTAGCAATAGTCCTTAGTAGTAATAGATGGAAAGATATTTTGTCATTATTATATATGGGCTCAGGATATGCCAGGTAAGGCATGTATCGGGTTATAAATATACTCTCTAGAACTAAAGAGAAATAATTAAATCATTAAAATAGTTTAAGAATGAAATAATTTTCTAAATTTACTCATTTTTGAAAGAACAAATCCTGAAAAGTTGTAAATAGGGATAATTTTGAAAAACACTGATTAATGCGTTATCTTTTTTTAATACAAAATGATTAAAATATAAAACCATCAAATTGTTTTAGAACATGCAGTGACAGGACCGGAGGGAGGGAGGGAGTATTATTCAGTGAAGTGAAAATTCAGCATCTCTCTATCTCTAACCTCTCGTCTCTCTGTTTTCTCTGTTGTCTCTTTCTTTCCTCTCTTTCCCTCTCTCACCCTCAATTCTCATCTAGCCACATCAGCATCTAGAATGGCTGCTTGAGTTCAAATGCTTGGGTTTTATTGGACTACTGTTTTAGGCTGCATAAGTTGTCCTTCCTTTTGTTATGCGTGATTTTGATATCTTGTTTTTGCAGACCTATCATCCACAACCATATCTGATGTTTAAGCTTAATGTATATTGCAGGGTGCAAAATGTGGTATTTATGGTGCCAATTGCCCAGAGTGGATTATAAGCATGGAGGTATATTTTATTTCGAATTTCTTTTCTTATTTGCTACCTCCTTTCTGCCTATTGCTGTCTGTTCTTAGAAGGGTTCTATTATATTTACATGTTGATTCATGCATCTATCTTTTTGTTGTATATTTATCGTTATTTTCATTTTAATGTCATTTTGTGTATGTAGGTGTTCTTAGCCGTCTGTGATCCTTCTTGAATGTGAAGGAAAATAAGCCATTTCTATATTAAAATCAGACTGTGGGCCTGTGCTTTGCACGGAATTTGAGGTGAGCTGCATTATTCATGGCTTGTGAATAATGCAGCTTTATATAGATTTAATATTATATATGTTAGCGTTTGATGCCATAATTATGGGGTGGGAACCATTGGCCACCTTGTCAAGACCAACATATATGTTTCTTAATTAGCATCTTTTCTCCAATTGATTTTCTTTTTTAAAATTTTTGGGTGAAGTTCCGTGGATTTCTGACTTACTCTGCCATATGAATTTAGGCCTGCAATGCTCATGGACTTCATTGTGTTCCTTTGTATGATACCTTAGGTATGTGCGCGCCTTTATCACGCTTCCAGACCATGAAGATGGTTTTGCTGACGTTTCATAGGTCCTTAAGAATACAAGTCATTCCAAGTATTATGGGTTTAAAAATCTTGTCATATGTATGACTTAGGTGCTGGGGCTGTAGAGTTTATTATATGCCATGCAGAGGTCACAATTACGTTTGTAGAAGAAAAGAAGATTCCTGAGGTTCGCCAATTATATTCATCCATCTTATAACTTTATTTATCTTTTTTCGAAGGATTAGAAATATTCTATCTGTTATAAAGTTTAATCTATATAATTTTTTTCCCCCCATAAAAAAACAGCTATTGAAGACATTTCCAGCTGCAGCAAAGTATCTTAGAAGTAAGTCTCTTTAGCTTCTTGAATTTTTAGTTACTCGATATTTTTGAAATAAGATGCAGTCACCTTTATTTCTTCGTCTAGCACTTGTGAGCTTTGGAAAGGTTACACCTGAACAAAAGCAGGAAGCTGAACAGTTTGGATCAGTAATACATTCATGGGATGAATTTCTGCAACTGGTGGGTTGTTCATTTGACTTATAATTATGGTACTGTTAGTTTCTCTAACATGAGATATGGTTCTTCTATTTAATAGTTGATGGAAATTTCTGAGTTGTTTAGCTAGTTTGAATATGAGAAAATATAATTTTGGGTCCCTACACTTTGCTTGCGTTTGTTATTGGTTCCTACACTTTTTTCTGTTGTTTTACGTTTCTACACTTATTGTTTTTCATTCTTTAGGTCCCTCCAAGATCCCTATACTTTGTTTATGAAGGGATCTACACCAATGAAAAATAAAAGTGTAGACACCTAGAACAACAGAAAAAAAAGTGCAGGGACCAATAGTAAATCGCGAGCAAAGTATAGGGACTCAAAGTTATGTTTTTCCTTTGAATATTTAAATCTTGTTATTTACCATTCATTTCTTCTGAAGTCCAGTTCAATCTTGAGCAGTGGAAAATAATGTCTCCTTCTCTGCTTGCATATTGACACTGTGGCTTCCCATCCTAATTCCAGTTTTCCTACAGGGTCAAGGTCAAAATTTTGATCTTCCCGTGAAAAAGAAAAGTGACATCAGCACAATAATGTACACTAGTGGAACAACAGGTGATCCCAAGGGAGTGCTATTATCCAATGAGAGCATTGTTACTGTCTTAGCTGGGTTCAAGCGATATTTAGAGAGTGTAAATGAACAAGTAATTTTCTTCTCAAGCTTCTGTATCTCTTATTTGAACAGATGGATTTGCTTAGGAATCCTAAAACGTTTTTTCTTTCCATTGATGTCTCATAAATGGGTGGCCTAATTTTAATTTTGGGGAAATATTTTTTTTAAGCTTTGGTACTGTGATTGTTGGTCTTCAGTAATCCATCCTTTCATTGTATTTTTCAACTCCCTCATCTTTCCTGCTTTGCAGTTGACTGAGAAGGACGTATACATTTCATATCTTCCTCTTGCACATATCTTTGATAGGGTCTTTGAGGAGCTTTTTATATGGCAGGGTGCCTCAATAGGTTTCTGGCGTGGGGTAAGATGCACTATATCTCTTCTCAATGGATGAAAGTTCAAAAAATTAACTATATTCATCATCAATCCAAATGGTTCAGGATGTTAAACTATTAATTGAAGACATTGGGGAGCTAAAGCCATCTATTTTCTGTGCTGCCCCTCGTGTGCTTGATAGAATATACTCAGGTAAATTTAACTTTATATTACGGCAGCATAAAGGATTGGACGGCATTGGATTTCAACCTAACCCGAAATTTGGTCTCTTTCATGAAAAAGACTAGGTTAGGCAATCTGGAGTCAGGTCTTATCCAGTGATAACCAAAAAATTAACAGGACGGGACTTGGTTCATAAAATTGGGAGACTGATCCTATTAGTTCAGTACTTACTTTTTTTTTTCCTTTTTCCTCTATGAGAGGTAATAATCCATTTCAACCTAATAAACTTAATTGAGATAATAAAAACGTTTATAATAATAATAATAAATCTATAATATAATAATAATAAATCCATAATAATTTCTACCAAAAAAAATATTTATGTTATAGTTCAAATGATTTAAATTTATAATTTCAACAAAAACAGTACTCAACAAACTTCAACAGCACTACATTACAACAATAATTTAAAAACAAACTCAACAAATTTTCATACAATCATCTCCTTAACTTCAATTACACTTGAAGCATTTGTCAAAAATAAATTAATTATAATTATATTAAATAAATTAATAGGACTGGACTAGACCAAGAGGTCTAAATGCCCTCATATCTAGTCCAATCCAGAGAAATAGTCTGGTCTTTTCAGTCATTTGGGTCCTAAAGGACCAGTGTTTTTATAGACCAAACAGAACTAGACTATCTCGAGTTGGACTGGATCAAGCAGAACCGGAGGACTTTTACACGGCCCTACTTTATATCATGTAGGTGGCAAAAAGAATTCTTTAGTTTAATTAAGGATAGAACAGATGCATAAATTAGTTTTAGGTTAATAGTCTTCTTTTTCCAATTCCCAGTTTTAATGGGCATTTTCTCAATCTTCATTTGATACGCAGGTTTGACACAGAAGATTTCTGCAGGAGGCTTCTTAAAGAAGAAATTGTTTAATTTTGCTTACTCATAGTAAGATATGTTGTTGTGACATTTTACTTGATTCTTGATTATGATAAGCCTGTAATGAACTGTCATGGCCTCATAGGTTCACCATGATCAAAATAAGAAGTTTTACTACATGCAAGTCTCATCTAGACTAGGTTTATTTTTCTTTCATTATTATTAAGTTTTGGGCATTATTTCCAATTATTTGTGATTCCTTGGTAGAAACTGCATCATTCTATTGTTAATTTATTCTAAAACTTGTCTGCAGCAAGTTGAAAAACTTGAAGAAAGGCCTAAAGGATGGGCATGCAGCTCCACTTTTTGACAAACTTGTGTTCAATAAGGTGGCAAAATTATATATTTGAATCTCCATGCTTCAAGTTAACTGTTGCCATATTACTATATCTTCTTTACTAATGAGTTCTTGAAACTTAATTAATCAGGTAAAGCAACGTTTAGGCGGCAATGTACGTCTTATTCTCTCTGGATCAGCACCTCTATCTATGCATGTTGAAAGTTTCCTCCGGGTGGTGTCATGTGCATATGTCATACAAGGATATGGTATCTCCTGCTAAAACTTTGAACTTTTATCTCTCACTACATGGTAGTGGTGGTGGTTGTGTATATCCATAAAAAATTTCTGAAGCCTGGCTTGGACCTTTTGGGACTTACGTTTACTTACTTCATATCTATCCTACAGTGAAAAATAAAGTTATCTAATAACCTACGGAGGTTTATGGTTTTGTATGTACATTTGTTTGCGCTAGATCTTCATATGATGCTATTAAATTATATGCTTTTTGGATATGTGTCATGTTTAATATGGACCTCAGTGCATGTTTGTTACAATGAAAATAGGTTTGACTGAATCCTGCGGGGGAACCTTTGCCGCATTAACAAGTGAACATGCAATGATTGGTACAGTGGGCCCTCCTATGCCAAATGTGGACGTGTGTCTAGAATCTGTTCCTGAACTGGGATATGATGCCCTTGCAAGCACACCAAGAGGAGAAATTTGTATTAAGGGAAAAACCTTGTTTTTAGGGTACCACAAACGAGAAGACCTCACAAATGAGGTTTTGTTTGATGGATGGTTCCATACTGGTTAGTTTGTTTATGGTTTACAGGATTGATGTGGGAATGCTCTTTTCAATTGGTTTTCATTGACAATTTTATTGATAAATAATCTATTCGACAGGGGATATTGGAGAATGGCAACCTGATGGAAGCATGAAAATTATCGACCGGAAGAAAAATATATTTAAGCTTTCACAAGGAGAATATGTTGCTGTTGAAAACTTGGAGACCATATTCGGTCTAGTTTCTACTGTTGAATCTGTAAGTGATGGCTTTGGAACTCTAGTACATGTTTATTTTCCTCAAGGTGGGTGGTTAAATATGTATAAGGTGATATTCTATCCAGATGGAAGGGAAATGAGCGATATAGAAATTATTGTTACTCAACAACCTTGAATTGGCATGAAACATCACTTAAACAAGTAGTTGGGAGTTTGAATTTCAGATTTCATTTGTCCTCAATACTCTTGAGGATATTAGACTCTGCTGTCGGTGGAGGATACTCCTCGTGCCTTATCGAAAACCAGAAAAGAAACTATTGTTACTCCAGCTACATGAGCCCAGAATTGGCCGCCCAAAAAAAATAAAAAATGCAAGATCTTAATGGTTCTTGATAGAGTTATGCCTCTCGTGGCTTTGGAGACTGTCTTCTGATTTAACTTGATATCAGCGACAGACTAAGTCTCAATTTGTTTGCAGCTTAATAATGTGTGATGTTTTCCTTCTGTGACCAAACATTTAACTATATGGCTGTTTCTTGTTCGAGCAATTTTTTATGTATCTATATACTGCTTTTAAAATTAGAAACTTCCATCTATTTCCACAGTAATAACACCCAATTGGCCATATGTCCTGCATGCAAGTTTTTCTCTGGGTGCTAGTGTCTGAACCTGAACATTAAGGTTTGATTATTATTGGCTCACCTTGCCAGCGAAAAATTTGAAGACTGAGTAGTTTGTTAAAAATACCGTGACACAACAAAAATACAAGTATCTTGGTATAATTTTAAAAGTGTTGTGTAAGATGTTTGAATGCAAGCATAGTTCCATTTTTGAAGTATCAGATCTGTGTTTTGCAAAAAAGGATGCATGCCTATACTTATGCTTGACGTGAACATGGTTCTGTTGGCAAAATGCATGTGCTTGATGGAAAAGGATGTGCACGTGACTGATGATTCTGTTTTTGAAGCTCCTATGCGAATACATGTGTTTTGATTCTTCTCGTCATTTCGTGAATGTTTCATATTCTATTAAGTACCCAGAGAAAAATTTCTGGAATCAAAAAGTTTCTGCCAAGAAACTTCCAGAGTTCCATCTATATACTTTTATGTGATTCCATTTTCAGATATGGGTGTATGGAAACAGCTTTAAGTCCTTCCTTGTTGCAATTGTTAACCCCAAGAAAGAAGCGCTTGAGGGTTGGGCAAAAGAAAATGGTATTACAAAGAACTTCAATTCTCTCTGTCAAGATTCTAGGGCCAAAAGTTTCATACTTGAAGAACTCACAAAGATTGCAAAGGAAAAGAAGGTTGGTTAAGTTATTTAATATTTAAAAAAAATTAATTATCATGTAGCACACGCACAGGCACCTAAAAACTTTCTTGGATCCTGAATGTGTTTTTTGGCAGTTAAAAGGTTTTGAGTTTATAAAAGCAGTTCATCTGGATCCTGTGCCATTTGACATGGAACGTGACCTTATCACTCCATCTTATAAGAAGAAGAGGCCCCAGCTGCTCAAATACTACCAGGTACAATTTCTTGTCTTCTCAATATTTCTCTTTGAAGTTTTGCTCCATCAACCCTTCTCTTAGTTTTGAAACATACAACTAATCCAAGTGCAAATAAGAGTGGGGATGAACCAGACTAGTTAGCTTGACCAGACCAACATGTCCCTATGTTGTGCACCGCCCTGTAATGGAAATGTAATGTAGCTTGGTATCATAACGCCGTAACTAAGAGGTGGCTCAGTACAATCAGATAGATATTAACCTGACATATAGAGATTGTAGAGTTAGGCTCTCCAGTAATTTAGGTATTAGACGAGAAATACTTGAGGAGATACATCATGATATCATACTCACATTCTCATTTGTATGTCATAGAAATAATAGATACTTGCGTCATTGCTACCCAATGTTAATTTTGGAGGCAAAAAGAAAAAAGAAAGGATTAGAGCACTGACATCAGTTTCTTTTCATGGCACAGAATGTCATAGATAACATGTACAAAAATGGAAGCAACGCAGTGCCTAAGCTCAGGGCGTGACTCTTGAGATTATTTGTCGTCTGTAATAGGGGATTTGAGTAGTTGTAAGTAATTATTTCTGATTTTAAATGCATTGTAATTAGGAGGAGATTTAGGAGGATTCTTTTGGCTTGATGATTGATATATATCTGATATTGTGTGTGTGTGTGTGTGTGTGTGTGTGTGTGTGTAGACATACCTCAGCTGTGCATTTTCATATCAATGAAATCAATTTCTGCAAAACTCTTGCCTCATTTCCACATGGCATCAAAGCAGGTTTTGCCGTTTTGATCATTCCACCTTCCATTGATGGAAACAAAAACAGAGAGTCGGTTTTTGTGAATGACAGAGAAAATATAGCTGTATAAATAATACAAAAAAATTAGTCATTGTTAGTCAGTCTGTACCGAAAATGACACTTGCTAGTTCCATCATAGCACCATGCTGTTAGCTTAGATCCGTCATGAATGATCGCAAGCAATTCAGGAGCATCATCATTAGACTTGAGCTTGGGTCTTCTAAATGGCTGATTGGATAAAAGAAACCATGGGCGAAAGCACATACAAACTTGTACAACACACACACAGAGAACAATGGTGGATCCAGAGTTTAGCATCTCGGAGGCAAAATAACAACTGTGAGACAAGTGGGGTGTAAGTATGTTTGTCAAGTGGAAAATGTTAATTGCCTTTCCATGGTTAATTAACCTTCAGACTTAAAAAATTGATATTTACGGTAATTTGATCAGGATCATAAGGACTAATATTTTACACACACACACACACACACACGAGGTAATTCGATAAACCAATTTCAAATTAAAAATCCACTTAATTTGAGTACATTGGAAATGAGTACGATCTAGTTACAAGGACAACGAGATAAGGAAAATATATGTTACTTTCTTTAAATCATGATTCCGGTCACCATTGACTGTGTCACGAGAGAGTTTTCGTCCTGTAAAAGAACATTTTGGTAATTCAATTACGTGTTGCTGTTGCATAACAAAGTTGAATATTGCAATAAAGCCACAATGTAGGGCATTTTTCAGAAGCTCTGCTTAATTCAAAATGTAGGATATTGAATAGGTTTTATATTAATTTTCAATTATATCTCTACCTTATTCTATTCCATTCGAGTAATTAATAATGGTGATTGAGTAAATAAAATATTACATCTATTCCATTCCAAAGTATTGTTGAAAGATGAAATTTTTTTAAAAAATAAAATTTTAATCAACTTTTAAAAAAACACAAATTAATAAACAGCAACTTGTATTACAATCTGCAGGGAATATTTTAAAAAAAAAAAACAAGGGTGATTGAAGAAGTAAATATGGCGGTGGGAGTTTCTTTGGATAAGAACAAGCTCAGGGTTTCGGGATAAAATGATGAACAAGGTCAATAGTTTGAATGTTTCGTTATTTGTTGGCTGATGATGTGAAGGCAGCCAATCAATTCAATCATTTTCTGGTTTGGGGAAGGAGGGAGAAGGCATTGGAATGGGTCACACGAGAGAGAGAGAGAGAGAGAGAGAGAGAGAGAGAGCATTCAAGTGGACCTGTATCACCGATCCTTTTGTTCATATAAAACAATTTTACCTGTCGTTCTTTAGTTAACTATTAATTATTTAATTTAATATAGCCTTAGGGATTTTAGGCCAAACAAAGTATTAATTACTTCTCAGATTCTGCAAAATGTCAACTAGAATTCTAGAAGAGTAGACACGCATCCAATCTTGAAGTTGAACTAAATATTAAAAAGAGGTCTTTCACATTTTTTCCTGAATGAGCACTTATTAGAAAAAGAGAATGATAATAAAATTAAAAGAATAAATTAATAACAGTCAGTTTTTCAATAAAAATTTTTAAAAAATAAATTATACTCCATTCGTTTAAAAATATTAAGGTATTTTTAACTGAATCTCACCTTTCAATAAAGTAGTTATTTACTTTCTAACTAATCCTATCTTTTCATAATTACTCCTATTAAATACCCCATAATAAATATAAAGTCATTCATCAATGGGGGCACTTTTAAAAAAAAGATAATAATTACATCTCGAAAGATTAAAAATACTTTATATTTTTAATATTCAACTTCTCAAAAAATAATTTACATTTTTAAATGGAGAGAGTAAGTATTAATTTAAACGGTTATAAATAAGAATTTGAATTGCAAACAGATTGTTATACTTAAAATGTGAATATCTTATTTACAATTAAAATTTTTAAATTTATAACTATTTAAACTGATATTTATAACTAATTTTTGAAAAAGATTATTAGGAATTTAACTGTTAATCTCCCCATTAGAAAAGTTATTAATAAAGATGAAATTCATATACAAACCACAATTTTTTTTTTGGGCCAACCATACAGTGTACTATATAAATACGAGCATATAGTGAATATATAGGACATGTTAGCAGTTTGAGAACATAACTATCTTTTGCCCTTTTCACTTTTGAAGCTGTTCCTTGTAGAAGATTGGGGTATAATTTTATTAGTGATCGTTGCATCTCATATTTAAATAAATAAATAAATAAAAGGAGGAACTCAAAGAAATAATAAAATAGAATCAAACTGAAATTGGGGGATAAGTAGGTAAACAAATATAAGTTTAGTTCTTCCGGATTTCTTGGAGAAGCTTCAAGAATAATGGTGGTGGTTTACTCAATTAGCAATTAGAGTCCGATGATAATAGCTGGCCTAAAACTTAGCAACCAGATTAAAGTCAATGGGTTGGATAAATGAGTTTGAACCATGAAGACTTAAAATTGTTCCTGGCAAATTTTTCAATCTTAATTAGTTGTTCATTCGTATGGTAGGTATATACAAAGAGGTATAAAATGAGAAACAGATGATGATGATGGATTGCTTTTGATTGAATAATATAGTTTGTTTCTTCACAGTCAGTGAAAATGCTCTTCTCTAAACATTCACTTCAAATGAGTTAAGTCTCAAAACTCAATAGAAGTAGGGTACACCTTTACAAAAGTATTTATAAATTATTTATATAACTCATGATCATGAGAATTATGATTCAAATCTTTATAAAGCAGATCAACTCTTATTTATCCCTCCCTCATATTCTAATGTAAGAATTAGTTAAAGGAAGTGTTTTAGTTATAAATATAAGATTTCAATCTATTTTGTGTTTAAAATTTATAATTTTTTGTAAACTGCCCCCATCGCTTGCACATATTAAAGAGGTTTTTCATCACAGAGGTAGTTTTTGATATGAAGGATTGAAATGATTATTTTAGAAAAACACGAACTCATTTTTTTTTACAAATAACTAATTTAATTAATTTATTGTTTTTTAATTTCTGTAAATTAATTATTTAGCTTTTGAATTTAGGACCAAAGAGAGTAGCCTATATATACGAGGTCATTTATCTGTACCTATGTATAAATAAGTTTATTATGTGTCAAATAATATATCAAATAAAAAATTATATAACCAACCATGCAGATTCGGAAGTCTAACAAAAAGGTTAATCTGCTGCAGAAGAGATGTAATAACAATGTTGTAATTTCGCTGGTAAAAAGAAAAAAAAAACAGTATTATCGCAATCTCATACCCCATCCATTTTTATTTATAATGCATTTTTTTAAAAAACTACACATACCGATGAAATTTATTAAATATAATTTATAATTTTAATTTTTCTATAAACTTTAAAAAAACTCTTCGTTAATAAGATATAGGTGGAAAAAATTTATTTGAGAAGTGAAAAATAGGGGGTAATATTAAAAGAATCATTATCAATAACATTTTATTTTTGCGAAAATGTTGTATATTTTAAGATATTAAATCATTTGCAATGTGGTTTGAATCAACCCAACCAGCCACCTTCCCTTCATAGCCAACCACTCCACCTTCCTTTCTCAGCCGTGCTACTCTGGGTCTGATAAGCATGCATTCATTTTCCACATACACTTTCTCTGCTCCTTTTCTACCCCACAAAAACCCAACACAAATTTTAACAAACTAAAGAATCATAAACTCTAATTCTACTTCACATACACGTGGTACGCAATTTGTTAACGACACTGACACTTGTAAGGAGTCTTGACATATACACACAACAAGCTCTAGCTAAGTGACGTGGGCTACATGCATATAATATATATAAAATATCATAAACTCTAATTTTGTTCTTCCAAAGAATCAGTTATTTAATATTAGTTTGTAAACGCCATATCAAAAACTTCTTGCTTACTTTTTCGGTTTTCCCAATATTTATGGGCCATTTAATTTTTCTCTTCTCCTATGGACTGAGTGTTGATGAGATGAAATGGGACAAAATGAGAACACTTCTATTTTGTATCCTATCTCAAAAGAAGATTAAGACTATATTTTGATCTCATATCACATCCCGTTAGAAAATAGGGACGGGACAAGGATGAGATTAAGATGCCCTACTGTCTCAATAAATTAAATAATGTGAGAAAAAAGTTTAAATAATAATATTCATTAAAATTTTAAATCACATGATTTATTAAGTTTAAAATTAAAGCAACACAAGTACATAAATTATAATAATTTAAAGTCAATTGTTGAATTACATTAATCACAAATACAAGTGTATAATACATTATGATAATAATTATAAGTAATCTTTAAGCTACAAAAACAACAACAAACAAGCGAAGCACAATATTAAGTCATTGTTCTTTTTCTTCAGTTAAGATGTGAAAATAAAGCAACAAATACGATATAAATAAAAGTTATTAAATAGATAGATATAAAAATAAATTACATTAATATAGTTAATATATTATAAAAAAGATATTATCCTACACTACTTACTCTGTAAGTCTATATTATTAAAATTATTAATATAAAAAAATTTAGTTTTAAATAAGAATTGTATATATTAAAATTATAATTAAGATAATCAATATAAGTATAAATTATATTAATATATTTAATGTATATTTAAAAAATAATATATATATATATATATATATATAATATTTGAAATAAGATGATATGTCTCAAAAACAATTCCATGTTCCATCTCACAAAGTTCTGTCTTGATGATTTTTTAATTAAGATGAGATCTATCTCAATATGATTAAAATTAAGTCGTTTAGAGAAAAATAAGTTGAATATCCCATTGCAACGGGCGCCTTCCCCCCCCCCCCCCTTTTTAAATCTCTTCCTCAAACGCGCTGCACAAGACAGCTGACATGAGAATTTTTTATTACAAGATTTATTAATTATTATATAATAATTAATAATAATGGTGATTCACATATTTGAATGGTTCTAACTTTTTTAAAATCGAAATGCTTCATAAGAGATCAAATTGGGACCATATAATCATCTTGATTTAATAATTAGAAATTAGAAAGAGGGTGATAAGGAAGAGAAAATAATCCTTATTCTGGGAACCAAAATGTAAAGATTGATAAACCCTTACATGGATTGATATGGCTTTCTCTACAATAAAATTACACCATTTTTTTGGGGATAAAATATGATAACATAATCAAAAAAGATTACATAAAGTTTCTGCTATTGACCATGAATCGTTTCCTTTCATCCATCCCTACCAACCAAGGCGGGTGAAAGTTAAAGACAATGCTCTAATTACCCATATTATGGGCATATCTAGCTGGAGTATCAGCTTTGCTAACGAATTCTCTATGTCTAAAGTTAATGCTTACATAGCATGAATAATAAACTACAAGTTTCTTGAATAATATAATTGCATCAATTTAGTTAAATTAAAATTCATTTTATTTTATTATTTTATTTTTGGAACAGAGTGCCTCCATAATTTTTTGTTTTTTATATTATTATTAATAACCAAATCAATTTACATTTATAATCATCTAACATGAAATATTTTTATTAAATAAAAAATCAATGGCGTGTGCACGAATCGTGTTAGAGTTTCTTGGTAGAAACTTCTTGATCCCAGAAATTTAATTCCTGAGCAACTTGGATGTACAGGCTTTAACCTCATTGGAGAAGTTACTTGCCATCTCCATTGGCGGCAAACCAATTCATCGTCACCGTCATCACGTTAAAATGTATAAACTTTTTATGAATTTTGAGATAATTACATACGACATCCGCACCTTTAAAGGTTTAAAACAAAGAAAAATGATAATAAAATTTTTTTAAATTATATCAATAATAATTTAATTTCTCAAAATGTTATAATGTTATTAAAGTTTTTAAGAATTTATTTGTCAATAAATTTTAAAGTAAAAAAATTATTTTACCCTTATTGAAAATAACAAGCCCCGATTATAACTCTTACTTAAGGAATCACAACTTTTATTTAACGAATAATAATTTTTATTTTGTAAATCATAAAAGTTGAATAAAAAATTATAACTTGTCAAATGTAATATCTATTATTAAAAAAATAAATTCTGAAAAAAAAAACCCAGTTACAACTTTTGTTTAAAGAATAACAATTTTTATTTAAAAAATTGCAATAATTAAATAATAAATTACAATTTATCAATAAAGAGAAAATAATATTTTCACTTTAAAATTTATTAATAGAGAAATCCTCAGGGACTTTAATAAAATTATGACATTTTAAAGGATTAAATAGTCATTTATATAAGGGTCAAGGTCAAAAATGTCTCTAAAATGAACATGAAAGGTCATAAATGATCTCAAACTCAATTAAAAATTATTTTTGTCCCTCAACTTAAAATATTTTTTTTTCCCAACACCCTAATGCTATCTTGTCTTGACGACCATTAGTGTAGGCCATACTTTTAAAATTTTTTAATATTTTCATTATAAAATATTACTTGTGAACCCCATGTTAGTTTTTTATATTTTTAATCCTCTCTCTCTTTACTTTTTTTTTTTTGCAACTAGCCATCTTCTTCATCATCCATGCTATTCTTAAAGTGAGGATGTCATTGCCATCTCCTCTATTATTTCCTTCATTCCCTCTCTCTCTACCCACATGTCACTTTGAGCTCTCTTCCACACTGTTAACCCCATTTCTCTCATCCTCAATCAAAATTTTCCTCTCAAACTCGCTACCACCTATAGCTCCATTTCATCATGGAGTGTGGTCCTAAATATAAAGCCTATGCCAAACTAAGAGAAGCTAAACTTTGAAGCAACTATGCAATGTAAGAGACTCCCAATAATATGAAGAAGAATAGAAATGAGTGGAGTCAGAAATTCGATCAGGCCAAACCTATTTAAGCTTGGCTTGAATAAACCCAACTCCTTAAAAAGCTTGAATTCCTTCAGGCTTCGGACGACATAAATATCCAAATTTTATTTTTAAATTTTTTTAATTAATTTTTTTATTTTACAAAAAATAAAAAATATATTTTTTATACCTAAATGATGTATAGGACTTAAATATATGATATTTTAGTATGAAATGACTTAAAACTTAAAGAATTTATTAATATTATTATATTATATATATTTTTAAAAATAATTTTTTTATTTGAGTATTTGAGCCTATTTGGACTACATTTTTTCTAATATTACCAAATAGGCCCGAATATAAAAAGGCATCTTTTTTCTAAGCTCAGTCCTAAATTTTTTCTAATAGATTCAAGCTAGCTTGAATTATTAGCTTTAAAAATGAACAACCCCACCAAGATTTTCATGAGTACAAGCACTTCATGAAGAACTACTAAATTAGCATGGGTGATGGCATTATTCTCACTCCTTCTCCCCTTTCCACCTTCTCTCTCCTCCACGTGACAGACCCTCCATGCATGCACTTTTATTAAGCTAATATCCTTTGTGAAGAAGTGAAACATCTATGTTCTCCCTAGTATTTTTTGCTTAGAAACAGAGACATAAGGTGCAAGGGAGTCGAGCTTGAGTGTCAAGCATGCTCAACGCGGAGGTGAGAGGAAATAGGAGGAGAGAGAGGGTGAAATTAAACTTGGTGGCTTTTGGAGATCACTATTAGAGGAGAGAGAGGAGATAAAGGCAAAGACATACATGATGCTTTGGTAGAACCTATCACTAATGTGATGGGATGGACTGAGAAACACATTCTGGTTCTTGTGCATAGAGACTACGTTGTGTCAATGTAGGGTAAAGGAAGCTTGAAGAAATTAAACCTTTCAATTAAGTTGCAACCACACCTAGGAGCAAGACACACTTACAAAGATATTTTATTAAATGGGATCAAAATTTTGAAAATAAGTGACTTTAGTGACAATCTTGTAGGTCTTAATCCTGATCAACTTCCATCTCCCCCCTTTCATCCACACCATCATCCAAGCTATCCAGGAATAGAAAGAGAGCAAAGGTAATTTCCATTATCGTTATGTAACATTAGGCTTCCTTGTGTTGTCTCTTATTGTTTTGGTGATTTTTCGATGATTGACTAGAGCTTTGGTCAAGGAAGGAAGTTCATGGTAGGGACAAAAATTAGCATAATTGTTAAAAAAGAACAAATCTCATAGTCCATCATTGCCGTCCGAATTGTGTCACTGCTTTTCAATAGAGGAGATAAAAGTAGTCACCAAAATCTATGAAATTTTGTTGTAGCATTATATTAAAATTAAATGAAGTTGGGCTTTAGTGTGTTTGAGTATTTCTTTTATTTGGCCAAATTTAATTTACATGGTAAACAATGCAGCTCATTGTGTAAACATAGTATATATATCCTCAATGATCAGAGGTGGAGCTTGGAGAGGGAGAAGAAGAGAGATTGGGGAAGGGGGGAGAGAGAGGAGGGAGATGGAATTTATAAAAAAAATGCAAAGTGGGTCCCACCATTATATTTTATTATTAAAAAAGCCACATCAACAAATTGCGGGGCCCACTAATAAATATTTAACCTCAAGGGCATGATGATTCAAATTTTTTAAGTTGAGAAATATAAATGACTCACAGTTAAGTTTAAAGTCATTTTTGACCTTTTGCATACAATTGACGGGTAAAAATGACATTTATTTCTTTATATAATTTGAGAGACTTTATTGTCATTTTTCCTTAAAACTAACCCCCCCTTATATTTTATTTTCTTTTCCAAAACTTTGAACTATTGATTATTTTGTCATGCTGTTAACAGAGTTAAAAAAAAAAAGCTACAAAGAAACTTACATGGTATTTTATGTAAACAAATAATAAATGTATTAAAAATATATTTTTTTAAAATATTTACTTTTTGTGTTAGTTTTATGGATGTTTTTTTTATTAATGATTGATAGTTTAATATGAAAGTCTACTTTAATTGATAACAAGTAATATAATTATAATTTTTTTAAATTGTATTGACGGTTGGTAATGAAAATAAAGCCCCTCACCTTAAAAGAAAAATAAGACTATTAAAACTAAGAATTATAGTTTTGTCAATCCTTAAATTGTATTAAAAATTAATAAAAATATTTTTTTATGTCATGTGCCATATCTATTTCATTAATTTAATATAACAAACTTTATTAATAATATAACATAATAAAGTTAATTAATGATAAGGGATTTCAAAAGAGAAATTAAATATTAAAAAAATTATCTTCAAACGTCACTTTTAAAAGTGATGAGATTATATACAACTGTTTTGAAATTGAGGTTTTATGCTGCAGCAGTGTGTCATCCTCGAAAATGAACTCAAATCACTGCAACAACTATCCTAAGCATCGACATTAGCTCATCATTAACGAACTAATCCTTAGCAGTGCTGTTATGTGATAAAATGATATTGTTAACGATATCAATGGGAACGTAAAATGGCCAGGTGGATAAGGAAGAAAAGATTAGAACTGAAGTAAAAAAAAAAAAATTGTTGACCAATTCAATTCAAAATTATAACGGATGTTTGGTTGAAAAAAAGGTACTCTCCCCTTGCGTGGTTTAAAAATTAAAGAGAAAAAGAAGAGAAGTTTTTTAAAATTTACTGTCCTCTCCAATTTTTTTCTTTAAATTGGGAGGACCAAAGAAGGAAAGATAAAATTTTTCATACCATAACTAATATATTATTTTTTATAACTTTAAAAATATCTTAATATTAATAAAATAAAAATAAAATTATTTATATATAATTATTTTTTCTCTCCAATCAAATAAGTAACGTTAAACCTCTCCTTTCCGTTAAAATCCCTTACGAAGCTTCGCCGTACTCTTTGCTGCAGCTCAACTCAAGACCGTCGTTCACCTCGTAAAATATACGCAAAATTCCAAAAGTCAAATATTGATATCTTCCGAAGCTCCCATCCGGCCTACCTCAACCACTTCCTTGCATATGAGACTTAATTTATCTCTCAGCCGTTTCTATTTCAATTTATTAGCAGCAGCAGCAGCAGCAGCAGAGAGCAGAGAGATTGAGATCGTAATCTTGTGGTATGGCGCAGGAGAGATATATCGTTGAGGTGGAGAAAGCAAAGGAAGCGACAGATGGGAGGCCATCTATGGGGCCTGTGTACCGTAGCCTCTTTGCTAAGGATGGATTTCCACCTTCGATCGAGGGTCTTGATAATTGCTGGGACATTTTCCGGTGAGGTTTTCTGCTTATTCTTTTAATTATTCTGGCAAATGTGAGACATAGGAGAGAGAATTTTCGTCTTTATGGGTTCTTATGGTTCCTTTAATGTTATCTATGATTTACTCTTAGCAAAGCTGTAGAGCAGGAAGAAGTGGGCTTTATTTCTCCATAATGTCCTGGAGAGTAGTTTATGCCAAGCAGATATCTAGTCCTCGTTCTCATATTATATTTTTGTTATTTCAGAAGCTATAGTCTATAACTGGTACTTGAAAGATGAAATTTATATCTTAGATGTATGGTTTGATATCACTTGATAAATTCTCCGGGATATGTGTTAGCCTACCTGATAAAAGATTTATCATTTTAGTTCTGATTGTTTCGTCCTTCTACAGCATGTCTGTTGAGAAACATCCCAAACAACCAATGCTTGGTCGCCGGGAAATCATAGATGGGAAGGTAAACTCCCTTTCATTGCCGAGATTAATTAGTGCTCTGCAAGTTTCACACAGCCATCGTGTGATCCCGTCTGACAGCACTTATTTGCTCATTTCTCGTTGACCTTTTATAGCCTGGTAAGTACATGTGGCAAAGTTATGAAGAAGTATATGACTTGGTGATGAAGGTTGGAAATTCCATCCGCAGTTGTGGTCATGAGCAAGTGAGTCTTCTATATGTCCTTTTTACCGCGAACTGTAACAAAAATTACTTTCGGTTGTTTAAAGCTGAAATCCTGTAAATCCTGTCCTAGGAATCTCAGTATATATTTGGAGTTTTGTCTTGTAATTTCTATGTATGTTAAAAAAACTTTTATGAATTATTATGGCACCTTACTGTTGTAAGAATGGCAACATTCTGTGCATGCTTTCAAATTGAAGACAATTTTAAACCCGGTATTCTTTTTTTTTTCTTTTTTTGGTAATGTATGTCTTGACCTGATAATGCTGCTACCTGTATGAAGAGCTTGACAATGAGGCTGTTAAGTCTCAAGAAGGCAATGAGCGAAACCGCAAAGAGTAAGGGATTAATATTCATTAAACAGTGAAGCAAGTATCTGACTTCACCTTTATTAAAGCTGTTAGGGAGAATCTCCAAGTATAACTGATTCCATAAATTGAAAGTTCTTACATATATGAAAGACACACATCCGTTACATAGAAGGTTTATTTGACAGCACATCACCCAATTAAAAGATTGACCACACATTAAAGGTAGGACAATACAGTATATAACAAGAACAACAATAAGTCTTGTCCCATTAGGTAAGGTAGGTTACATAGATTGCACGATGTCATTATGACCTGTCAACAACAAAGTATATGGGTATATTGTTAACTAAAAGATCTTGTTCAACAGCTTCCTTGAATGTTCTCTTTGATTTTCCTCTACTCCTTTTTACAGGACTCGAGATTATCTATTTTACTCCCCTAACTGGTGCCTCCTACAGCCTTCTCTATACTATTCAAATTATCTCAAATGATTTTCTACCACTTCCTTAATAGATGCCACACCCACTTTTTCTTATATGTGTTCATTACAGAATTTATTTTTTTGTGTATGCCCATACATTTACCTCAACATCTTTATCTCTGCTATTCCAATTTTTTACTCTTGTTGTCTCTTTAAAGCCCAACATTCACTACTATATAATATGGTTGGTCTTATAATAACTACTAATAACAAAATAAAAGCCTAAAAACAGAAAAGGAAGTTATTCCACATGTGGACTTTAGTCAGATTCTGTGGATAAAGAAGTTATTCCACGTGTATAACTTCCTTATCCACAGAATCTGAATAAAGTCCACATGTGGAATAACTTCCTTTCCTGTTTTTAGGCTGTAGACTTCCTTATCCACAGAATCTGACTCAAATCTTGGGGACTTTCTATGCCTAGAGTACACTAACAGTGGTCTTCTATCAGAGGCCTTGTATTACAGCATGGGTTCTTGAGTTCTAATACTTGGCACTTTTATGGGACTACTGTTTTAGCTTGCATAAGTAGTCTTCCTTGTCTTATGCATGGTTTTGGTATTTTATTTTTGCAGGCCTAATACCGACAGCCATTTCTAATATTTAAACATAAATTTATATATTGCAGGGTGTAAAATGTGGTATTTATGGTGCCAATTGCCCAGAGTGGATTATAAGCATGGAGGTATGTTTTATTTCGAATTTCTTTCCTTATTTGTTACCTCCTTTCTACCTATTTTTTTTCTTATTCTGTTCTTTGTAGGGTTCTACTGTATTTAATGTTGATTTATGTATGCATATTTTTGTTGTACATTTATCATTATTCCCATTTTAATGTCTTCTTGTGTGTGTAGGTGTTCTTAGCTGTCTTTGATCCTTCTTGAAAAAGAGGGAAAATTAGCCAGTTTTATATTAAAACTAGATTGTGTGCCTTGTGCTTTGCATGGAGTCTAAGATGACCATTGTTCATGGCTTATGGATAATGTAGCTTTGTAGAGTTTATATTATTTTTATTGATATTGATATCTTCCTTCTATGGAATGTATGTGTTGCAAAGAAAGTTCTACTGCTACTATCTAGTGCTATGTTTGTGTGGCAGGAATTTTTGGCCATCTTGCCAAGACCATTAGATATGATTCTTCATTAGCACCTTTTGTCCAGTTGATTTTATTTTTTAAGAAGAAATTTTGGGCAAAGTTCCATTGATTTTGGAGTCTCTGACTTGCTCTGCAAAATGAATGCAGGCCTTGAATGCTCATGGACTTTATTGTGTTCCTTTGTATGATACCTTAGGTATGTGCATGTCATTATGATGCTTCTAGACCATGGTGATGGTTTTCCTGCACATTTTATTTTAGTTTATTGACACTGTTACAACTGAAGTTTCATAGGATCTTATGAATACATGCCATCCTAATTATTATGGTTTTAACACTCGTCATTTGTATGACCTAGGTGCTGGGGCTATAGAGTTTATTATATGCCATGCAGAGCTCTCAATTACATTTGTAGAAGAAAAGAAGATTCCTGAGGTTCGCCTATTATATTCATCCATGCTATAACTTTGTTTGTTTGTTTGTTTATTTTTGGCAAGGATTAGAACTAGTGTTTTTCTATTTATCATGGAGATTCAGCCCTTATAATTCTTTTTTTCCAAAAAAAAAACAGTTATTGAAGACCTTTCCGACAGCAGCAAAGTATCTTAGGAGTAAGTCTCTTTAGTTTCTTGAATTCTTAGTTATTTGATATTTTTGAAATAAGCATGCAATCACCTCTATTTCTTTGTTTAGCACTTGTGAGCTTTGGAAAGGTTACAACTCAACAAAAGCAGGAAGTTGAACAGTTTGGATCGGCAATATATTCATGGGCTGAATTTCTGCAACTGGTGGGTTTTTCATTTGACTTATAATTTTGGTACTGTTGGCTACTCTGACATGAAATATGATTCTTGTGTTAAATATGAAACTGGTGGGGTGTTCATTTGACTTGTAATTCTTGAGCAGTGGGAAATTATGTCTCCGTCTCTGGTTTCATGTGGATATTTTGTGGTTTCCAATCCTAATTCATGTTTTCTTGCAGGGTCATGGTCAGAGTTTTGATCTTCCTGTGAAAAAAAGAAGCGACATCTGTACAATAATGTATACCAGTGGAACAACAGGTGAACCCAAGGGAGTGTTAATATCCCATGAGAGCATTCTTACTTTCTTAGCTGGGGTCAAGCGAGTGTTAGAGAGGGTAAATGAACGAGTAAGTAATTTTCTTCTCAAACTTCTCTTGGATATACAAAGAAATCCTGAAATGTAACTTCTTTCCGTTGATGTTTCATCATTGGGTTATCCAATTTGAATGTTCAGGGGATATTTGTTCAGTTTTGGTACTGTGATTTTCAGGTTTCATTTATCATTTCATTTTCTTTTCCAACTCCCTCATTTTTTCTGCTTTGCAGTTGACTGAGAAGGATGTATACATTTCATATCTTCCTCTTGCACATATCTTTGATAGGGTCATTGAGGAGCTATTTATATGGCATAGTGCCTCAATAGGTTTCTGGCGTGGGGTAAGTAGCAGTTATCTCTCCTTAATGAATGAAGGCTCAATATATTACATATAACTATCATCAATGCAATTGCTGCAGGATCCCAAACTATTAATTGAAGACATTGGGGAGTTAAAACCATCTATTTTTTGCGCTGTTCCTCGTGTGCTTGAGAGAATACACTCAGGTAATTGCAACACCTTATCATGTAGGTGGTAAAAAGAATGCTTTAGTTTAAGGGCAAAACAGCTGCATTGATTATTTATAGAATCTCAATCTTCATTTGATGCACAGGCTTGACACAGAAGATTTCTGCGGGAGGCTTCTTAAAGCAGGCATTGTTTAATTTTGCATACTCGTAGTAAGTGATATACCTTCTTGTGACATTTTACTTGATTCTTAAGTGTCATGGTCTCATAGGCTCACCATTATTGAAATAAGAAGTTTTTCTACACACAAATTTCATCTAGACTAGGTTTATTCTCTTTCACAATAAAGTTTGGGTTAGTATTATCTGATTATTTGTGATTCCTTGGTAGAAATTGCATCATTCTATTGTTAATTTATTCTGAAACTTGGCTGCAGCAAGTTGAATAACTTGAAGAAAGGTCTAAAGCATGGGGATGCAGCTCCACTTTTTGACAAATTTGTGTTTGATAAGGTAGCAGAAATTATACATTGGAATCCCCATGCAGTTATTGAGAGTAACTGTTACCACATTGCGATATCTTTTCAACTAATAAGTTCTTGAAACCTAATCAGGTAAAGCAGGGTTTGGGGGGCAATGTACGTCTTATTCTCTCTGGAGGAGCACCTCTATCTGTGCATGTAGAAACTTTCCTCCGGGTGGTGTCTTGTGCACATGTCATACAAGGATATGGTATCGTGTTAAAATTTTGAACATTACCTTTCACACTATAATGATCATGATGGTGGTGTATATTTATAAAAAGTTTCTGAAGCTTGACTAGCTTTGACAATTTGGTCAACGATGACATTTTTGTGACTATTGTCTATTTACTTGTTATCTGTCCTACAGTGAAAAATAAAGCTATATAGAACCTGTAGATGATTATGGCTTTATTTTGGATAAGAATATTGCAGGAGCATATAAGTTATAAATATACATTACAATTAATATATTTTTTAAAAAGTTTAAAATATCTATACATGGATGATGTTAGTACTGCTTAATAACGATAACCTCCCTCCTCCCATATTGAAGTTTGTTTATGGCTTTGCCACTTCTCTTTGCATGTCCAAACGACTTGTGTTACTTTTGTATGGAAATTGTTTTGCACTGGATCTTCCTATGATGCTATTAGAATATGCACTTTTGGGCCTTTTAAAAACAAATGTTTTGAACCTTTGTATCATACTGAATATGGACCTCAGAGTGTTTGTTACTATGAAAACAGGTTTGACTGAAACCTGTGGAGGATCCTTTGTCTCGTTACCAAATGAACATGCAATGCTTGGTACGGTGGGCCCTCCTGTGCCAAATATAGATGTGTGTCTACAATCTGTCCCTGAAATGGGATACAATGCCTTAGCAAGCACACCAAGAGGAGAAATATGTCTTAGGGGAAAAACCTTGTTTTCAGGGTACCACAAACGTGAAGACCTCACAAATGAGGTGTTGATTGATGGATGGTTCCATACGGGTTAGTTTTTTGCATGGTTTCCAGAATTGATGTGCAAATACTCATTATCAAATAGCGTACTTTGTTGATTTGGTTCATAAATAATCTTTCAACAGGGGATATTGGAGAATGGCAACCTGATGGAAGCTTGAAAATTATTGACCGGAAGAAGAATATATTCAAGCTTTCACAAGGAGAATATGTTGCTGTTGAAAACTTGGAGAACATTTATAGTCAAGTTTCTGCTGTTGAATCTGTAAGTCCTGAATTTGATGGCTTTGGAGCTCTAGTATGTCATAGTTTTTTTCCCCTAAAAATGGCTAATAAAATACTCCCTCCATTCCTATTTGTATTAATTAAACCACTTTTTTCAATTTTGTCCTTTTTTGATTAAGGTGAAGGTATTTAATACAACTATATTATTATTTAAAATCAAAGGTAAAAATGAAAGCACATTTTATTTTTTTATAATATCAAGAAAAGAACTAAATTTTCTTAAAATGCATGAAACTGTTGAAATTGTCCTACAATAAGGACTGTAGGGAGCATATAGGTGATATTCTGTTCATGCAAGTGGGGAAAAGTTATAGAAATTATTGTTACTCAAACCGCATGTGGTCCGTATTAGCCAAAAGAGAGAAAAAGAGGGGGGGGGACCTACATTTGCTCAGTTATCCTTGATAGAGTTATGCCTCTCAAGGCTTCTGAGACTGTCTTTTGATTTAACTGGATGCAAGCAGCAAACTGAGTCTCAATCTGTTTGCTGCTTCATAGAGGCGTGATATTTTCCTTCTGTGCCCAAACATTTAAATTATTTGGCTGTTTCTTGTTTGAACTATTATTCATGTATTCTTCTACATTTAAAATTAGAAATTTTGATCACAGTAATAATACCCTATCAGCCATGTGTCCTGTATGCAGCTGCATTACTATGACTGACTAATTATGAGTTAGTGTCAGATTCTCCATCTCAAGTTGACCATCAGCCATATTTACAATTATTCTTCAGTACTTGTTGGTGCTATTGTTTCTTTTATTTTTTATTTTTTTTGGGGGAAACGTTGGTACTATTATTTGTGTTATCAATGTCAATCAATATCAATCATCAATCAATCAATATATAATGTCAATCAATATCGCACTGATTATAAGCCTTAATCAGTTATGCTCATCTTGGGTTTTGTTCAAATGCATGGAGTCCACTCTAGTTGGTATAGAAAACGATATCATGAGGTTTAGTCTAGTGCAATAATAATAATTCAAGTTTCAAGATTCAGGTTCCTTTAATGAGCTGAAAACATTCTTTTTCCGTGTTAATATATTTTCTCCTATTCCTGTTTCAGATATGGGTCTATGGAAACAGCTTTGAGTCCTTCCTTGTTGCAATTGTTAACCCTAAGAAAGAAGCACTTGAAGGTTGGGCAGAAGGAAATGGTATAACCAAGGACTTCAATTCTCTGTGTGAAGATTCTAGGGCAAAAAGTTTCATGCTTGAAGAGCTCGCGAAGATTGCCAAAGAAAAGAAGGTTGGTTAAGTTATTTAATATTTTAAAAAAAAATCAATTATCATGTAGCACACGCACAAGCGCCTAAAAACTTTCTTGGATCCTGAATATGTTGTTTGGCAGTTGAAGGGTTTTGAGTTTATAAGAGCAGTTCATCTTGATCCTGTGCCATTTGACATGGAACGGGACCTTATCACTCCAACTTTTAAGAAGAAGAGGCCCCAGATGCTCAAATACTACCAGGTAGAACCTCTACTGTTTTCAGGATTTCTCTTTGAAGTTTTACTCCATGAATTGGAAATTTCTCCCTTTACCCTTCTCTAAGTTTGAGACATGCCACCAAGCAAAGTATAAACAAGAGTAGTAATGAGCTAGACTAGGTAGTTTGACCACACCATCATGTTCGTATATTGTGTGTTGCCTTGTTATGGAAGGAAACGCTTGTGATGTATGCAGCTATGTTGCTGCTGCAGCCTTACGTATCAGTAATATACAGTAACCTACCGGCACTTGGAATAGTTTCTGTTTTAATTGAATATTTGAGAGAGTAAGATATAATAGGGGCATTACACTATCACAGTTGTATGTGCCATTATGAGGAAGAAATTGATGGTACTCTAATACAAACACGCTCACGGATGAACAAATAAAAAGTCAGGATTGTGCATCTGCTACAGGCTTAAATAGCAGGTAAGCTTATTGATACACTTAAATGCACGTACAATCAGGGAGGCTAACCTGACATTTAGGGATTGTGCAGTTAAGCTCTAGGTAATTACCGTATTAGATGAAAGATACACCGTAAACACATATTCATTTGTATATCCATTTGTAAAAATAATAGTACGAGAATCTGTTGGTCTTGAAGTTGAGAGTACTGACAGAAATTTCCTTTTATGTGCAGAATGCCATTGATAACATGTACAAAAATGGAAGTAAACCCAGTTCCTAAGCTCATGGCAAGACTCAGATTATTTGTTGTCTGCAATTTGATTGGAGACTTGATATATACTTACTAGTCAGTATCTTCATAGTATTATTTCCTCGTGCTGACTCTATATATTTTTATCCATATAAATAAGTTATGCGCGCCGTGCATGTATTCTTAAACTTCCAAAAAAAAAATGTGGGGATAGCTTCAATTTTACTGAAACCTATGTCTATTCGTTACGACATCATGACGTATCCAAATTAATAGCACCCTGAGCACATATTTGTAGGACGTAACTTCACCAGGCACCTCCTTTTTGCTGCTCACGTTGTCCTCTCTCTGCTGTTGTTATTATCATTGTTTTTAAGGAGTCTTCCCCTCTTATGCTTTTTGCCAAATAACACAAACAGCTTAAAGGAGGTTGCCATAAGAGATTCCAATCTTCGGAGGGTAGATGGCCTAGTTGGGCAAGGTTATTCACGCAGAACACATTCATCTTCCCCTCTGAACATTAAGTTGACCTAAACATTCTAGTCTGTTTGCAGTAGCAGCGTCTTCGTCCTCACAACGATGTCCTGAAAGGGGTGCTCTGTATGCGCATCTTTAGTGACCAAGGTTATGGTTTTAGCAACTAGCAGAGCTAAAGAAAACTTGAATATTCATCCATCCTAGGCTCCTACTAAGGTGCGGACCTTTGAGAAATCTTGATCTCTCTGCGATGGCCAAAGTTAAACATTCCACACTTGTTAAAACCCAGGATCTATTCCCATCACTTCCTCTAACCACGCCTCCACATGATGCTGGTCCTTGGGTTTTAACTGAGCTCATCAACAATTTTGACTCCATTGGTACCCATTTATCCCATACTGGCATATTGGAGCTAAGCATTTGAAGTCGATATTCAGCTTCAGATCAGCATTAGTGTTAAAAACACAATCATTTGCAATGTCTTGCTCATTATCTTCGTCTCCTCCCCCAAACAAAAACGATCATCTGGAGGTCTACCGATTCCGGCAGACGAAACCGTACAGAACTCTCCCTTCTATGGTTCCAAGAAATCCACTCATGGAGTGGCATTTTAAAAAATCTATTCCTAAGAGAAGGCTTGACCGACTACTTAAGTTCCAATCTCGAATTAGATGCAAGGTATACTCCTCTTCTGTGCAACCGAATTGGCACAAGGCTAGGTTCATCTAGCCTTCTTGTTCTGAGCTCCATAATATATGCTCTATCATGAGCAGCAGCAAGCCTCACTAACGCTCTAATCTTCTCCGGGACAGGACAAATACCATATCCTGCTCCATAACAAGTCATTCTCGACCTTGAGGTTAGAACTTAAATAGCTATATGCTGATTTAAAGGGAAATCCACCACCAGCCAAGCACCTCCAGTAAAACTCGTCACTGCCTTTGACTATTTGATGAAGCGGGCCTACAAAGAGTGTGAGAATCAAGTTGATAGCTTTGCTTGGCACCAGCAGTAATAGCTTTCTTATATCCCATCCCCCTTATGAACCATGCCTGTTAAAACTTATTCAGAGTTCAGACGATCGCTCACTCTTTTACCAATTCCATTTTTAAAATTATTCCACACCTCTACAATGCTCCTGTGAGTTAGTGAAGCTTCTGCCTTCTGCTTAATCTTCTGCACAACCTCCGTACCACATCTATAGTGGCGCCTCAAGAACATCACCGCTTCACCTCAAAAGCATTTTTTTTTTTTAATTATGCATAGGTATCCTCTTATTAAGGGTATTATTTGAGATATAGTTTGACACTAAATACCAAAATTTCTTCCGGCAGGTATTTGAATATTATTCATCATGTTGCAAAGAACTAATTTCTACTAAACTCAAATCCCATTAGTCACCTAGAAAGCATTTTGGTTGTGAATTAGATTCCAAAAATGCTTCGCGACAAAAGCTTCATTCTATTAGCATTTAACCGTGATACTGAGACCACCTTCGTTTTTGTTTTTGTTTTTTTTTTTTCACATCTCTCCGTTAGACAGGATCCAACTTTCTCACTGTTCATTCTCTCTGCAAAAATTCTCTACTGGGACTTTTCAATTTCAGCAATTATGCTTTTAAGAAGGATCATTGCCGGCATGTTATAGCTCGGAGGCTTCGAGACTATCGCTCTCTCGAGAGTTGCTTTAACACCTTAGATTGAGATACTTCCCTTCTCAATTGGATCTTCTGTATTTATAAAAGGATGATTAAAAATATACTCTCCTTATATCCTCTTTCAAAAATATCTTTGTTTTCTTGTAAACTTTTTTTTTTTGGACTATTGGGAAAATAATTATGACAAAAGTTTGAAAGTATTTGAATGTACAAGGCTATAAGCTATAGACTTGACCCTCACGCCAGTAATGTCATCTAGTGTTGATTACTATTTTTACGTGAAACTTCCCGGCTTTGGTATTTTTATAAACTTTTAAATTAAACATCGTTTTGAGAAGTAAAATAAACTGACGCAATTGATGATAAATATAGATAATTTTATAATAAAATTACATTAAAATTAAAAACATGAAAAGAAACTGAAAGGACTTGGGTCCCATTGTTATTTGTTTACTTAAGCACCATAGCATTAGTAGATGTCATTCGGCTTGGGGTTGTTTCATCTCCTCAGATTACGGAAGCCTATATTGGAAAACTCTGAAAAAACGAATGACGGACGAAAATGAGACGGGATTCAAGATCAAAACTTAATCTACAAGCAATTGAATTGAATTGCTTGTCTGATTGCTTCCAAGCAAGTAATCCCAAGGGCAAAAATGATGTACTGCTTTGTACTGTTGACAACCAAACTGCCGTTGTTAGAAACCTTGTAAATTTGGAATATCCATCTCAATGTCGAAAGCAAATAATCTATAATTCCTTGTCAATAAATTGCTAGATTTTAGGAAGAGAAATTTAAAATTTATATTAACATCAATGGATATAATCTATAACCCCATATCTGTTCATCAAGACTTGAGAGGCAAGCTTACGCAGCGGCACTAATAGCGCTCATTTTAAGATGAGTAAGAAAAAAATAATTTGAACCGGTTTACAAACGCTGCTGACATGCTTACAGAGAAAACAAAAAAGTATTCAGGCCACACGTACATTGATAGCTGTCCAGAAGAAAATTAGCCCACCTCAATCTATTCACTTCTCAGACACTGCAGTGTCCCTCTCGTTATCAGATGCAACGACCAAGGACATGGACTGCAATGCAAGTAACTCGTCTCTCGTATACTTCAATCTTTGATCTACTTCAGAACAAATGAAAATAGGAATTAGATATGGCTCCCTATGGTTTCACCTTAAGATATCTGAACAAAATTACCTATAAAACTCGGAGACACAGCCATGATTTCTTTCTTCTTCACCCCTTGTACTGGCCTTAAAGTCAATCGAGAGGAAGTAGGCCGATTAGGCCTGTTTCGGTCATCAGGGATTCCAGTACTAAGTTGTTCATGTCTTACTTCAATTTGAGGATGAATTCTAGAAAATGATAAGATAGAGTCTCTCATCAAGAGCCAACAACCAGTGAGGTCCATCGATTTTAAAGTCGCTGGGGGTTTAAAAGTTTCTAGTCCATAATTTGTCAATATGGCATCACATATGCTAAGACTTGTCAGTCTAGGAATTGTTGACAAATAATCAAGCGAAATGTCAGCCAGTGAAGTGCTTTTCAGAGAGATGTATCTCAGCTCTTGGAAGCTTGACAGAGGGCATAAAGCTCTATCGCTAACAAGAGTATGCTCCAAATTCAACCTTTCCAATTGTTTAAGATTCTGCAGGGCTGCTAGAGAGAGAGGAGCATCTAGTTGAGTCTCTTCCTGCTGTACAAAACCTGAGTCCAAAGCCAAAAAATGAATCTTAAAAATCTAGTAACGAGAAGACCTTGAGCAAGAAGATATACGGCACTACTGTCAAATCACTATTGAAGAGAAAACATCAGACTTTCAGGGGTTATTCAACCTAACAAAAAATTGTTCCTCCAAATTTAAAGTGGCTGAAATAAAGGGAACAAAATAGCCATAACAAGAAAGATGGAGGATAAAATAAATCCTCAGACTGGGTCAATGCTTAGGATAAACAAAAATGTTCCCAGTAAACACTTCCAGCAGATCTACCTGAGAACTTGACAAGTTTGTAAGCACAGCACCACATATGGCTACAGATATCAGGCTATATATTAGCTTGATGCAACTGGACAAGATAATTATTTCAGCCACCGCGTATATCACAAATCATGAACCCAAACATGAGCAAATACAGCAAATGGATTATACCTTTTATAATTGTATGGCTCAGGTCCACAACCTTTAATGAAGGCATCATGGCAATATATGAGAGGGCAGCATCATCTATTGGGGTCTCAGATAATGACAGAATCTCAAGACTGGGAACATGTCCAGCCAAAATTCCCACTCCAGCAGAGCTAACTCTAGTACCGTTGAGATTCAAACTTTTCAAGTTTCCACCAATGAGTGCAACCATTTCAATTGAATCATCTCCAATCATGCATGAGCTGAGATTCAAATGCTCTATTACTTCCATCTTACTTAAGAAGAAGAAGTTGTGAAGGCAAGAATTTGAGATATCCAGAAAAGATAGGAAGTTTGTATTTAGATGTAACAAGGCATCGGCTTCATTTAGAAACGTAGTGCCAGAAAGAACAAGCTTTGCCAAAGGAGCTTTACCATCTTGAAGTACTGACTCAATAATACAATTGCTCATGTTCAAACATTCAAGAGACAATAAGTTAGGCAATCTTGTGACACCGGTCATAGCAAGATTTAGATGGCTTAACTTGGGGAACATATTGAGAATAGCAGAACCTTCATTTGAAATTTCACTACCCCAAACGTCCAGGTATTGTAGCTTTTTCAGCACCTGCTATAGTTTGAAAAAGAAAGAGTGAAGGGTGATTAAAAAAGTACATAGAAAGATTTTGCTTATATTTATAATTTGAGAACTGGCAGTACTGATGATAAATGCTGGTGGAAACTGGTAAAGCATACAACAATACATGTTCAAAGAAAAATAAGCAATGTATAATAGAAGACCCAAGCCTGTAATGGAATATGGAACAAAACAAAGCAAGAAAGACAAGAAAACATAAAACAAACTATTTTGTCCAGAAAATCCTGAGTTCAGAATCAACACATGGTCCATCAAAATGCAATAAATCAGTATCTTAGATGTACATGTTAAAATGCAATAAATCAGTATCTTAGATGTACATGTTAAAATGCAATAAATCAATATCTTAGAAATACATGCCAATGGCTCATGCTGCCTCATTTTCTGGATCAATCCAAAACTGAAAGAAAATTACCTGTAATGAATTTAAAGCCACATCATTTACAGGTAATCCACCCAAGTCAAGAACAGACAGGGCCTTAAGGGAGGCAAGAAGTTTGACCCCTTCTGCTGTCACACCTGTTTGAGCAATGTGTAACTTCTCCAAATTTGCTAAGGAAAGAATGTGCTTAATAGCAGCATCATTGACCTTCGAGCATCTTGAAAGATCCAACTCCTGTAGACTGGTCATTCCTAAAGCCAATAAAACATTAGGAAGATCAGTCATGCATGTCGAGCAGCATTCACCCCCTTTGCACTAATCAATTGGCTTTTAACAAAGTTTTCCTCCATTAGATAAGTATATTGAAAGATGTTTCCAATATGATTTCAGCAATCGTTCAGAGCAATTTTTTAGTTCAATATCATTATTACAAACTACTGCTTAACCATTTGACCAGATTAGCTTCAACGTATTTGTAATACAAAACTATCAACGAAACCTGTAATAGCCCATAGGGCTGAATTGGTGATTCTACGGCAACCTCCAACATTCAAGGAACGCAACTGGCGAAATGCACCCAAATATGCTATCCACTCCGCATCCACGGAGGGTTCACCTCTGACATCAATCTCTTCAGCACAGTGTTTGAAAACTCTACGGAAAGGAAAAATGGAATTTTGGATTGGAAATCAGTTTCAATTTTATTTCCCGAAATATGCATTACCTAGTGATGAAATAAGAAAACGAACATCTCCAACCCTGTAGCATAATAAAATTCTGCTCGTTCATCTCGTTTTACCAATCAAAGGGCGAGGCAGATTATACATTTGTTAGAAGTTGTAGTTATATTCATACGACAGAAAGCCTGACGCCGAACCGTTATTTCCTCATATTAGATCTCATCTAGAACATTTACTTCATTTCTTCTGGACTACCAGTTAAAGTCGAATAGAAAGCACCAAAGTAAATAGGTTTATCGTTTCATCGATTTCACATTGTAAAGGAAGCCCAGAAGTTAGAACACATTGACATAAACTATCCAATGCAGAGGGTATTTATGTATCGATCTTCGAAGATAAATAAAAGATGAGAAAAGGGGCATACTCGAGGAGGGAAGGGTAGAGGAGATGACGACTAAGGAGGCGGCGGAGCAGAGCATCGGCAAGAGGAGAGGGCAAGCGGTCCAGCCTACGCCTCTGCCTTCGCCATTTGTCGACGCTCTCTCTACTCTCACATGCGGCCTCCATGCATAGCGACACCAAATCCAAATGGTTGCTCATCTCTGTGAATTCACCAAAAAACTCCCGTTTTGCCTGTGCGAAAATTCGTCCAGTCAGATCTGAACGAAGCAGCTAGCTAAAGAGACATAAAACTTACAAATAATAAACGAACGAAAGATTATCAGGGGCCTGAATCTGACTTCGGGATCTCGAAGCTTCATCTCTGCAACACCGCACTTTTCACCGTTGACCGTTGGAGGCGGCCCCTGGAAGCCCCCCGAACCATTTTGGGCCTCAATAATCGATAAATTGGGCTCAAACAAATCTAGCTAGTCCAGGAAATGTACGAAAATTGATCGTTGGGAATGGTTTGAACTTCGAAGATGATCGTTTTTCTTTGATATGAAGCCTTGCATTCGAATTGGATGGTAAATTTAACCAGGGGCGCTTTCTGCCCTGTATTAATTAATAGCAATAATATCATAAATATATTCTCCAATCTTCATTTGCACCCGATATATTGAAATCATATAGTGTTGAGACAAATGCAGATCAGATCCAACGTAGAAAGGCTGGAAATAATAAACCCAGGCTCAATATTAAATAATATAAGCCCAACTTAGTCTAGACTGATTCTTTATCTGTATATATGTTAATCTTCCTATATATGTGTACAGATCCTATCTTTTATAGGGTTTAGTGCCTCAACTATTTATTGTAACACTTGTCATTGATTAATAACGAGAAGCCATTATTCAGCATTCCAAATGTTTAACTTGGTATCAGAGCGATTCAACTGGCAGCTATGGTGTCTGCAGATGAACAATCTCCTTCCACTAGTTCTGTTAACAAGCAACCATCAGGTTCGCATTCTTCACTTCTTGATGCTGTAAATTTGGCAAAGAACACTGCTGCTCCTACATCCTTGAACCAAATCTGTTATGTCAAGTTGGACAGGACTAACTACATGATTTGGCAAACTCATGTTCTCCTTATCATAATGGGATATAAGCTCGATGGCTTTCTCACTGGTATGAAGCCCTGTCCACCACAGTTTCTTGTTGAGAATGGTGAGACACGTCTCAATCTAGCCTTTAAAGACTGGGTTGCAGCTGATTCATTGCTTTTCGGCTGGCTTCTTAACACGATGACGTTAGAAGTGTCGTCACAGATGACTCAAGTTTCCTCATCTGCTGGTTTGTGGAATGCTGCTAAGCAGCTTGCTGGGTCAAAAACTAAGGCTCGAGTATTGTTGATTCGGGCTGAACTTCAACATACTAGGAAGGGTACGTCTCGTATGGAGGAATACTTAAACAAAATGAAGAGTCTGTCTGAATGGCTCGCTATTGTAGGCTATCCCATTCCTCTTCCAGATCTCATTCTTCAAACGTTAGCTGGTCTTGATGGTGAATATAATGCAATTGTTGTCTAGCTGTCTAAGGAATCGGATGATATTACTTGGATTGATTTTCAATCTACTCTTCTAACATTTGAGAGTCATCTTGATCAGTTGACTCAGTTTTCTCAACTTAATATTTCAACTAATTTTGCCAACTATGCTTACTCTGAGAATCCCTCTCTTGGATGTGGTCATTGGCGTGGACGCCGTAGAGGCTGTGGTCAGCATGGAAGAGGTAAATTCAATAACAATTATAGAAGTAATGGAGCAAATAATGATAAACCTCAATGCCAACTCTGTGAGAAATGGGGCCATACTGTTAAGACTTGCTTTTATCGATATGATAAGTCATTTATGGGTTCTGGTAGCAGTAAACATGGTAACAGCTCCACTAATCCTAACTCTGAATTTAATGCTTATTGGGCTACTCCTGAGACTATCACTGATGATGCTTGGCTTTTGGATAGTGGTGTTACAAGTCATGTGACTAATGATCTTAGTCGCATTGATAATCCAGCTATTCCTGTTAGTAAGGTCTGCATTATTGTTGGTAATGGACAGAAAATGGGAGTAGAACGAACTGGTTCCTCTACTTTACAAAATCAACCCAATGCCTCAGTTAAATTGCGTAACATTTTATATACTCCTGAAGCTAATAAAAATTTACTGAGTATTTACAAGATGGCTGCTGATAATGATGCTAATGTCATTTTTAATAAATCTGGTGTGTTTGTGAAGGAGCAAGCAACCGGGAAAGTACTACTGCAAGGGGAGAAGCCAATTAAGGGAATGTTTCCTGTGCTTGGTAACAAAGTAGACAACAAGGAGGACCATTTCTTGCTGAATGCAGATGAAGAAGCTATTACAGCAACAGATAATAGTTCTAGTACTAGTAAAAAATTATGGCATTGTAGGCTTGGTCATCCAAATGAGAGAGTACTAAGTAGAATCATTCATGATTATAACTTGAAGGTTAATTTCAAGGATGCTCATCATCCTTTGTTTTATGAACCTTGCAAATTTGGAAAATTACATGCTTTGTCTTTTAAGCTGTCTCTCTCTCGCGCCACTAAACTACTAGAACTTAGTCATATTGATTTGTGGGGTCCTTCACCTCTTGTTTCTATGAATGGTTTTTGCTACTATATTCTGTTTTTGGATGATTTCAGTCGATTCTCTTAGATATTCCCGCTAAAGACTAAAGATAAGGCCTTACAAATGTTTATTCAGTTCAAACAATATGTTGAAAAACAATTTGAGCTTCCTATCAAGACTATATAAAGCGATTGGGGTGGTGAATATAAAAGTTTTTCCAAGTTTTTACAAGAATCTGAAATAGTTTTCAGACATTCTTGTCCTCACACTTCTCCTCAAAATGGGAGAGCTGAATGAAAACATCAACATGTTGTTGAAATTGGCCTAACTCTCCTAGCTCAAGCCAAGATGCCCCTTTATTATTGGTGGAAGGCCATTCATACCGCAAATGAGCTAATAAACAGACTACCTTCTACTGTTCTAGGTGGTGTTTCACCCTATTTCAAGCTGTTTCGTAAATATCCTAGCTATGAGGGTCTAAAGGTTTTTGGTTCTGCATGCTATCCTTGTCTAAGACCCTATAACAAACATAAACTTCAATTCTAAAGTGCAAGATGTGTTTTTCTAAGATATAGTAATGCTCATAAAGGTTACAAGTGCTTAACCTCTAATGGTAAGGTGATAATTTCTCGACATGTGGTCTTCAATGAAATTGATTATCCTTTTGAAACAGGTTTTATAAATAAAAGGATCTCACCTGAAGTACAAGTTCATCCCAGCGTTTTCTTTCAACCCTTAACTTCTTCTGTTCTAGTACAGTGTCCTCACACTGATACAATAATGAGCAGTAAGAATTCTGATTTTTTCTCTACTGGAGAGTTGTCTCAAGCATCAATTTCAAGTAGTGAGAGATCTTTACCTGAAGCCATTGAAGAAGTTGCTGATAATCAATTAGTTGTTCCTTCTTCACCTGACAGTAATTCAAGCTCACAAAGACAGTCTCTTAAACATCATTATGCTGACGGATCCCTTATTCATAGCCCTGTCAATGATATCAACATTCTAGATAACAGACATCCAATGATCACTCAAAGTAGGGCAGGCATACAAAAACTTAAAACACCTTATATTAGCATGTTAATGACTGAAAGTGATGCTGATATTGAACCAACTTATGTGAGAGATGCTCTAAAATCCACTAAATGGCGAAGAGCTATGTTAGATGAGTATAATGCTCTTGTCAAGAATCAAACTTGGGTTCTTGTTCCCTATCATGGTCAGAGAAATTTGGTTGACTGCAAATGGATCTTTAAAAATAAGTTTGATGCTGTTGGGTCTCTTATAAAAAGGAAAGCTCGGTTAGTTGCCAATTTAACAAAGCCCAGGTGTTGACTTTGATGAAACATTTAGTCCTATTCTAAAGGCTTCTACTCTGAGATTCATACTGACTGTTGCTGTGAATTTCAACTGGGATATCAATAATGCCTTCCTAAATGGATATCTAGATGAATATGTTCTCATGAAGCAACCAGAAGGTTTTGTTAATTCCAAGTTTCTAAATCATGTCTGTCTACTTAAGAAAGCCTTATATGGTTTAAAGCAGGCGCCCCGAGCTTGGTTTGAGCGTCTAAGAAATACCTTGATTTAATGGGGTTTCACTAATTTAAAATGTGACACTTCACTATTCTTTCTTCAACATAAATCAAACAATATGTTTGTATTGGTTTATGTAGATGATATTATAGTGACAGGAAACTCATCTAAGATACTAGAGTTGTTTGTCAAACAATTAAATTCCCTATTTGCTCTAAGGGCCTGTTTGGTTCAAGGGGAGATGAGGAGAGAGGAGGGAGGTGAGGGGAGAGGAGGGAGGGGAGGGGAGGGGAGCTCCCCCTCAATTTGGAGGGGAGGCTTTGGAAGGGAGGGGAGGGGCTCCCCTCCTCCTAACCAAACACACCCTAAAGATCTTGGTCACTTACATCACTTTCTGGGCATTGAAGCGTTCAAAGATGACACTGGTTTATATTTAAAACAAGAATGCTACATTCAAGAAATTTTGAGGAAAGCTGGTATGCTCCATTCTTCCCCTATTCCTACTCCTATGGTGGTAAATAGACACTATTCTAAAGAAGATGGCATGTCTCTTACAGACTTAAGGAAATACAGGCAGATTATTAGTGCATTGTAGTATTTAATCAACACCAGACCAGATATTATATTTGCAATAAACAAATTGAGTCAGTTTCTTAGTTGTCCTACTGATGTTTAGTGGCAAGCGTTGAAACGCATCCTAAGGTACTTAAAAGGAACTTCAGATCTTGCATTACATATCAAACCACACAATCTCATTACCCTACAAGGCTTCTTAGATGCTGACTTTGTTGTTTGCCCAGATGATCGGCATTCCATGGGTAGACATTGTGTATTTCTTGGAGATTCTTTGGTGTCGTGGTCGGCTAGAAAACAATGAGTGGTTTTCAGGTCCAGTGCTGAGTCAGAGTATCGGGCTCTTGCTGATTTTTCCACTGAACTCACCTGGTTCCAGTCACTTGCGAGAGAAATTAGTCTTTGTTCTCTTCATATTCCATACTCGGTCAAAACACATCAAGTTAAACGTTCATTACATCTATGACCAAGTCCTCAATCGCCAGTTATTTGTACGATACGTCCCATAGTCTGAGCAACTTGCAGATCTTTTTACTAAAGCTCTGACACACTCCAAGTTTTGGTCTTTCAGAAGCAAACTCGACCTAGTCAAATTTCCAAGGTCTCGTTTGAGGGGGAATGTTGAGACAAACGCAAATCAGGTCCAACATAGAAAGGCTAAAAATAATAAACTCAGGCCCAATATTAAACAATATAAGCCCAACTCAGTCTAGACTGATTCTTTATCTGTATATATGTTAATCTTCCTATATAAGTGTACAGATCCTATCTATTCTAGGGTTTAGTGCTTTAATTATTTATTGTAACACATGTCATTGATTAATAACGAAAAGCCATTATTCAGCATTCCAAATATTTAACTTATAGCAATGGAATTTATTGGATGCGAGCATTTCTAAACAACTCATGAAATCCCGATTATGAAGGTTTTGAATTGCAATTTGCAAGTCTCTGATTTGCCCGTGAGATTGCTTGGAAACAATAAATCTTTCATCGCAATTTGATGCTACTTGATATCGCTTGCACAATACAAGACTGAGTATAGTACACATTTCCGTTGTAAATAAATATGCAAACGAAGCACAACAGTAAAAATGCAATGCACAAACTATTTTCATAAAAAGTAAAAAAAATGTTGCAAAGCTTACAACATCACGACCCAAAAAGACAATACAAAGCTGTTTAAGAATACAAGTAATGGCGCCTTGAAATATTGAGAAGTTCGGTTCTTTTCTTCACTTCTCAACACCCTTCTGTCGCTGTCTCTTTTCTTGTATCGCTCACTCTATATAAGCTGTGAGATGGAGGAGAAAGAGGATGAGCACTTTTCTTGTTGTCTCTTCACTCCTTTCTTCTCCAGACCTTACATCTTATTTGACCTAAAGATAATATGCTCTAGCTTCCTAGTAGAATGCAACAGAAACAAGTGAAGACGAAAACTTGGCCCGAAAAGGAAAGCGAAAACGAGAAGAGCTCCTCCTCACTGCACTTTTCGTATAGCTGCACAATTCTTACACCACACCATAGAAGCTATAACAGCCTCACTTTGAAGAAGTTGGTGTCTTTCACGCCAGCATGTAGTTGGCAACAGAGACGTCTGCTGCAGAAGCGGCATGAATGTAGACGAACTCGAGGCTCTTACCAGCTGATAGAGAGTTGAGCCATGATGGGAAAGTGTAGGAATCACCTGACTTTGTGAGGCCCCAGATTGGACCATAAAGCTTGGATATCGAGAGGTTGAGAGACTTGAGAGTTTTGGGAGTTGTGTTGGTCACCACAGTTGAGTACCTGGAGTAAGTTCTTCCACTGGCAACCCATGAAGTGGTCATCTTCTGTTGAATCGAAATTGGACCTGAAGATGAAGCTGCAAGAGGAGTTCCTAGGTTAGCTTTTAATCTCACTCGAGAAAATTGAGCAAAAAATATGATCACAGATGTAAAATGCAAAAAAGGCCAAAACAAGATTACCTGGAGCTGGAGTGACCTTAGGTTTGGGAGCTGGTTGTGGTTTGGTGATGACAGGTTTAGGAGCTGGAAGAGCAACTGCAAATCAAGGAAGAAATTGTACATGAGCATGACATACTTACCAAACATCCAGAAACCGAAAAAATTAAAGGCCTTACAAAAGTAGCAGCAATACCTGGAAGTAGCTGGTTATAGGAACCATGGCCAGCACTCAAACGGGCTAGGATACCAATGAGAGGAGCATTGTTGTAGGTGGCAGGCTCTGTTTGCTCATAATTATCTCTTTCATCAGCAAAGTTGTCATAAGCATCAGGTCCACCAACAAGTGCACCAACAAGCAGATTGGGGTCGCTTGCTTTCCTGCTAAACCAAGTGGCATAACCTCCACGGCATGTGACAAATGTAGGATTAACCTTAAAGGACACAATGGAGGAGGCCCTGTGGTGAACCCTTTGAGGGAAGGTGGTTCCATAGCCCACCATGTAACTGGTGCCTCTTGGGTTGTCTCCGAGAATGTAGTCAACCTGAGATTTGGCCAGGGACAGAAGCTGAGTTGGAGGGACATTGCCGGAAGGACATCTCAAGTATCTGCCGGAAGATGCCAGGTAGTCTGAGTAAACAGTGGCTAAGAAGGAGGCGCTTGTCACAAACTGCATGTTGTTCCATCTCTGCCGGAAAATCAGACCACCGGGTGTCTTCTGCATGTTGCGAGTGCCCTTTCCAAGGCATGAGCACATGAAGTTCTCTGCTTTCTGTTGGTATTTCTCAAACACTACTGCATTATGACCGGCTCTGCCTTGCATCAAGAACTTCAGCCAACAAGCACAAGAATTAATTGACGTTTTTACTTTTCACTTATATATGACAATGATCAGAGAGAAAAAGCATTAGTGTTAGTGGTTACCTTGGCAACTAGAGTCTGAACCCCAGCATACTTGACGTCCCATCCAAATTCATTCATGGACCAACCAGTTCCACCCATGGAATCACCATTTCTTCCGAGGTAATCCAAGTAATACTTCTTGTTACTTGCTTGGTACAACCATGCAGCAGCCCACAGTAATTCGTCCTGCACATACATATACACATATTTGTTCAGCCAACAAAAGCTGCAAATGAAAGGAACAGGACTGAGGATGATAGCTTATAGTACTTACGTTGTAGCCACTGATAGATCGGTAATACTTTTGGGCCACATTGATGCTGCTGTCGTACTTGCCTCTGTATTTGTCCGCAAAGTCAAACAGCTGAAATTGAACAACACCACAGCAGTTGTTAGATTAACATGTCATCAAGAGTTATTTAGTATAGATGTATAGTCCAAATTTATATAGTTATTGCTGATAAAAGCAGCAAAGGTTTCCAGGGAACAGAGTTCGAACTGCGCTAGGATAATGGCAAAGAACCTCCAATTTAGTTGTTCTTAATTTTCTTCCCCCCCCCCCAAAAAAAAAAAAAAGAGTTTTACTTGCCGACGAAAAAAGTAATATGAGATCTCATCTGACAAGTCGAGTGAAGACACTAAGAAGTAAGGAGTATTACAAGTGAATAACAACAACAAAAAGATACTAAGTGCATAAAAAAAACAAGACCCTAAGAAGGTAAGCGCCGACAGTTTTGGCACGTGCCAACCAGGTGGGCTTTTTTCTGTGAATCTCTTTCACGGGTACGGTCAGGATCCGGCCCAATCCTAACCTAGATCTGCGCTTCACGATTCACTGATTCAGAAAGTCCGGGTCGTATTAACCGGGCTTAAATCCCCCTTTGATCCGTAATTTTCGCCTAGGCCCCACAAAAGAAGTAAACAAAAAAGATAAAACATGTCCCTTCGCCTTTTGGTCTGTTCTTCTGCTCTTTCAATCATATTCATATAAAATATAATTAGCCGTATCAATATATATATATATATAATAAGCCCTATTTAAATGAAAAAAATAGATGTTTAAAGACTATTAATCTACTCTTCGGAGTAAAATTTATTCATCGTTCTGCTTGGCAAACACACAATTTGTATTTTCAGAAGATGTCTGCAGTTGAAAAAATATTTTTAAATAAAATTAATGATTAAAAAAGTGAATCTCAATTCTTTCAGTCTTTTGTGCGGGTCGTTATATGCATGATGAAACCGCTAGTACCAATTAAATTCTTCCTTTTTATTTCCCTGCCAAAGTGGATTCACCATAAATGCCCTTCTACCACGCACTGCGTACTCCAGCGACCACTCTGACACAAGAACTAGAAAAGTGTAACTGCCTATTTAAACTCGGAACTTCCCAACCGTTCCGCTAAGTGCTAATGCTAGCCCACGCGTGCCACGTTTTAGCGTTTTACTTTACATTAATTACCGCATTATCTCTGTCCTTCGAGCCATCGTACGGGTTTCACATCAGTCAGCGACTTCTCGTTTAAAGGTTGATTAAATAAGTCATTATTTTTAAACTTTCCAATATAAGCTAATGAAAAGGAGTGCGCGTGACGCACGGACCTGGTAGGCATGGCGAAGCAGCTCGGCGGCGTAAGAAGGATTCGAGCGTCGGAAGACAATGGATGCGGCGGCCATGGCGGCGGCTGATTCTCCGGCGAGATCCGACCCGGGATTCCTGGAGTCGATCTTGTAGGCCCTCCGGTCGGTGGTCATGTCCTCCGGTCTTTGCCAACAGTAATGGTCACTGTTACCGTCTCCCACCTAATTATATAATATCAAAACATTCAGATCAACTAACCTTCTTAACTGCGTAAGAAAGATTCCTCGCGGTTCAACTTCAACTTATTGAAACCGACAAGTTACTATGAAATTACAATGAGCACAATAAGTGAATTCGGTGGCTGAAGATGAGAAAATGGGAAAAGAAGGTAGGAAGGTACCTCTCCGTAGAGAACATTAGGTTCAGGGTGGGCTTTGATGAAGTAGTCAGTACCCCACTTTATAGCATCCATGGCATGGCCAAGCTCGCCGTTTGCAGCCATTTGCTTGCCATACTCTATCACGCTCCACGACATCATTGTAACTGTGAATGCCATGGGCAAACCAAACTTCACATTGTCCCCTGCATCATAGTACCCGCCAACTAGATCTACCTGCAATTTTCCGCAAAAATTAACCCCATAAACTCAACATGTATTTAATCTCAAAATAAGTTTACAGAATACTATTGCAGTATTGCTAATGAGCCATTTGATTCAGTTTTAAGGACCCGTTTGAAACTTACCCCACTTGCCTTGCCGTCGTGCAAACCAGAATGACCCCTCCATGTCACTCTCTGGCTGTGGGGGAGAATGCCAGATCTCTGAGCTTCATAGAAGATAATGCTCTTGCTCAGAGCCTGGCCGTAGTCATGAGCGGCAAGAGCAAGTGGTAAGCATAGAAAAAGGAGAAAAGGAGACAGGGGAATGAATTTTGCGAGCTGGGTCATGATAATTGAAGATAAAACAGAGTCTGGTGTGTTTGAAGGTACGAGTAAAAACAGAGGAACGAGAAATTGGGTTTGAAACAAGACTGTATGGGAATGAATTCAGAGCAGGAAGCAGAAGCTCATTGCCCTGCCCACTAGGGGGAAAGAAGAGAGAAAAGCGCAATGCGGTGGGGATAGGGATCTGGGGGAGGGGAGGCAGAGGACGGAGACTGAGAAACTAGGGGGATCGAGGCGCTATCTATATAGCGGAAAAGGAAGGTATCAAGGAACCCAGAAAATGACAGTGATTTAATAAATTAGGTTTTCTTTGTTGTCATTTTCCTTTATTATTTTAATTTTCCTTATCTTGAGGGTATTTTGAAGGGGCTGAAAATGGTCGAGAAAGGAACAATGTCATGTGGGACTTGCAGGAAGGAGGTCGGTGAGGAGGTAAAGCAGTTGTCAGAAATAAAATTTACTGCTCAACGTTTTCAGAATAAAGTCAGAAACTCAGAAAACAGAGAATTTTAGTAAGCAAGCAAGCTAGCGTTTGAACGGGGGGATTTGGGTGTGGACCCTTTGGTGCCGGGGAGCATTTTGAACTCAAACTGCGAGGACCCTTCACGCAACTTGCGAAGTGCTAACCCTGAATGAACTTTAAGGAGTTAAAGGTACAGTAACAATAGTCAAAAAGTTAGAAATGGAAACGGAAGTCTGGTTCAAAGGGTCCACACTGCGAAATGACTGTTCTGCCTCAGAGGGGTTTCAAAGGGCCGCATTAAGAGCACATGACTTGGTTCTTGTGTGGCAAATAGGTATTGGCCTAGTTACGTGGTAAGATTGTTAGTCATTGTTCGTCAGATAAAGAGGTAAAATTTTACCCCTCCGTCTAAACACTTTTAAAATAATTTTTTTATTTTAAAATATAAAATATTTTAAGTAAATTAAAATTTTATTAAATATATCAATTTTAATATTATTTTTTTATAATTAATTTTTATTAATTTTTTAATATATTAAATGATGGGTATTTTAAAAATTTATATTTTTTAAAGATAAAATTATCAAGTATATTTAATAAAATTTATTAGTATGTGAGATTTTATAAAAAATGCTTTATAATTTAAGATAAAATGAATAATTAATTTAGAACTCAATGATCATGGCGCCGTTCCGTGTTCTACTGAGTGTTGGTGGCTCAATACATAGAAAAAATGCAGCTCCATAATTTGCGTTCCCCACCCGTCCACATGCGTTCTCGTTTATTTTAATGCCGAGATGTTGTTTCAAGTATTGCTATCTTGTTACACGTGGAACCTCTCATGCACTGACAGTGTTAAACTAGAACTCAGCAAGTGGCTCAGTTAAGTTATGAGATGTACTCCACAAGTCCATGTGTTTCTTTCTTCAAGTTCCCCGAGCATAGCTAGCTGGCCAAACCGCTGGTGGAGGACCCAAAAAAAAAAAAAAAGTCGCCTAAAACAATTCTTCAAGTACTGTAGCCCAAATCTATAATTTGTTGAAATTCCTCCGGGACTGCAGGAGTGCATGGGCGAATGGCAATTTGTAAAATTGAAATTTTCTCTTTGCCAACTCAGTGTAAGCAAAAGTTGACGTGCGTTGAATTGATATGTGTAATTACACCATCATTCATGGCATGCTGCGCGGGATTTATGGTTTCAACCAATGCCAGCGGTAGACGCACGAGGTAAATTAGTTAAAAGTGTGTAATACCCCTAAGTAAGTACGGATATTAATGTATGTAGCTGAGAATATTATGGGATTAAAGAAGAAGACGAGGGAGACGAAAATGGAGGAGTGATACGTGGAGGTGTGGTGTAACCTGGGTTCTTGGAAACATGGTCTCAGAGGATCGACCTGTACCCATGATTCGATTACCCGACAACCCACAGTGTTAACCCATGCAACATGCATTTCCTCTGTTTCCATTTCTAATCTCTCTCTCTCTCTCTCTCTCTGTGCCCACCGACAATATTCTCTCTCCTTCCCCTTGGTACTCCTGTAATAACCTCGTATAACACTGGTCTTTTTTTTTCTGACCCAAAAAAAAAACTCTGGTCTTTTTTTTGACTTTTTTTTTTCCCCTAATGCCAGTAGTAGGGATTGAAAAATATTGGAAATGAAAATGGAAAAGAGAAACTGACAAAGGAAGATGTGGTCAAAAGGCGCTGCCCCATGTCAGAGCGCTTTATTCCCAACCGCAATCAACGGCCTCCGCCGAATATCTGATTGGACATCGCCTCCTCCTCTTTCTCTGTCCACACATTTTACCACTTTTTTTTTTAACCGTTCTCATTTTTTAAAATAGGTAAATTTGGAGAAACCGAAGAATAATGACACGTTATGCATAAAGTTCAGGAGGCATGTTCCCGCTGTGACCGAGTAACGGCCACGGCAACACTTTCCACAGTCACTGGTTAGAACCCAACCAGCCCATTACTCCATCCTCTGATTTGTGTGTGTGTGTGTGTGTGTGTGTGTTTTTTATAAAACTAATCCTCTGATTCTTTCAACCATCGGACCTTTTTTTTTTTGGGTTACCAGCGAATCATCCTACATTAAATGTACTGAAAAAACGTATAAATAAAAGGAAAAATTGACCATTAATTTGTAAAATAATGAATTAACCTTGGTTGGATTCTCTATGAACTTTTCTGAAAAACAGTCTACAAATATCAATCAAAATGATTATAAATTCAAAAGTTTTAATTATGAATAAAATATTTAAATTTTAAATATAATTATTGTATTATAATTAGAATATTTATTTGTAACTGTTTAAATTAATATTTATAACTTATTTTTTATAAAATTTTAGTAGACCTAATTGTCATTAATTTGAATGTTTGATATACCATTTTATTTCTTTGTCGTTTCTATTTGAAGTTCAAAATTTTGGGATGATTTGTGTAAAGGGTTGACTGCACGCATAGATTTATAAGTCTTGTCATCCAAATTTATTACAAGTTTTAATTATATCTCAACAAAATGATGGTAGGAGAAAGTAAATTGTTAAAATATGAATATTTAATAGAAATAAAATAAAAAAAATGTATTCAATTTTTTGATGAAATTACCTATTTTTGATATTTTTTTAGTTTCAATAAAATATGCTTAAAATAATATATATAAATAAAACCGTATTTCTTTTATACTTGTATTTGACTATTTGTATTTACAGTTCAAATTTTGAATTGATTATTTGCATAGAGGGTTGATCGCACGACTACATTAAGCTTTGATGAAATATCAAATATCAGACAACGTTGCAAAATGCTGCGCACACGGCAGTGTCGAGGTGATGAGGTCTGAAATCTGATCTAAAAGGAAGAAGGAGCGAAGAAGAAAAGGAGATGCTTCCTTTGGATTGTTAGTGGAAGCATCGTGTGTTGGTGGAAACCCTAACATTAGCCCCCAAATTAAGTATTGACTTTTGGTTTTGTGTGTGTGTGTGTGTGTGTGTGTTGACTTTTGGTTTTGTGTGTGTGAAGCCACTTTTGAATATTTAGGCGCCCTCCATCTCCAAGACTGGTGCGCAGCACCAAAACACTGCGTTTTGCAGTGTTTTTTTTTTTCAATAACAAAATTATAATACTGACAACAAATAAATAAAAATTATAAAATTATTATTTTAATATTTAACAAATAAAAAAATTTAAGTTATTAAAATTTAACTTGAATGGTTCAGATAAAAATTTTGATTTGAATAGTTTAGAACTGTACTGAAAAAATTACAAAAATAAAGGCTTAAAGAGTTTAAAACAAGAGTTGAGTCTAACAAAATAAACTAGTTTTTTATAATGTAATAAAAAATAATAATACTTATATTTAATATCTGACCATATCTTTAATGATAATACCTAACAAGTTAATTTTATTTATTTATTAAATATTAAAATAATAATTTGATAATATTTATATATTATTATAATAATAATTTTGTGATTTAAAAAGAAAAAAAGATAAAACGACAAAGCGCTGTGTTTTGATGCCAAGCACCGAAACCGAATCGTCACCAACACCTCTTTTCCTTCTTCACAGTTCACAAACCAATGCAATTTCACTGCATCCTATTCTAATATTTCATTCTTATGATAATATAAGTCACTTTTTTTAAAATACTTTTTAATTTTAAATATGAAGTATTGAATAAATTTTATATTTTTTATCATTTATATCCTTGTTTTTTTATTCACTTTTAAATGTTTTATATTTAAGGACCATGCTAGAAAAACTAAAGAATGTAAATGTAAAGATATAGACATGTTTGAAAAAATAAGATTTCAACTAATATATTCTGTGAATTAAGTACAAATAACATATATTTTGGTTAGGAAAGAGTAATATTCAAAATTAACCTGTGTGCTCTGCCTTTCCACAAGTTGGAACGCATTTGGTATTTTAAAATTATGTGACACAGATTCAGAACCCAAGTACAAGTACGTTCCCAACTTGATTGAGTAATAATCAAAGTAATAATCAAAGCACGTTAACAAGGCACTTGCTTTGGCGTATCTTGTGCAAATAAAAATTGCCTTCCCCAGGCAACAGTAACAGTGTGATATTGGTGTGGGTGCGTATGCTCCCAATAAATTCGGCAGGACGATTGAAATATAATTCAAATCGATCGCTTTCTTGTTTTACATGAACAAAACACTTGACGATGGAACCAGGCCGAACACTAGTCTCAAGAACTTGTCAGATATGTTCATTTACTCCACGGTTCGCATCACATTAATTGTGAAATTTTAACTGTGAACGACTTGTAAAATTAGCCACATACCACCTGGGTCTGGGGATATGGTAGTTGAGGAAGTTTGAGATGCGGGAAGGGAATAGGGAGGCGCATTTATGGATGCGGGTTAGAGTATGGGCCACCAAGCAAATTGAGCGAGGGTATATATGTGATATTGTTATTTGACTTGTTTACAGTGTTAAGGGCAAAAACACCTATAAGATCAGGTTTAATAAAAGTGACTAGTTACTCAATATTTGACTGTAAGCGGTGTCAACATTTAATACTTGATGATACTTAGTAAATAAGATTGCCTATAATAAAAAAATACGTGTGTGAAACTAAAACACAAGCCAAAAACAAAACAAGCGCTGACACATACACGTTCGTTTTAGAATAGCATTGCATTCGGTATTGTGGCAACACAAAGTATGATCATATTAACGAGACTAGCTGTTAGCGGTTAATTTATTAATTGTTCGCTAA